CACACTCTCCCCCATCTCCTGCATCAATCGCATCGTGACATCGAAACGCACATCGCACCGAGGCCCTCGTCGAGCTGAGACAACTTCCATCACCAACCTAGAGCACGTGAAAGAATAGCAGCATAGCCACATCGATCGCTGCGCCACAATGCAAAACGGTCACCAATCTGGATGTCGGAGCGCTGATCCTTCGATCTAGCTGGCGCCAGCGGCTGCGAATACGTCAGAGGGTAAAACGGAAACAGGGAAGTAAGGTAACATGTAGTGATCGGAGGCCTCGGGTGTCAGGTCTCGGGTGTCAGGTCTCAGTTTTCAGTTCTCGGGTCTCTGGTCTCATGCAATAATATCCACCATTCTTCTATACGTTTTCGCCTTGGCCAAGATTCCTCACAGAACAAGAAGCACACCATGGAAGACGAGCTGGGCCCGCCGCCGCCTGTGCCACCTCTGTCTCCGCGACGCCAGCGATTCTCCATAGCCTCGTTGAGCGAGATGACGCCTGCGAGCACTTCTAGCATGCACGTATCATCCGACTCACAGCACGACTCGGGCATCGACCTAAGCTTTCCTTCTGAAAGCCGAAAGAGCAGCGAGCCGCTCACGCCTGATCAGCTCATTACACAGCTCTATCAGAGGGCCGACGGCCGCTCGATCATTCCGCAGGAAGTCGTGGACGGCATTGCGTTCAAACTGAAAGAGCAGGCCTCCAGGACTTACGTGGAGCTCCACAACTTTGCTCGTCGCGAGAATGTGGCCTACGAGAGTCTTCAGAACATCATCGGGGCGTATGCTGGAAAGGACTGGCCGCGGGTGATCATTGACGTGGATCATCAATCCTATCTTTGCAGCGATGCCTTCACCGAGGGGATCAAGTCGAGAATCTCCGAAGCTGTCACTGCCGCCGGTCCAAATATGTCTGATTTGACCGGCGCAGTCGGCCACACAATCCCTTCACACCTTGTCTTCGCCCTGGCAACCGAGGCCGTTCCTCACACGCAGGGAGAGATCCAATTTATCGGCGACCATGTTGTCTATCTTCATTCATGCGAGTCCTGTAGAGCCAAGAAGCAGCAGCAAGAGGCTCGCACGCAACAAACAGCAGAGCTTATGCAGCAAGTCGACCGGCACGGATTCTGTGTTCTGCCCGACCCAGCAGATGAGAATGAAGACGACGACAGCCTCATTCGAGCAGTGATCTGGGACTACCAGGAATGCAATCCCGGTCGAGGTCTCATGCATGTCACTGGGCAAGACGATGAGACGAAGCGCACTGGGCGCAAGTGCAGGTTATTGGTAGAGCCGTCGATCCTCCACGAAGAACTCGACGTCCTGAAGCGGGCCATGGCCACCCGAACAGAAATAATGTGGCGAAAGGACGCAAGCTCAACACACTATTTCAACATCATATCTGCTCTGGAGCCCTCAGACTTTGCTGTCCGCCCAAGGAGCCAACTCGCCGCCGTCCTGATGCACAGCGACTATGCCGAGGACCTTGAACGTGCAGCCCAGCAACACATTATCGCGCTCGACAAAGACCAACACGACATCTTTGTCAATCTCGTCGAAGGCCAGCTATGGTGCCCGCTGCATCTATACGCGGCTGGCATCATCGCTACCCAAGACACCCTCCTACGGCAGGACCTCGAAGCCATCATTGTCAACCACTTCCAGAAACAAGTCATCCCGGCAACCTTGGACGCCGTGCACGCGCAGAAGCTGAGGTACAATCCGAACAGGAAAGAAGCCCTCAACATCCTCGAAGAAGCTCGTGATGGCCTGCAAACCTTCACACAACTGCAAGACACCATCATCCAAATCGGCGACTGCCTACAGATCGATCCGCCGAGCGAGGGTCTAGTACTGGATTTCAAGCACCGAGCACTACAGAGGACCGCCGAGGCCATGCAGTATCTGACGAACGCCGTCGAGATTCTTCAAAATCTGCTCTGGGTCTTGCTCGCGACTTCTGGGCCTGGCTTGTTCATCAGTTCCGTCAAATATACCAGCCGCATGATTCATCGATATGACGCCATTGGCGATCCGGAGATCACGGGGTTGTTGAACCTATGGTGGGAGAAGGTGAAGAGCGGAGGGCATGACAGAGAAGATCTGAGGCAGATGAAGGAGTTGGGACGGGAGGCGATCAACATGTGGATGGGCAACTGAGTGCTTCGCCATTTTCTCTTTGCGCTATCGATGATTTGTCGTCGGCGTCTGCTGTGTACTACGATGATACCCGGTCTCTTGCCCGTGCTCTCGAGCGCATTGAAATGTTTATCCACTTTCAAAAAATTCTCGATAAAACCCATCGGCATCACCTACCTTACCGTCCCCACATCGGCATCCCGACCCACCTCCCCCGTCCCTCGGGCGCATCCCCACACCCCACCTTACAACCTTACCTAGTAAGGTATTTTCCCGGGGAAAAAAAGTGCATCTGTGCGTTTTTTCCGTGCCAACTTCCTAGATACTGTGTACCTTGACTCTTCCCAAAACTCACAGCGTCGGGAATGCCTCATCCCTCCCCCTCAGCCCTCAGCCCACCATTCGCGCTTGGCGTGTGAGCGCTAGTGGAAGTCCTCGATAGCGTCGAGCCCGTCCGAAGTTACCATCTGCCCTGACTCACCACTCGAATGCATTGAATGGCCTGTGATGATGAGGGCAGTTCCTGGATACGACCGCAGAGATCAATCAAAGCTCACGTCTTTTCGCTTCGAGAGTTCTACGTGAAGCTCAAGTGAAGTAGATAGATCATGCCGGATGACTGCCGCGTTTTGCATGGACTTCTCGAGGCAAAAGATCGGCTTCCTGTGAAAGTCTCGACCGGAAAATAATTCACCTATCGTACCTTGCTTCATCAGAAACCAACTAACGTGTGCGGGAGAGAGCAGTTATATCATTCTTTCTCTCTAGGAACGCCATCCCATCTCTCGTCACCTTGCGAAAGCAATCGAAAGTGCAACCTCGAGAAGAACTCAGGCATATCATATATGCATAGATCGCAGCCTGCCCTGCCCTTTTCTCGTTTTCCGAGCACTGCCTCCGATCGCCTTCCACAAGAAAAAGAGAAGCACGGCACCAGGCAAATGCTTGTTGCACCCAAACACACACCCAAAACCTCTCGTGAAACAACGCAAGACCACTGCAAGACCACTGCGTCCAAGTCCACATCTACCCGAGAGAGAGAGAGAGAGAGAATCATCGTCATTGACGACGGTGTTTCCCGCTCTCCTTCCTCTAACAATGCCCCCCTCCTCCTCCCCCGCCGCCGACGAAGAATTCCACCTCACGACGAAGACAAAAAATGACCACCACCACCACCACACGACCGGACAGACCCGACAGACCCGACCGACCTCGCAGTCCCAGCGAATCCGCCCCGGAGGTAGACGCCTTCGCCTACAAACCCATCCCGACCATCGACAACATCCTGCCCCCGGGCAACACAATCGCCGCGCCCTCGCCCATCGTGCGGACCAAAGCCGCGCCGCAGCCCGTGGAACAACAACAACAACAAAGCGACAAGAACATTTTTTCCTCTTCCTCTTCATCACCTCCCCCTCCTTCTCCTCCTTCTACCTTCCCCCATCGTCATCGTCATCGGAAGACAAGAGGGAAAAGGAATGGTGATGGGTGGAATAATTTCCTCCGCCATGCCAAGTCTCTATGGTTGCTGATTGTGGTCTTGGTGGCGGGGATGGGCATGGGGTTTGGGATTGGCTTTGCGGTAGCGCAGCGGAGGACGATTACGAAGAGTGATGCGCCGAGGTGAGTTGTTTGGGGGTGTGAGGAATGGATTTCCTTGTTTTCTTGTTCTTCTCGTCGTCCGAAACTGATGTTCTTTTTGTGGTGGTAGTGCTGGGACGGGGGAGAATAATAACAATAAGTGAAAGGCGGGAGAGAGGGAGAGAGAGAGAGAGCGATTATAAGCAGTGAAGATTTTGTCTCCAAAGAAAGGAGGCAATGCAACAAGCAAGAGGACAGAACAAGTACAGCACAGTCCAAAAGAAGGGGAAAGGGGAGAGAAGAGATCAGTCGCTATGTGCCCATGCTAGTCCGCTATACACAATCCATGACCCATCCGCCCAGTCCTGTAGAGCGGGGAAAGTCTTTGTATCATTTCTGTCGTCGCCGCAAAAAAAGGACGCCTTGCGTTGCTGTACTTCATCCCCTCATACCCAAACCTCGCAGGCCGTTGCTAGTGTCCGCATTCTGTGCTTCGTATGCCATTCTTCATGGTCAACAAAAAAACTGTCGTCGGTCACATCACGTGTAGCTCCTCATCGCATCAATATACCCCGTTCCACCCTTCAGATCACGATCGAAGCTCTCCGCAACATCCAAGACCCGCCGGATATGCGACATGGTCAACTTCTTGCCCTCATTGAGCGCCAAGGCTTGTGCCGTGCGGACCATGTTCTTGATCTGTCGGCCGTTGATGCGATGGCGAGAGAGGACGGTGTAGTCTTCGTCGGACAAGTCCGCGACTTGGGCCCCTTCTTGCTTGCGGACCATGCCGATGAAGTTCTTCCACACTTCCTTCTTGGCCTTCGGCGTGAGCTCCTCGTACCGTAGCGCGACTTGGATACGGGACTGGAAGGCGTCATCGAACGTCTCGACGCGGTTCGTGGTGAGGAAGAGGATGCCTTGGAAGTACTCCAGCAGACGCAAGAAGATGGAGACGAGAGCATTGCGATGGATGTCGTGCACCTCACGCTTCTCCAAGAAGACATCGGCCTCGTCGAGCAGCAACAGTGCGCCCCAAGAGTGAGCAATGTCGAGAATCTTCTGAAGTTCCTGCTCCAGTCTAGCCGGGTCTGTGCCAAGCTCACCGGCCGAGACGACGTATAGCGGACACCTCAGCAGTTCCGAGATACCCTCTGCGGTGAGCGTCTTGCCAGTGCCAGGTGGACCATGCAGCACGAAGACAAGACCTCTGCCCTTGCCCTGCACGACATCGTCGATGGTGCGTGCCGCGTGGAAGCGATGCGACTCGACGAGAGCACGGACGGTGCTCTTCTTGTCGCCTTCGAGCACCAGAGAATCGAATGCCTCGTCGTTGTAAGTGATGTCGCGAACGCCTGACAACGAGAACTCCAGCCACAGCTTCTCGGAGAACGCGAAGCCCAGGACGACGGGGGAAGTGAGAAGCAGCTGCTCTTCGGTGTAGGTACGCTTCTTGAGCTCAGGGTTCTCAAGCGTGTCGAGTTGTTCCGGCCGGACAGCTTCGCCGTTCTCGTCCACCTCAACCGCCACAAAATGCGGGTCGCCCCGGTCGTCTTCGATCCACTTGTACTTGTACTTTGGCGACTTCCCATCGGCAAAGTCCTCGTTCTCGAGCCTTTCTTCATGCCCACCCAGGGCGTCTTCGTTGTCAGAGTCCTGGTCGCAGCAAGAGCAGTCATTGTCTTCCTCTGAATCACTGAAGAGGTCATCAGTGTCCTTGGGCTTGATCAGCGAGATCGGGTAGTTCGCGTTGACTCTCCGGAAAGTGGCGGGGTCGATCATCACACGACCATTGATGTTGATCTTGAGGACTTGCTTCTTCTTCTTGGCGAAGGCCAGGCCGTTGTGGAACTTGTACTCCATGCCCTCCATGGCGACAAACCGCTGACCACGCTCAATGATCTGCTTCTTGATGCCTTCCGGGTCCTTGTGGTAGTGCAGGGGATAGGAGGCAAGGCTCGTGATTTTGCGTGGACCCTTGAACGCCTCGACGTCGACTTCAAAGTCACCATATCCGAAGCCCTTGCCGTCGTATTCGAGATATCTTCCCTCGATGCAATACCATTCACCACGGGTCATGGTGTGATACTTCATGGCATACTCTATCTTGTAGCAACGAGGCTCGTCCCACGATCCGTAGCAGGACGTGATGGCAATGTCGTTGGGCTTGAAGAGTGCCCAGAGCAGATCAAACGTGATGTTGCCAGCCTCAAGCAGAGGGTAGAGAGTCTTCTTCGTCTCGGCGTAGTCATCGTCGATGTAACTGACCAGTGTCTTGCAGAGCGCCTTCTGCTGCTCCAGCTTCTTGGTCGCCTTCTTCTTCTTCTCGGCCTTGATGCGCGTCTTCAGAGTCTTCTTGTAATGGGTTCTGAGCTCCTCCAGATACAAGAAGAGCAGGTTCGGATCGATGGTCGGCTCTTCAGCCTCGAGACTGACGCTCTTACAGTCCTTCATGATCTCCTGTAATACCGTGCGAAGCTGTCTTGACTTGATGTCGATGACGGTGGTGTCATACTTGTTCTCCCAGTCGAAGCGTCTCCGCACGAGGAAAGCGTACTCTGCGAATTCGCCTTCGTCATCTTCGGCGCTCTCCTTCAGCTTGTAGTTGTGGATGTTGGAATCCCACAGCTGATCGACACGCTTGTACTCTAGCGAATCGGCCTTCTTGGACTTGATCTTGACACTCTTGGCAGATTTGGTACTCGAACGTCTCCGCTTTGCCCTGGAAGATCTAGGAGTCGTCTTGAGCTCGGTGATCCTACCCATCAGCTCTCGGACCTGCGCCTCGAGTGTCGTAACATCCTTGTCGTCTTCGGCATCGGTTGCGTCGTCCTCGGTCTCTGTCTCTACCGCCTTCTTTGCTCTCTTGATGGACTTCTTCTTTCTCTTGCGAGGCGCTTCGCTCTCGGAGCTGTGCTCACTGTCCTCGCTGTCCGAGTCTGAGCTCTCGGTGTCTGAGTCGTGCTTCTTGCTCTTGCGGCGTCTCCGATCCTTCAGCTTCCTCGACTGCTTCGACTTGGACTTCCTCCTCTTCAGATCCTCGTCGGACGACGTATCGTCCGACTCGTCGTCATCAGAGTCCGAGACCTCCTGCTCGCTGTCGTCGGAGTCGGAATCGCCTCGAGGCGCCTTCTTGTTGTGGGACTTCTTGACGGCCTTGGACTTCTTCTTGTGCTTGGTCTTGCGGCATTTGGATTTCTTCTTCGAAACTGTCTTGGTAGTGGGCTCTTCGGCTGGAACGAGTGCAGCGTCTGGCTCTGTCCCGTCGGTGGTGAGGACGGTGGTCTGTTCCTTGGACTTCTCGTCCATGCTGGGTTGTAGGTCGGTGCGGTACGAGCTGATGGAGACGGAGCTGGTCCGCTGTGGGGTGTCGGAGGGGGTTGACGAGGGCGTGAGGATTGCGGAAGGTCGTGACGTGGATGTGGGTGGTTGTTGTTTGCTCATGGATGCGCGGTAATCAAGAAAGGTCCGGTTCCTGGGCTCCGGCGGTTGTATGCAAGATGAATGAGGTGCCGTGTCACATGCAAGTGGGTACGTGCAAGTGCTGACGTGCAAGTGCGGTGAAGGGGGGAGCGCCTTTTTCCGGGGTCGTGAATGAAGATGTGTGGAGGGGGAGATGGTGAGGGTAGAGAAGGAAGCAATGGAGAGATGAAGGAGAGGAAGAGCAGCGAAAGCGAAAAGTATGTAAGAGGGAGAGAGGGAGAGGGAGAGGGAGAGGGGGTACTAGTAGTAGTGGCGTGAATGCTATACGTCTGTTTCCCGGCGGTAGGGTAGAATACGGTACTTGTAGTGGCCTGTGAGTGGAAAGTGCGGCTGAGAAGCGGGCAATAGACGGCGAGCGGGCGCAAGGCGGTAGCTCGCAGCTTCTGCTGCTGCTGCTGCTGCTGCTGTTGCTGATGATGGCGATGATGAGCGAGGAGCAAATGGAAGGCGGTGTTGGGAGGTGAGGCGGAGTGGCCGAATGGGCCTGGGAAGGCGGAAGGAACTGTGGAAGGCAGCTGAGCTTGAGGCGGTGGACGGCAGGGCAGTGACGGTGAGTGGGCGGCGTGGCGTGGCGTGGCGTGGCGTGGTGGAGCGCAGCGAGGCGAGTCCACTGGTCTACTGTAGACTGGGCTGCATAAGGTACATACATTGGATGATGAGGTCGCACGGGCGGCGTGACGAGAGCCAGTAGTGCATGCATGAGCGTCTAGCAGTAGCGGGTGTGCGTATAATGATAATAAGGTAGAAGTCCTTCCTGTCGTAGAGGTACCGCCGCTACATGCACCCCCAACGATGCTGCTCCACAATAATCCTCAGCCTACCCACACTTCAGGCTACAGTCCAGGCTACAGTCCAGGCCACAGTACAACATGCCACCTCGACTTGGGGGACTATAGGTACTTGGCAAAGACGGGGAGACCCGGAGACGGTCGTGGGCGCAGGGATGATGCATGTCGCCCGCAAGGCCACCCGCACCCGCACCCGCACCCGCACCCGCACCACCCGCACGCAGCTGCCGTCTGCTTGTTGCAGCGCTTCTAATCTTTCTCCCAGACCATGTAAGATGTAAGATATCTCTCTTCAGCTTCTCATCGGAGCAAAATGGGAGCCAGTTCTGCCAAGCTCGCGTGCACGTGGCACCGTGGCAGCTACATGTACCAACATCTGCAGTCCATCTATCTCTCTCTCTCTCTATCTACCACCCATTCGATCCAGCATTGTCGCCCTGCGCATTCTTGTGTCGCGCCCGCGGTCGCTACGCGGTCGCTTCCGCGCCACAGCTCCCCCATGGCCTCGGAGATGAGGGACCAAGAGTCGAGAGCTACACGTAGTCGCCCGTGCGATGCTTGTAGACGCCGGAAAAGCAAGTGCGTGACCGACGAGGGCAAGGCAATCTGTGTACTGTGCCACTTCCACAACCAACGTTGCACCTATCTAGAACGCCCGTTGCCGAGGAAACGTGCAAACGACCGTTGCGACCAACACTCCCCGCTGAAACGGAGTCGAGTCCTCCACACCAAGCCCGGCACCGGGGTCGAGGAAGAGGAATACCATACCATCCGTGGTCCAAGCCTCCTGAAGAAGACTCTCGGTCTGCAGAATCGCCACCACACCGAGTACATCGGTCCGAATGCCTATCAAGACGTCTACGGCACACAGACACTCGATCCGGAAGATGCACACGGTGATGGCGCCGAGCATGAGCGCTCCCCCGGTACCGCTGACTACGTGCGCTTTGTCCATCCATGCGCTGCTTTTCGCATCATACCCGACACGGAAACCGTCGGCCTGGAGAAGGAGCGATCTGACATCGATGAGATTGAGGCTACCGCACAAGGTCACGGTCCCGAGCTGGTCCAGCTCTATTTCCGCATTGTACATCCAAGCTTCCCAATCCTCCACAAGGACGTCTTCCTGGAAAAATACGCCCGCTCCTATCGCGAGTTTTCGCCACCCTTATTAGGCGCAGTCTACCTATTGGCATCGGCGTATTGGGTAAGCCCCTGCGATCGGAGCTGTGCCTGATAGCTCACCCTTCACCAAGCTGACCAGCGCTCGTCCAAATAGGCCTATAGCGAATCGCTGGCACAGTCTCGCGAGCTGGACTTGGCAAAGCTACAGGCGCTAGCGTTCAAGGCACTGCAGAACACCATGCACCGGCCAAAGCTTAGTACCATACAGGCGGGACTGCTACTCTCACAACACCAGAAGTCCTTCATGGGCACACTTCCACACGAACAGAGAGATCGACTCACGGTCCAGCTGGTCAACCTGGCTCACGCTCTCGGCCTGCACCTGGACTGCTCTCAGTGGGAGCTTCCTGACTGGGAATACGGCCTCCGCAGACGCATCGCTTCCGCTCTATACATGCAAGACAAATGGAGCGCCTTGCTCGAGAGCCGACCGTCCCTGATCATCCACGAGGAATGGGATGTCGCGTATCTGTCGGAAGAAGACTTTCCAGACCACATTGAAGATGACCAAGAGGGCAGCAGCGAAGTCTTTCTAGGCATGCTGGTATTCATGCACATGGCGGAACTAACCGTCATAGTCTCCGAGATCCTTTCCCGCGTCTTCTCGGCGCGAGCACGACGCACAATCGAACAAGCATCCGAAAGGCTGGCAACACTCCTGGATCAGATGAAGCCTCTGCAGATCAGGCTCAAAAGCTGGTTCTCGACGCTACCAGACCTTCTCAAAATGGACACAGTGGCGTCGATGAAGCTCTCGCCTGTGGGCTATCTACGCCTGGCTTACCTCACTGTCGAGGTCTGCCTACATCGCAACCTTCTGAGGACTCTGGTGACCTCAGATCATGTCGACCTGACCCTTTCCCGAGTGTGTCGAGTCGCATCCAACGCACGCTTCACCAATGCCACGGACTTCATCCAGCGCCTTCAAGCACAGCACCTCGCCTCTTTCTGGTACTTCACTTCGGCCAAATGCTGCGCACTAATCCATGCCTTCGGCAAGACATTAGAGTCGACAGCTAACACCGCCGAGGAGGAAGCCTTCTACGCCAGGAAACTGAAAGAATTCAAATGGACCTTGAAAGTCAACAGCGAGGCTGGAGCCTGCTTCATGAGACAAGCACTGGCTTTCATCAATCATCCCGTGCGAGTAGTCCCGTACAACCCCGGTTCGCGGTGGACGGATACTAGTCCCACGTCGACAAATCACCAACTAGCAACCCCTATCCCGACGACTGGGATGTCATCCGACCAATATGCTGCTACGAACAATAATCATGACTCAGCTATACCCCCGGCCATGTCGTATGTAGTAGTCCCGGCCGGCGATGCCATGGACCACACCGCTTTCCCAGGCTCAGAAGACCTCTTTTCCCATTTTTACGACAACTCTAATGGGTCTTGGACGCAAGGTCTGGGCTGACATTGGACTGCTGATGTAAATGGGCCCACGGACAAGAAATTCTTGAGCTGGACAGATCCCTCGTCGTATGGCCTGTTGTCAAATGCCCTCGAAGCGATTTGCATACAAGAGCCATTTGTCTTTCCATTCATCTCAAAGGATTACACTACATCATCAAACATCGCCGAACTGGACGCCTGGCTGGCGCGATTCTTCAGAAAATCTTTCGATCGGCCCTGTTTGCGGCCTTCTCTTCATCAGCCGCATCAGGTCTCCATTCCACACCGTTCACCACTTTATGATCATCATAGATCGAATCCCTCACCAGGGTCTCCTTCGCCAGGAACACGCACGAGAAAGTGCAGTATAGCGTGGCCGCGCTGACGAGGCCGTGTATATATAATTCCTGTGATAAACGTGTATGCTTCCTGCTAGAAGGGTGATGTCGGGGTTGACTGCCCAGGATGTTGGCTACGAGCGAGGCTAGGATGCGATCGCTGCTCTCCAGTCTATGCCGTTCCCGTCATTACCTGCAGCGGGCATATCGGCGATAGAGACCGGGCACGTCGACATGACGACGCTGCTGCAGACAAGTCAGTAGTCGCAGACCAGGATGGCGGAGTTTGGAGCGAGGAAAGCTTGCCAGACCCGTCTAGTGACAATCAACGACAAGTCCGTCGCCAAAATTCTTCTTCTCGCATCGCTCTCGAAATGCTTGCTTGCTTGCTTACCATGAATCTTCAACCGCGGATTGGCTGGCGGAGCTGATGGAATCTTTCCAATGATACCAATACATGCATGCATGACCCAGCCAGCCAGCTACAGCTACAATGAATGAATAGGAATAGTTACCAAGCAAGATTTGCCTCCGCGCCTCGCAAAATCAAATTGTCAGAAACTTCTCATTCACCCTATCCTTATCCTTATCCTATCCTATCCTTGCGAGGCGGATTCCAAGACGTCTTAAATCTTCCCGGACGGACGGACGGATGAATTTGACAGATTCCGCCGGAAACAAGAGCTTGTAGGTAGGTAGCATAGTATCTTTTGTATTATTATCATGCATCATCCATATTGGCGGCAAGAAAAGGAAAGAAAGGGAAAGAAAAGGAAAAATCATACGTGGTAGACGAGGTTCGTTTTTGAAGCTGCGCAACGATCCCGTTTAGACCGGCCTGTACGGAGAAATGTCGGCTGGATACAATGAACAACTCGGCCGGTGCGCAGATTCGGAGCATCGTGGCGGCCAGGCAAAATGAATTTTCCAATGACGGTGACGGTGAACGAGAAGCGTACACATTGCCAGCCAGCCAGCCAGCCAGCCAGCCAGCCAGCCATCGCCGCTGATAACATGTAGTAGTAATAGTAGTTGTTCCAGCTCCTTCGCGAAGATGACCCAAATGGCTGGCTGGCTGGAGGCCATCATTGAAGACGAGAAAAGTAAGGCATCGTGTTAAACCTCGACGGATCCCTTGCGCGATTAGACCACCAATGATGTGGGCGACGTCTGGGGAGGTCTTAAGTTATGGGTACGGTACGGGAGCTTTGAATTTGAAGAGGATATATCTGGTTGGTGTATGGAGTCTAGGTCAAGAGGCCGACTAATAACACGGTAAAGACACCGCCAGAATACTGCCTAAGGCAGAGAGACAAGGATGCCTAAGAATATTGTCTCCGCAATTCGTGACTGCGGAGAAGTCAGCAATGTCATGATCATGTGGCTTGCTATACTGTACTATGCAGGGCAGGGCAGTGTACAGAAATTTCTACATCGTATACGGAATTGATGACTTGCTGTATCTTGCTGCAAGCCACGATATTTGCTTGTGACGGCAATTCACTTCGCGCGTACATGACTCAGACCTCTTGCGAGTAGTTCGTTAAAAGATTTCCAGCTCGTATCGCTCCATCCTCGAAATCTTTGCTTCTAATGACACTTTTGGTATGAATGATCGTTGCCATGGATGAGTGTCGTGAGAGGGACGGGCAGGATTCCTGTCGGCTTGCGGCGGGACCTTTGCTCCGGATCATCTCCGTGCAAGTGCGCTTGCACTGGCTACTGAGAATATCTCTCTCTTTTCGGAAATCATTCTGGGGTATTGTTGAAATTCGGAGGCCGAGATTGTAGAGAGAAGAAAGGCAGTTGGCAAATTGAGCGCACCAATTTCAGGGCGAAGCAGAGCTGTGGATAATGATGACTGGTCTGCCAGAGAGAAGATGTAGGAAAGATAAGAAGATCCGGCGTCGAAGCGGAAATGCGTAGTAGTGGCGCTACCGGAATTCTTACGCCTGCTGGGTTGTGAGGACGTTCACTTCGAAATAGACTTTTGCAACGATATGGCATGCTGAGAACGCGATCAGTCCATAGAGCAGTGTGCAAATAGGGATATGTCTGTCAAGCAAGTGAGCTAGCGCGCTTTCTCGTCTGGTGCGTAGAGCTTGTCGGCTGAATGTCACTGCGGCGTACCATGACGTCCAAAGGCGTAGGAGTTGCTGCATTCGAAGGAAACGTGGAGCAGAGCAATCTGCAAGAAGCTCATTGGCCGAAGGAATCTCATCTCCTGATGGGATTCCTTCGGCCACGAATGAGTGCTGCTGGCTGCCATTACTTGCCTTTGGACGACGAGTGTCGCATTGCTAAAATCACGCCTGATCTCGCAATCTTCCAAGCTGACAGAAGTTTTGCATCGTATTGAACGGCCTGAGAGAAGTCCAGCCCGTCGAGAAAAGAGATTACTTTGCGCATTACCATCGACTGCTGTAGAGAGTTGCCATCTGTCCTGGCCAACTCGGTGGCAGGATGACAGGTATTTTTTTAATGGTACGTTCGTTCGGGAATGGGTAAGAAATTGCAAATCGGTAGTATTGGATCGTGGTGGAGCTGGTAGGGGAGGATGTCGAGGGAAGATTAGAGAGAAGAAGTGAGGTGCTGTCCAAGCGGACGCGGCGGCTAGCGTACCGGACCTTAACCTTGCGCCGGTGGAAAGGCTCCCACAACGAGCGAGCTTGGAGCTTGGAGCACCAACAACCGGAGAGCAACCAGGATGGCGCATATACTCGCTCGAGGAGGCTCATTGTCATCCGCGTATCACGACCACTTTTGCCTGGCCGCTTCCTCTTCTCATCTCATCACCCACTTCTCCCGCCTGCTTTCTTCTTCCCACCCCCAACCATCGTAACAGAGCTCCCAACAGCTCGCTTACCTCTCGTCCACCTCCCACGCGCGCACCCGAGCTGTCTTGGTGGTCTGCACCGTTGAGCTTCATCAGAGATCATGGTTGAGTTACGCAAGAGACCCGCTCCACCTCCACCTGCTCCGCCAAAGCAGAAGAAGCAAGCGACCAGCAAGTCCAAGGCCAAGAAGGACGCGCCCAAAGCTGCTGAGCCTGAAGAAGCTCCTGCTGCTGCGCCGGCCGCTGCAGAGACTGCCGCAGAGCCTGAGGCACCCAAAGGTCGCGCTGCCAAAGGTGATGCTCCCAAAGGTGGTGCTCCCAAGGTCGGCGACAGCATTGCCCTCGACGGCTTTGGTGGGGAGATCGAGACGAATGACGGCGACAAGACCACTCTTGCGAAGCTGGTAGCCGACAGCAAGGCCGGCGTGGTGCTGTTTACTTACCCCAAGGCCAGCACTCCAGGCTGTGAGCATAAACTCTTCTGATCCACTTGTACGAATCACATTCTGACCCTACCCAAAGGCACGACACAAGCTTGTCTCTTCCGCGACTCCTACGAGCCCCTCACCGCGACAGGTCTGAGCATCTATGGCCTCAGCACCGACAGCCCCAAGGCCAACACGACCTTTAAGACGAAGCAGAGCCTGCCATACCCGCTATTGTGTGATCCATCCGCAACCCTGATCGCTGCCATTGGCTTCAAAAAGGCTCCAAAGGGTACGACACGAGGCGTCTTCGTGGTTGACAAGAGCGGGAAAGTGCTTGCTGCTGAGCCGGGCGGTCCTGCGCCTACCGTAGAAGTTGTGAAGAAAGTAGTCGCGTCTATGGATGGTGACAGTGCCGCGGACGGCGTTAAGAGAGCCGAGGAGCGTGCAGAAGAGGATAAAAAGGTCGCAGACACCGCTAGTGAGGTTGCTGATGCGGCCGGAGAAGTCGATGGTGCTGCTGCTTGATCACGAGTTCACGTCTGGGTCTGGTATGTTCTTGTATTTTGTAACGTGAGCGCGAGAGCAGTTAACTTGAGCTGTAGCGCGGTAGATACCACTGAACAGGCACCGTGAACGAGCATCACGACGAAGACACCACCTTTCCACTGCCTCCTAAGCCATTTGACCCTGTCCAGTCGCTGAGCACTTTCTCAGCCTGCGAATCCTGCATGTCACACAACGAGTACATAAAGTTCGTCGCGGAGACACGGAAAAGAAAACACGTCTTAGACCGACAGCTCGCACCTCATTCTGCGAGCTGCCGGTCTTTCCGCGACTGTCCTCAGTACTCTAGCAAACATGCATGCATTTGCCCGCCGGTAGGTATGTGAGGACAGACGGGCCAAGGAGTGTCCTCATCAGGTCTGTCCAGCGAGTGTCCTCATCAGGTCTGCTACCGCACATTATACATAACTTGCTCTTTGCATACCCTATCTTCCGATAGAATGCAACTCACGACCATCATGCCTTTCTTCAACAAAATCCTCAAACTCGCCAACGGCGCGAAGGGAAACTCCCCATCATCCGACAAACCCAAAGCCAAACACGCTAAGAGTAAAGATCATCAACATGAAGCCCTTCCAGCTCGAAAGGATTACTTGATGTCTTCTTCCGAAGATTCGTTTGAGATCATCGAAATTCCAGAACATACTACCGCGATCAAGAGGAAACGAAGCCTTTCTCCTCGAGTCGTCAGCCACGATGACGGCACCAAGGCGAAACGAAGCCTTTCTCCCCAAGTCGTCAGCCACGATGAAGCAAGTCAGCAAATCGAAACCACACAACCCAAGACTGGAGAAGACCCCGGAGTTTCCCTCTTTCGAAAGGCTGCGGGAGAGCTGAGATCGCAAGTCTTGACGAGTCCGTATGTCTTACGACCGGATTGTGTACGATCCCATGGGAAGGGGAAAGGCAAAGCGCATTCGAGATCTGAGGTGGTGTGTCGCAAGGGGCGGTGTGAGGGGAAGGGAGAAGTGATATGTCGGGAGTAGTGATGTGGGCGTGAGAGTATCGAGGGGCAGGCTGTGATTTTGGAAGAACGATGGCAAGATATCCGGACGAATGTCAGTATATATTCGATGGGGTAGTATTTCAAAGCGAGCTCAGATAATGATAGAAGAGCCTCGCTCTCAGGCCTCCTGCCCAAGAATTTCACCAACATTGCCATCGCATCGCGACTTCCCACTCCTTTCCAAGACAGCATACCGAAACTTCCCTCTGCTTGAAGTTCACTGGTAGATTTCGTGGTATTCGTCAGAGAGATAGGAGTAATGTTTGCACGGGAATTCCAGATTTGGGGTTTCCAGCATCAGCGTTCAAGCGTCTGATTTGGCGCTTCGCCGAAATCTACTGCAACTTCTGTGCCGTGGAACCAAGCGTAAGCGGTCTTGGAGACTAAGTCGTGGATGCCGCGAACAAGTTTGTGGAATTAAATCACGATGTTTTCGTGCTCCAGTAGGCTTGATCATATCGCTGTAGGCTTTGAAAAGCTGCACGGGAGTGCTGTATAGTGATATTGACGATTTCCTTCCTCGCGGATGAAGCCCTGGCGCCGATATTAAATGATGCTCTATTCGATAACGGCATCTCAAGCTTACGGGTACATGATTGTGGTTTGCGGGCCCCTGACTCTTTCCATGGCGTCGTATAGGTCCACATACAAGAATGCCAACAGCGCACCACTATTGTCTGTATCGTACGCAGAAGCATGCAAGTCCTCGACCTTTAAATTGCGCAGCTCAACGGCTTCTTCCACACTCAAGTCAAGCAGCCTCTTCTTCGAATCTTCATGAAATGACACGGCGGAGTCCGGTGACCTAGGCATTCGCTCCTCTAAGTGGAAGGGAGCATAGTCTGCGTAGGCCAAGAGCCGTGCTGCTCCATCCCTCAGCATCACCACACCACAGAACAAGGGAACACTCTGCAGGCATCGATTCTCGTTGGCGATGAAAAGACTTCTTCGGACTTGGGGGCTTTGGCATAGGGCGAAATAGCAGTCAGATGAGAGGTCTAAATGTCACTCCGAGCTTCCTTTGTGCCAGGTGCTAAGGGGGCCAGGAACCTCTCTGGCACGCCTGCCAGTTCAGATCGACGGAGCCATAGACCCTCATCAGTGTCCGCAAGATTTGCACGACGTTGTGCTGTCTGATGGCTAATGCGCATTTTGATCTCGCGTAGTCTCTCGCGAGGCGTAGGTGGCCGAAGCGATCCTTGTTGCCTGTGTTGCCTATGTTTGATCATTAAATATCGTAAATCTCCACGATTCAGACACTCCTGCCTCTGCACCACCGCGTTTACAAGGCGAAACAGGGGTTTGTTCAGTGCGTCCTGGACAGTCGCATCATCTAGAACGGCCGAGTCTGGTTTGAGGCTGACCGCACGCCTGCATCCATCGAGGCGAAGGTTTAGAAGAAAAGGAGATGCTTCAAGAAGTGGTTCTCTGCGTGAGCCATAAGCACCATGACATTGGCGAAAGTAGCATCCCCTACTGCGACGTCCTGGACTGTCCTCATCCAGGCGAGGTCGAGTCCATCGATCGACCGATGCGCATCTCGGAGATTCAGCAGATGGTCTGCTCGACTGAAGTCCAGGCTCCCTGGTCGCTGCCGTTATAATGGGAATTGGCTGCGCCATTTGGACAGCAGTTTTTGAGAGCTTCGTGCTCTGGTTCAAATCTTTAGGAGGCATTTCAAGCACAACTGAATCTTTGTGTTCCGCCGCCGGCATTTCACCACCAGCAAAGCTCCTGCAACGGATGGCGCGGAATGCAGAGCCGTCATGCAAGCAGTGCATGCTTGCAGCTGCCAGACCTGACAAGTATCAAAGACCTCATATTCCTCTGGATGGAAGACCGGCAAAGTCTTCCATCTCGTGCGCACCTCTTCCCGCGCCTGAAGGCTGGGTCCTCCTTACTCTGAAGGTCCGATCGGTGCCTGATTTAGCGGCCTCCTGGCCAGCTTCATTCACGCTGACAGAAGGTTCCTCTTCTCCAGCTATCCTGTCGATCAATCTTGCTTTCGCCTTGGCATCCTTCAGACGGTCGTCAAATTCAGATACAGTATCTTCTTCATTCGTAGTTGAGAGGTCATCTGGGTCAGAGAGAGCAGCTAGGCGTTCGATATGCCTCTGAAGTCTGTCACTTCGGCCAATTGGCGGCAGCTTCTCCTCCAAAGCTGTTTCTGCTCCGTCCTGAGCGAGATTTTCGGGGAGTCTGGCCTCCCACACTGCAGCTCTCCCGTTCAACTTTCCCATTTCCACAAATTTCTCAAAGCCTTTTTCGAGGCCAAAGATACGGCCTTCGATGCGGCCCGACTTGGAGCCATCTGCGACGCCCAGAGAGTATCCTTCCGAGTAGTACCGGTCTTCTAGATTGAGAGCGTCCTCAAAGACGTCTCGCTCTTCCGATGTGGCCATATTGGCGTTGTGGTGGGGAGATGAATGTTTTCCGACAGGTGAAGTGACTGACCATTGAGAAATTGATTGAAATTGATGGGCCGGCGGGTGAGGCTGAAACATTCCGGGCGCTTGGGGAGGGGCCGTGGCTAGTCGGCGACAGAGCAAGCGAAGACTCATTGAAAGAGCTTCAGAAAGCTCTCCTGGCCGTGTAAATTCTTCCTACCGGCTCGCACCTTCGGACTCCGGAAAACGATATACAACGAACGATTCAAACACCTCTTCGAAACCTACCTCCAGATTCGTCACATCGACTCGCAAACAAAGAAGCTGCGTCTGGGCCAGGGCAACGAAGCCCGCACAATACCAAAGCACGCGACCTTCAACTTCTCGAACCATGGCTGCGAACGGGGAAGAGAAGAAGGTCATATTGCCTGAGAAAGGCAAGAAGAACATCCTGATCACGAGCGCACTTCCTTATGTCAACAATGTTCCTCATCTGGGCAACATCATCGGCAGTGTCTTGTCAGCAGATGTCTTCTCGCGGTATTCCAAGGCTCGAGGAAACCCTACACTTTTCATTTGCGGAACAGACGAGTATGGCACGGCGACTGAGACGAAAGCGATTGAAGAGGGCGTGACACCTCAGCAGCTTTGCGACAAATACAACAAGATCCACAAAGAGGTGTACGACTGGTTCGAGATCGAGTTTGACCACTTCGGCCGGACACCGACACAACAACAGACCGACATTGCGCAAGATATCTTCTTGAAGCTACATAAGAATGGATACCTGGACGAAGAGACACGAGAACAGCCATATTGCCCTGAGAACGGTCATGGCTTTCTTGCGGATCGCTTTGTCGAGGGTACATGTCCATTTGAGGACTGCAAGTACGATGATGCAAGAGGAGATCAATGTGACAAGTGCGGAAAGCTGCTTGATCCCATCAACCTGATCAATCCAAGGTGCAAGCTACACAAGGACTCGAAGCTCGAGATTAGGGAGACAAAGCACGTGTTCCTGCTTCTGGACAAGCTAGATCCTCAAGTTCAAAAATGGTTTAACAAAAGGCGCGAGGAGGGCCGATGGAGCGAGAACGGCTACAGTATCACAAAAGATTGGTTCACTCGTGGATTGAAGCCAAGAGGTATCACTCGAGATCTGAAATGGGGAACACCAGTGCCGCTGAACGGATACGAGGACAAGGTCATGTATGTGTGGTTTGACGCATGTATTGGGTACGTTTCGATCACGGCGACATACACGGAAGACTGGGAGAAATGGTGGCGCGACCCAGACAACGTTCAGCTCTATCAGTTCATGGGCAAGGACAACGTGCCATTCCACACTGTTGTCTTCCCATCGTCACAACTTGGCACTGGAGATCAGTGGACTATGCTCGACACCCTCAGCACAACCGAGTATCTCAATTACGAACACGGCAAGTTCAGCAAGTCTCGAGGCATTGGCGTTTTCGGTACATCAGCTCAGGATACTGGAGTCCCGCCCGATGTCTGGCGATATTACCTATTGAAAGTGCGACCCGAGACAGGCGACACGGAGTTCGAATGGGAAGCCTTCGTTGCAGCTAACAATAACGAGTTGCTGAACAACTTTGGCAACTTCGTCAATCGAGTGCTGAAGTTCGTCAACTCCGAGAAGACGTATAAGTCGGTTGTGCCTGCATACCCAACAGACATCGACCCTGAAGTGCAGAAGGCGCTTACAGAGCACGTTGCGGAGACCAATGCGAAGCTGAAGGAATACCTCAAGGAGATGGATGCAGTGCACCTTAAACAGGGTCTTGTTTGCGCTCGAGAGATCTCTTCGCTGGGCAATGGACTTCTACAGGCCAACAAGACAGACAACAACCTCTTCACCAACGAGCGCGCGAGATGTGACGCTGTGGTGAATCTCGCCATCAACCACATCCATCTTCTTGCCTCCGTGATTGCTCCGTACATGCCAGCCACCACCAAGAGCATTTTGTCTCAGCTGCAGGCTGAGCTGCTCATCATCCCAGATCGGTGGGAGGCAAAGAGCATCTCGGAAGACCACAAGATTGGTGCTGCGCAGCACCTTTTCACCAAGATCGGCAAGGACGTCAAAGATCCGCAAGATCCAAAGAAAACTGTGAACGACAAAGTCTTGGAATGGAAGTTGCAGTTTGGTGGAGAGGAATTGAAAAAGGCTATCGCGGATAAGGAGGCCAAGGCTGCTGCGAATCGGGCTGCTAAGAAAGCGAAGAAAGAAAAGAAGGCTGCGGGAAATGTTGAAGCTGCGGAGAAGGATGGCGCACCGCAGGATCCTAATGCTGGGACCGCCATCGAAGAGGTCACGGAGGGTGTGAGGCAGGCTGCGCTGCAGACGAGCTAGGGTTTCTCCAATGGATAGAGTCAGTATGTTTGAGCGAGGTGTTGACGGTACGCGACGATGATGAGGTTATGCGACATGTATGGATAGCGTGACTATTGAAGCTCTATAGATTCCCCGACTACTAAGCTACATGGTGACTTCGTATGGATGGAGACACAAAAGAGCCTGAGTAGCCCTGTTCCCTTCACATGTCAATTCTGGCTTTTGGCTGACACTAAAATGCACGGGTCTCTACAGCACGAATTTACTTCTCTCCGGTGAGTCCTTATGTTTCTCACGTCACACATATTGCGAAACGCTTTCGAATAACATCGCTTCCCCACGGCAACATCATGGATTTCCTACTCCTCTTACTTGACAGTATGCGCATCACTACGGTAAGTCTCACTCTAGAGGGTCTTTACCATGGAGGGAGGTTGAGAAGCTACTTGAGAATCATCAGCCTCGTGTCCTCGCGTTACACGACACTCGATGGGCCCAGGACTAGAGACGGAATAAGGGGACGAAAGGAGGCCTGCAAGATCTTCTATGCCGAGGATGAATTCCTGTTCCATGCTCCTGGCTACAACGCAGACACCCTGCACACCTTCGCTACTCATGTGCATGACCAAGGTATCTTGACGGAGGAACTGCGAAGCTATTGCTCGTGCTCGAGCATTGAGAACCAGCGTCCGAGCTGGGCCGGTCTATGCGAGTGGCTGCTCAAGAAACATCAGATTCCGCACTATCCGGGTCTGCTGGTCCCTCAAGGCCTCAAGGAGAAAAGCCCCCATGCCACCGAGAAATTCATCGTGGGTGGGATGTTTTCAACGGCCTGACTCGATAAATCTTTCTTAGGCGAAAGTAGAGGCGACACTCTTGCAGTAGCGCTGGGTCTTGGCGGAGCATGATCCTCGTTGGGCAGAAGGTTAGCCTGTAAGTGCGCAACATCGCAAAGAGTCTTCCAGCAAGTGGTAAATTCATAAAGAGCCCGCATCAAACTGCGCGACTTGCTCAGCAGAGCAGCCAAGGCATTATGCGACGGTGCAAAAAAGAGGCGTGAGCGTGGACAGCACTGCAAAGGATATGCCCTAGGACAGGAGTTCGCGTCAGCAAAGGCACTGTACATTGCTGATGATCACGGCGGCTGCTGTAGGGACATCATCTCACCAAGATGACTGCCGGTTACCTCCAGGCGGCCTGCCTCTGTCACGTGTAGTGCACCTCCATGTCAAACACACCTCTTTACTACTATAACTTGCGGAGACAATCCGCTTTCGGTTCCATCTCGTGCGCTATCCCTTGTCGACTTCGACTCATCCATCTTCCCCTGCTCTTCCTCATTGCAGATCTGTATGCCAGAAGCGAACCTGCCACACCACGTACATCTTTCGATGCAACTCGTCGCGTCAGGATTATGAAAGGCTTGAGATATCAATCTTCGTCACTCGGGAATATACAGTGGCCAACGGATGTGAATGGCCCTATAAGGGTATTTTGGGACGGGTTTCAACTTTGAAGAAAAGAAGAGAAAGAAAGAGCCAAGCGGAGTACAATTTGAGGTGCAATTTTGGCTGTGGTCTGTGCGTCGGGGAAGATTAAGTCAGCGGAAAACTGTTGGGATGGGGATGTAAGGACTTCACCGTTCCATTTTCCCCATACCATCTCTTCGATGCCACAAGCTCCTTGGCTCCTTGGAAGCCCAACACGTCGAAGAGAACGCCTTGAAAGTCTGCTGCGATGGAAATTGACGAAAAGACGTGTGGACTCCCAGGCCTCATAGCTTTTATTCTTTTGGGACAAGATGATTCTACCTGCTCAAGAACGACATCGAGAGGCACAGCATGCGGGGGAGGCAATCTCTGGTTCCATACCGACCGAATCATTTGTGCCGTATTTCGTGACGCCTTGCGGCTTTCACCAAACGTAGGATCTTGAATGCGACTATTCTTCCTGAAATGGCTCTCGCACGCAATAATTTTAGCGGTCGCCTTCAGCCGTCAGGAAGGGCTCTTCCAAGTACTCCCTCACAGCTGAAATGAATATCGATGGAGACATGCTCTCGCCAAGCTGACAGCTACCCGAGAATGGACAAGACCGAGTAGACTCTTGCTGCGAAGAATCAAGCAGAGAAGGACATGACTTGTTGTTGAAGTTCCTGTGCCGCACGATCCTGCAGCATGCCAAAATCCTCTCGATGGCTCGCCGTTTTCGCCCGCGGTCGAGAGCTTTATCGACTGTCGACATTTAGTGCGCTGACAGGAGAGATATCTGTTTGTCATATTTCTGTCAGTGGCATTGCTTAGGTCTAAGGTAGAGACGAGGTGGAGAGTCCCGGAAAGCTTTGACAGCCACAGGCCCGTGCACTTTCGTGGATGTGAGTGATTGACTTCACGGAAAGCAATTAAGGTATACATACATCCCACCGCTCAGCTATGCACCCTTGACGCATAAGACAGGGAACATCATTGCAATCGACACTGTTCAGGGACGCTCTCGTACAGTCTCGGTCCACTTTCGACCGAACCGCGAAGCCCCGCCAGAGTCTCCCATCCAACTCACTGCTCAACGCGGAATTGCGGTCTGTCGCCGCTGTCTATCAGTAACAGGGACTTCCCGTTGGCTATTTTCTCTCAGTCCTCTATTCCGTCTTTCCTACTGTCTTTGGCACAAGTAGCACAATGGCCACAGAAAAGCTTCTCTCCGTCGAAGAGATCTCCGAACATAACACACCAGACGACTGCTGGATTGTCGTAGACGGCAATGTATGGGACTTGACTGAATTTGCTCCCGAGCATCCTGGGGCACCGGAAAGCAGGTCCCTTCACTCCCCGTCTGAGGAGTTGTTACCCTTCTGATCACCTTGGCAGTCATATGGACCCACGCCGGCCGCGACGCAACGACCTCCTACTCCTCCGTCCATCCACTCTCCCTCCTATCGAAGAGCCTCTCTCCCTCGAAATTAAAAGGTCGTCTCGATACCTCAACCATAACAAAAGACTGGGTCAAACCTCCTCCCACGATCACACCCCAATTACGATTGAACGAAAAACCACCGCTCTCCTCCATCATCAACGCCCAAGATTTCGAATCTGTAGCCGAAAGAACTATCGCCAAAAAGACATGGGCGTTCTATTCTTCCGCAGATACGGGTTGTCTGACAAGAGATAGGAACCAGGAATACTTTGGACGGATTCTATTTAGGCCGAGATTGCTGAGGGATGTCAAGGGCGTTGATACAAGGACCACGGTTCTAGGACATGAAGTGAATGTTCCCATATTCGTGGCGCCTGCTGCTATGGTAAAACTCATACACCCGGAAGGAGAAAAAGCTATTGCGAGAGGTTGTTTGAGGGAGAAAATCGCACAGGGAATAAGTACGAACGCTTCTTTCCCGGTCGAAGAGATCGTGCAGAGTATCCCGGGTGGAGGACATGCATTTTTCTTTCAGCTCTATGTGAACAAGGATCGTCGAAAGTCTGAAGAGCTGTTGAGACATGTACGAAGTCTCGGAATCAATACCCTTCTCGTCACAGTTGATGCTCCTATGCCAGGAAAGAGAGAAGCAGACGAGAGAGTCAAGATGGATGAGAGTTTGAGTACTCCTATGAGTGGACAGAAAGGTAGCAATGATCGGAGAGGAGGCGGGATCGGGCGATTAATGGGAGGATACATTGCTCCTGATTTTACCTGGGATGAGTTCGGGTGGATAAGAAAGCATTGGGGTGGGAAGGTTGTTGCAAAAGGCGTTCAGAGTTGGCAAGACGCGAAGATGTGTGCCGAATTCGGTTTGGATGGAGTTCTTTTGAGTAATCATGGAGGGAGGAATTTGGATACGTAAGTTCTTCAAGCTTTTTCTTGGGGTGAGTACTAATGAAAGATAATAGGTCACCTCCGGCTATCTTGACTTTACTGGAATGTCAAGCCAATTGTCCAGAGATCTTTTCGAAGCTGGAAGTCTTGGTAGACAGCGGGATCAGACGAGGCAGCGATGTGCTCAAGTGTCTGTGTTTGGGTGCGACCGCCGTTGGCTTGGGTCGGCCATTCCTCTTCGCTTCAAACTACGGAGAAGAAGGCGTTGAGCATCTAATCGATATTATCAGAACGGAGTTGGCAACAGCGATGGCTTTGATCGGCATTACGGATCTCAGTCAATGCGAGCCCGGGCTTGTCAGTACGTTGGAACTGGATCCGCTGGTCAGTAGAGGAGAAGACCACCCCTACGCGAAGGGCAGGAGAATGGAGCATTACAAGACGTACAGGGAAGGCAGAGCAAAACTGTAGAGTGATCAGCAGGTATATCGAGCAGTCGGAAGCATCTTACTTCCGCAGACCCGGTGTAAGCAGAGAGACTCTGACTGTATAGTTGAAGTTGATGGCCAAGTTCGCATTCCGCAACATGCATGGTCTTCGTCATCTGCACATGCGAGCGCACGGATGCTTTCTCGGTGCGTACCGAGCGTCCAGCTATGCGATACCGAGCTGCAAGTCTTCGCTTCCATCCTCCTCGGTCTTCCTGCTTCAACTCTCCATCTCCAAGCCATCGCCCTTCTTGCCAACCATCTGCAAATGCTATCGTGAGGGCCATCAGCAGTGCTACATGCACGCTGATTCTGTACGACGTCGTCTTGATGACTTCGAAGGCGGCCTGATCCCAGAGAATAAGGCTGATGGCGACGATTGGCTGTTAAGCGCCCGCACAACCTGCTGAAGCCGCCGGCCGCAGCAGCCGAACCGACGACATCCAATGCCTACGCCCAGCGACTTGGACTTTGAGAATATCGAAATCCCTGCTGCAAGGGACGTACCGGTTTCATTGTTTCGCTTTGTCGCGGTTATTTTAAGTCAGGCGCTGTTCATTGACGCTGCGAACGCGACAATGGTCTCATTCACGCATAATCGCATCAAGGAAATTGTACCGTGACACTCTTATCTACCCTGTCTTCCATACAGTTTCTGCATCCTACAACCCAGTTCTCTCCAAGGATTCACGGCCGTTCTCTTTCTTTCTCTTCTCCTTGATCATATTCCACAAGTCGCTGGCGACTGACACTATCACGCCTAATACTTCGACCTTGCAGAGCGATCCCACCAAAACGTCGACACGATGGGGTTCAAAAATTCCGCCACCTCCGGTCGTATGCAGCCATACGCTGTCCTTCCAGTGCTGGTCATGACGACTGCTTTTGTCCTGTCTTTCCTTTGCGTTTTCGCGGGCAACAAGCCAGGCTACATGGAAGATTACGCTTTTTTCACACTTAATGTCTCTCGTGTTGGAGAGAACTTGATCCAGGACTTCGACGACAAGATCTACGCTATCAACTTGAACAATCTCATCAACCCCTCCGAGCCCAAGAATGTGCCAACTGCTACTGCCACCACCGCTCCTACCGCTATGATCACCAGGGCACCACGCGACTTGAGCAATTTGGTCGGCGACCTCAGCAGCGACCTTGGTGGCGCCGAGTCTGCAGTCCAGAGCAAGGTCTCTGTGGTCAACTCTGCTGCTGGCAGCGAGGCTTCTGCTCTTGAGTCCGCTGCGGCCAGCAAGATTAACAGCGCCGTGGAGGCTCTCGAGACCAAGATTGTCCACGCAGTCAATAAGGCCTACACCAACCTCATCGAAGATATGGATCTGAAGGACTTTTACTCCATCCACATGATGACCACCTGCTCCGGAGAATACCAATTCAAGAACGGCAGCAACATCACTCACAGCGTCGGCCCCGCTCCACCACGCAACAGTACCCACCAACACGTCGACACGTGCGAGAAGCACTCTGCTCTAGACCCAGTCTCTGTTGTTCGCATTCTGTACGAGATCGGCATCGTTCTCGTCGCCATCTCCTTCGTCCTCAGCATCTGGGGCATGATCCGCTTTAGCCGGAAAGCTGCCGTGATCAACGCCCTCGCCACGTTCCCAGCCGCGATGCTCGTCGGTCTCGCCTCTGCCGCCGTCACCGGAGTCGCAGTCGGAGCCGAAAAGCTCGTGAACTTCGCCGGAAAGGGAATTGGCATCTCCGGTGCTGCGGGTAACAAGTTCATCAGTCTCACCTGGGCGGTCACAGCACTCTTGCTGGTCAATATTGGCATTTGGTGTGTCTTGGCTTTTGTGGGCGACAAGACGAAGGTTCCCAGAAGAGATGGGAGTCGGGAGAAGGAAGTGCCGTATGGTACGCACTATGAGCTGCGTGGGAGTGCGGATAAGCCGAGGGGTGCGAATAGTTGGTACATTCGGGAACCGGAGCCTGTGCATCCGGAGTCGAGGCATGGATTCATTTGAGTTATCGATGATGGGCGAGAGAGATGGGAGATGACATGATTCCAATGATAGTTAGACATCACGACCCTGAGATAATGCGAAGCTTGCACGTTCATAATTCTCCCATATTCCTCTATACACCCAGCGCTCTTACTCACAAGACATTTCTCAAACAAACGTGAATCAGTTGAAGAGACATGTCTGATGAACTCGGGTACAGTCGCGAATCATTTGAACGGACACGTCTCATGATCTCAATGCTCAATGCCTGGTGTCGCTCGTGCGTCACATTCCAGCAGGCTGAAATCTAGAACGTTTCGGTATCATCGAGCAGTACACATGCAAGGCCCACCAAGCGACGACATGTTCGCTGCAAGCTCCAACCTTAAAGCTGCCTCAGAAGTACTCGGTGGCTTGTACTTCCCAAAGCAGAAGATAGCTATGTGTAGGAAGCTCTTCTGGAGAAGTGCTCTGCATAGCTGTCTGTACGCCGCGCCATTCTTTGCTTGCGACTCCAAAGCACCCAATTCGTGGCAAACGAGATATGAGTGGCGGTGAAGCTGAAATAGATGCATGCCAAGAGCATGAGATCTGAATCCATGCTTTACCGAAGGCGTTGTAGGTGTAGTTGAAGGCGAGCTGAGATGCGTAGTTCGATCAAACCAGCATCGCATTGTTTCTCCGCAATCGTTCTCTTGTCATATCGATTGCAACCTCACAATATCTCAACAGCTTAAGGCTGCGTACCACCGCACCAAGATGGATACATTCGCAGCCGCTATGATCCATCGACGCTGCAGCTTAGCAACACCGACAAATCGGCACTTGCTCTTGCCGCAAGCGATCCGAATCCGTCTCATCGATAGCCTCGACACCAGAAGCAAATGTCAATGAGACCAAGTCGTATGTCGAGCCACACACCACAGGCATGAAGATGCCTGCAGAGACGAACGTCATTATCGCATCGGATACCTTCAGTGAGTACCATTTGCGAAAAGGTGTTGTAGGATGCTCATACGTGTGTAGAAAAATGCGACGCGAGAAGAGCACTTCTCCGCGAGAACGATATGTGAGGATATCGGGCACTGGGCTGAAGATGTTTCGCTCGCACGGCGCATCAGCGGGCATCTTGAGAAGTTCGATGCTCCAGGACACTGGCGTTTGTCATGGCATCCTTTGTTATCGGTAGTAGGGAATGGATATTCCAGCGTCATCTTCGAGATTCATCGCAAGCTCACCTTTATCGCCGTTGGCGAGTCTACCAAGCGGCTGGGAGGAGCTCAGAGTTGAACTGCTGAAGTATCGCGAAATTTGGCTGACAGTCCATGGCCTCCCATATTGAAACGCTGGCAAATGTGAGAATGATAGCGAGCTTAGCTGTCTAGCACAAGCCTTCCATCCCAGGCCGGCCCTTCCCTCGTATCATCATCCGCGACAAGAGCTCGCTCAATCTCCACTAGCACCTCTTCAGTCAAAGGTCTTCGTGTTCCATTGATGAACAGCGCTCCTAGCGGCATGAACAAGCTCTTCAATCTGGTATATATGCACTCCGATCCCCCATTTTGGCAGCAGAAGAAATCTCTCAGATTTCTGCGCGCGTATTCGGTGCTCAAGCCCGAGAGCAGCGTCCGAGTATCTCTATCCATCCAATCCCGCCAAGGAATATTTTGATATGCGTGCGTCGATGCTTCTTGGTTGTTCTCGATAATTAGCCGCTGCGTGCATTGTCCGAACTTTGAGCTTTGGCAGCTGCCTGTTACGCGGATCTCGAGCTTTGCTATCTTGTTAAGGTTGGAGATTCCAAGGGCTTGAACCCACTTCTGGACATCTTCTTGGGTGACAGCGATCAATCGCAGTGTGACGTCGCCAATCGCTGGCCGTAGGGGTAACGCTTCGATTCGTAGAAGGTGGCTTGTGTGAAGCAGGGCGAGAGCGCCGCGCGGGCATTTGATCAAGGTTTGGTCAAATGAATCGGTATAGAAATCGATCGTGTGTGCGTCTCCGTCGAAGAGATAGTCGATAATGGAGAGCCGCAGCTCTGCAGGTAGGCCTAAGAAGGATGCTCTGGGTGGAAGTGCCATGGTCGATGTGGCCATCAAGGCACGCCGAACGTTGTGGACGAAAGACTGGAAGAACTTGGTCAGGACCCACCTGTATGATGTGCAGGTGCTGTCTCCGCGAGGAAGCACGCTGGAGGTGAAGAGCTAGTAGTGCGGCTTTCATATGCTTTTGCTCTGAGGTCAGTGAATGTTGGAAGATCGCGAAGGACGGATGGCCGGAGCCAAGTCCTCGTTGCGGACCGAGGCGCTTCGGAGGTGGATGAAGCCGACGGGAGTCTCTTTCCACAAGTGTTGCCTTTCGTCAAGTATTGGTACGCGCAGACAGCCTCAGCCTTCCGATCGATTGGGTGCTGTGCAATATTTATACAGCTTCTGGAGACTGCTGCTATGGGCCTGGAAGACAGATTCTCCATCTCTGACGCCCGTACGCCAGTGACCGACAACGCCGGGACCGGCAATAACACAAATACTGGCAATGTGGCCCATCTTCCAAGCGCCAGCAATGGTGATGTTGTGAACGCCAGCGATGCCGATTTGAATGTATCCGAGTCCTTGTCGAACAGCAACTCCATCTATCGTGGCCCCCCTGATCAAGCCGTGCCCGAGACACCGACCACTTCAATTACTTATCAAACAGCCACTTACTATTCTTCGTTCGGAGCTCCAGGTCAATATGCCGAATCCGCACAAGACGAGCCCACTGGCGAAGAGCCACCTCGAAAGCGGCGCCGTCCCGCTCTTTCTTGCGAGCCTTGTCGTCGTCGAAAGGTTCGCTGCGACCGAATGCATCCATGTGGTCCCTGTGTGCGGATGAGAGTTCAGCAGGCTTGCGAGTATAACAACCGCTTTCCTCGGGCTGGAATTCCACCGGGCGTTGATGAGTTTGCTGTTCCCGGAACAGCTGAGCATCGCGCGCGGAATTCGGCCCAAGAAACGCCTTCTCGCGGTTTCGCAGACTTCGAAAGCGAAGTTCGACAGCACGGTTACCCGTCTGCTCGATCGACGCCTTCAATTCGAGAGACAAACGGGAACGATTATCCTCCACCAGAGTCTGCTCGTACAGTATCCTCGTCCCTGGACGAGCTTCAGCAGACGGTTAGAGAGCTACAATACCGTGTCAGCAGAACTGAACGGCTGGAGTCCAGCACGCCGAATGCAGTCTATGATGACCGTACTCTGTGGGAGCAAATGAGAACGCTTCAGGAAAAGGTTGAGGGGCTCGAGGCCCGGATATCTCGCACTGAAACGATTCCACCCACCAGTCCTGTCAGCACTGCTCCCAAGGCATCTGTTACAGATTCTAGTACTGAACGCGACGAACAGCAACGTGCTGGGCTTTCTTTGCCAATTCCACCACCGCGCGTACGAAAAGAAACCTCTAAGTTCTATGGCCCTACCCATTACGTCCATCTTTTCAATGCCCAGACAGACTGTCTTGCACGCATGCTAGCCGATCAGGGCAGCTCCAAATTCAACGTGCCGCAGGACCGCCGCACAATATCAGTGATTGACCTCTTCAACCACGTTCGCGCTCTCAGGAGAACTATCAAAGAAAGCAGGCGCGTCAACACAGTAGATCCTATCCGACATGCAATCGAGTCTGTGCGCTTTTGGAACGCCAGACACAATCTTGCCGGACTCTACTTCAACCACTGCGAAGGCCTGTTCCGCATTCTTCACACTCCATCCTTCACGAGTCAATACGACCAGCATCGTGAGCTAATTGCGCGTGCGCCTCCTGCATTATTAGCTCAATTTATTCTTGTCTGCGCGATTGGAGCTGCCTTCGTAGACGATCAATCCGAACTGAAGAGTCTGGCTGGAAAATGGGTGTATTCTGCCCAATCATGGTTGACTGGACCGGACGAAAAGGCGCTCAGTGACGGAATGTCCGTTCAGAGCTGGTGCCTGCTCGTTTTGGCGAGACAACTCAATCGGGTCGGCACAAAAGAACAGACGTATGCCCTAGCTGGATCGATGGTAAGGGCTGCGGTTTCGATCGGACTTCATCGTGATCCAATGCATTTCCAGGAAATGGGACCCATCCGGACAGAGATACGACGTCGAGTTTGGAGTACCGTATTGGAGCTTTCCCTTTCAGCATCAATTGATGCGAATGCGCTGCCGTTGATGTGTCTTGATGACTTTGATACCGAACCGCCATCCGGATATGAGGACGAGTTGCTGCAGGAAGGTGCCTCAATAATGACGAGTATTCCAGCTTCTTCGAACCAGATTACTTCGACCTCTTCCCAAACCTTGCTGAGGCATTCTTTTGCAACGAGGCTAGAAGTTGCCCGCACGCTCAATTCCTTCAAGCACGACGCTCCTCGGGACAAGACTAATCGTCTTTACAAAGAGCTTCAGGATGCAATACTGCACGCCATGACACATCAGGAAAGCAAAATGGGGTCTATGAATCTGCAACTGCTTTTCTCGGTCTTGGAGATTGCAAAACTTCAAATCTGCTGCGCGTGTATGTCCGCGTGCAACACTCAATCTAGTCCACATTTCGATTGGTATAAAGCTGAAGCAGCCATGATCTCACAAGAATTACTCTCGAAACCGTTGAAGGACGACCAAAGCTCAATAGGTTTAAGTCCGCTTGGAAATCTGGCTCTTCGTCGTTCAAGAGGATTATTCAAGTCCAATTTCTCGCCTCATGTCCTTCACATCGGAGCTCAAGAACTTCTTCAGAGACTGCGCGATCCAACAAATGCAAACACAACGTTGGGAGTAGAGCTTAGCAATCATTGGGCAGGCATGCTTGAACGAAAGGAACTGGAGTGTCTTGAACTCATTAAGTCAGGCGATGCGAGCTGTAAATGCTACGTCTATTTGCATGTCACCAATGCGATGACCAGGGCTTTGGAACAGGGTCGGTCCGCAGAGGCAGCGGTGCCCCGGGCTTTGGCAGAAGCTCTACGTACGTGCGTTGTGGAGATGCAAAAGCTGGTTGATGGTGTTCCAGGGATGACTGTTCCTGAACTCAATGATGTCGACCTGTCCTTTTTCAAGGACATTGATTTGGGTGCTGATCCTGGCTGGCTGCTAGGAATCTGGGACGTTGAAGCTAGCGACAGCAGCGATCAACGCTCAAGGGAGAAGGACCGCTACCAAAAGGAAGTCCTAGACAATTAAAAATTCACAGGTTCTGCAACTCAATTTAAGGTTATCGGAATTATCGAAAGAGCATGCTATCCAAACCATCGGAGAATGCAACCGCAGTTCATCCGGGCCTAGATTGACTCTATCCTGGTCTACTCGCGCGGAAGACGAGGAGTTTAACAACAGCCGGTGCCCCGCTACTGTCTCGTTTCCTAGCGAGAGCTGGTAATCACAAAAAGATAGTATGCATCGTATTGTGCTAACAACACACACCTTTATCTTCTAGATGCGGACCGGCGTCCCAAACCCCTACGGGACTTCGGCAAGGGTTCTCAACTAGCAGCATGTCCTCTGCGAGCATCTGGAGGCTCATCCGGCTTGTCTGCAAATTCCGCCATGTACCGAATCTCCATGCCAAATGTCAATGATCTGACCAAACTTCCACCAGCGGAGAAAGAACGCTTGATCCATGAGTCTAGAGGACCTATGGTTCTCGGGGTGGCGTTTAGCTTCTATGGGCTATCGGTCATATTAGTGGCTACCAGGATATATGTCCGAACGAAGATCTCAAGGCAGGCGAAAATAGATGATTGGATCATCTTAGGCACCGAAGTAAGTCGTACGGCCGTTGTATCTGGACTTGGCTATGCAGAGTTATTGACGCGTTACGCTTTCTGTGCGGAGCAGGTAATATGTACTGCTATGATGGTCTTTGTGTATTATCGTGAGTATGAGGAAGACTATAGAGGATGTGCGCCATTGCTGACACCTGTCGATAGAGATCTACTACGGTGATGGAAGACATTTGCAGGCTCTGACCACTTTCGATGTGGACAACATTGCGAAGGTATGCATATGGGCGATCGATACTTGGATGCATCTCTAACCGCCATCTGAGATGAACTTTGCTGCTCTGCTCTGCTGGACTGTCTCTGTCACCTCTGCCAAAAGCTCCATCTTCTTACAATATCTTCGATGGTTTTCTTTCCGCCGGACGACAGGATTAATATGGGCTTTGATGGTCATCGTGGTGCTCGGGTGTGTCTGCACGCTTGTCGCTGTGCTGACTGCTTGTATCCCGATCCGAGCTGTCTGGAACACCGCGATTCGGAACGACAAGGGGAAGTGCTTCGATCAGAGAATGTATGAGACCGTCGCAAGTCAGAAGCTCTCCATGCTGACGAGCGGTACAGATTCTGGCAGGTCCAGCCTGCATTCGAGGCCGTTACTTGCTCGATCATGCTCGGTCTCCTCATACGACCGCTCTGGAAGCTCCAGATGCCCAAAGCCAAGAAGATTGGCATCATTATCCTGCTCGGTCTCAGCTCTTCGTCTTGCATTGCCAGTGTCCTACGACTGAAGAGTGCCTTGGACGCTTTCCCCAAGGACGACGACACGTTCTATGACTTCACCTGGACGGGGGTCATGGATACGCTGTACGCTATCACAGAAGTATTGCTGGGAATCATCTGCTGCTCAGTTCCCGCCCTGATGCCCATAAGGTTTCGACTTCTACCGTGCTTCTTTAGACAAGATCCAGAACCGCTTGCTGCTCGTCCCCCGCCTCACCTGCCGCTGCAGTCGCCGCAGACGGAACAGAGGGCTCCTATCCTTGGTCAACCGGATTTGCCATCCGGATCCTCTGTTGAACTGGAGCATATCAAAGGTGGTGCTCAGCCGCTGTTGCCAACTTGTCATTCTAGGGATACTTTGCCTTCCATTGACGATGATCTTTCGATAACCCAGGTCGGGAGTAGCGAGCGCTCGAGCTCCGTGGATTCGCAGACTACTCAGAGGTCTATGTCTACGCAGAAGACTCTGACGACTATGCCTACGGTTACCGAGACCTGATGGCCATAGGGACGATATTTTGACATTGCTGGATGTTGTCATCGGAGGACGTGGATGAGGCAGTAGAGATTGTCGCTCCGGCGCGATCTGCGGAATGCCACAGTCTTCCGTTATGGACAGAGCGCTTGTCGGCACTTGGCAGCTGAGCCTCTCCTTCCAATGCACACAACGCGGCCTCTGTCGATGGCTGGTTCGACATGATGTGGACCGTAATCAGCATTCTGGACGACATCGACCATACGAATAACGCCTCGGACCCAGTCATGACAACATCTTCAGGATAACATTTATGAAGTTGTATCTCCACACTTTTCCTGTCCGCGGAGCTCCAACGGGTGCCTGCTGCGGGTGTCACAAACAAGCTCATCATTAACAGAGGACTTGATATCCCGGTGGTACAACAACCACACGAATGTGCGTCGAGCTGCATTTTGGTCCCCGCAATGATTCCCCAGACTTAGGTCTTACAAAAGCGGAATCGAGGTTCTGCTTGTGGCGCTCCCGAGCATACTATAATGATTCTTCAGCTTCAATGGAAAGAAAAGTCTTTGCCTTTCTCGGACGACAATCCTCCTCTGCGGAGCCCAGCGAGCATTCGACATGACTCAATGCAAGGAAAGGATAGAGAAGAAGCGCCATCTCGCCACCCTTGTCGCCGGCATCGAACAACCATAATATACATCTCATCCTCGCCTTTCTAGCTTTTCATCGCCGTCTCCAACGCCCAAGCCTGTTTGGAATGGGAAGAGGATTGGAAGGCGGCTGTTCTGTTTTGCCGTACGGGATGAGGAGTCTTACAATTTTGCCCATTTTTGGGGATTTTGAGGATATGAGGTCTGTTGTGAGGGAGGATTGTGGGGGCACGAAGACGAGTGGTGTTGGAGGGAGTATGGGTATGTTGAGATGGATGGGTTGCTGGGTGGGTTGGACTGGCATTGGGTTTGTGGTTTTATGATGACATCCGGGTTCGGTATATGATCTAAAGCTTCTCTCGCTGGTTCCTTGCCTTGCTTCTGAATCCACTGCGTGTGCTTCCGCCATCTAGTTCGAGGATGTTGCCGGTCAGATGGCCTGCTGCTTGACTCGAGAGGAAGAGCACGAGTCCGCCGAAATCTTCTGGCTTTCCAATGCGACCGCTCGGATGGCCTGATACGAGCGTGTCCATGGCGCTCTGCATTCCGAAAGCGGTCATGCGGGAGGGAAAGACACCTGGGCAGATGCAGTTCACAGTGACATGATGCGACATCAGCTTCGAGGCTTGCATGCGGGAGAGATGAATGCATGCTGCTTTTGAGGGTCCGTAGGAAAAGGTGCCAGAGCCTGGAGCGGCGAGGCCTCCTTCGTCGCCAACGGTTACATCTGTCGTCTGAACTCCGGCCATGGAGGCGATGTTGATTACGCGAGATGGCATGTCTGCTGTGGCGCCCTTCGTGAGGAGGTCATGGAGGCCGACTGTCGTGTAGAAGATTGCTTTTACGTTGAGGGCCATGAGCTTGTCCCAGCCCGACTCTGGGAAGTCGTCATATGGAGCACCCCTGCGAGCGTTGAGTACGGAGTTGTTGTCTGGCTGCAGAAGGTAACATACCATGTTGCACCAGAGTTGTTCACCAACACCGTAAGTCGGTCAGTCTTCTTCTTCACTTCTGCGCACAAGGCATCGCATCCGGCCTTGTTAGCCAGGTCTGCAACGACGTAACTGAAAGAGGATCAGCACAACTCCATGAACTCCTTCCAACGGCAAGATGCACGCACTCGCACTTTCCAGGTCCAAGACTGTTCAATCTGCTCGACGTCTTCTCCAGCTCGGCCTTCTTTCGGCTCGCAATGATGACTTTGGCTCCGTTCTGGATGAATGCTTGAGCGGCCATTTCACCCAGGCCGGTCGCTCCACCCGTGACAAGGACAACATGTTCCTGAAAGTTGAAGAGATTGGCAACGCTGAGGTCCGCGGAAGTCGACGAATGTGCCATCTTTGTGGTCTTCCGATATCAAGAGATGTTCCGGGTAATGTTCTTGTCGCTCTTTCAGTGGCGCTTCATGTCAGAGGCGACAGAGCGGGGACCTCGGCAAACTTCTCGCACCATAGCGGACATGCTGCCAAAGACATTTCTGCCGAGAGGACTTCTATACAATACCCTCACTTGCAGACTCGTGCTGATGACGTCGTCGAATTGATTCGGTATTGACTGGAAACGACACAAGAAGAGAGATGATCAAGCAAGAGAAAGAAAGAGAGCTGCATGACTAAGCAGCAAACCCATGGGACACCGCTCCGTACTTGCTCCTTCGCTCCAACCTCATCCTCTTCACCACAACACCCATATGTACTATTACGTTGCAGCAGAACTACACCTGCTTTTTGCGAGAGCGGAGTCGATATCATGGATCATGTCTTGGTCACAGGCTGCCAATCCGAGGATTCCATCAAATCCAGCCTCATGTCCTTCTGCCGCATGTGCATCAACGCTATGAATGAGGGGTCAGTCAGCCAAGTCAAGAAGAGCGTACTTGTCCCATCTCTTCTCAATTCACTGCTCAGATGATAGAAACTACTGCTTTGGAAATTACGAATTGTGACCACCCATCGGTCCATGCTGAGGAGCGACCCATTTCATGCCTCAATGACTTTGGAAGTGTCTTTATGCTCTTGGTCTACTTTGACGTAGAACGATAATACAAGCCCGGCAACCACAAAGAATGATCGCAACCGGTACCTGCAGTCAACAGGGGAAAACCCTAGGGAAGATATAATCGAATCCAGCGTCCATCCGGTCGTCTCACTATTGAAGTCAGAGACAGCTGCAATGTCATGACACGTCCGCTTTGCAGACGCGCCTCCTACAAGCTCGAGACAACACCGCCCACAATCGGACTCCTCAAGGAATCTGGCATGGCCCTCACCTGAACATGACGCTCTCATTGAAAATCACTGCGGCGTGCGCTGGTGGCACGGTCCTTTCCATCTACCCCGAATGATAGCCGTATCATCGAAGTAGCACAGTTGACTCTTCAAGAAGCTCTCGCTCAGCCTAAAGGAGACAAGAAGTACTTCATTGACTCGTCTGGAAGGCGAAGACGAGAGGCAAACCCACCTCCAGGGGATGGATTGACCGAGAGTGAGAAGCTCAGGTACAGGCATTCACTATCAGCATTAGTATGAATCATTGACTGGAAGAAAACCAACGCACTTGGAGTCTAGCAGTACGAGGAGCCAAGACATAGAAGAAGAAGAGGTGAAGCTGTTGTGTTTGGACACATTCAGAGCCATGGGAGATTGATGAACCGGTGAGTCTACCTCACAAGAACATGTCAACAGGCGTTTGGAAGAAGTTTCGCGACACGGCTATGCTGCCGAGGAAAAGTAGGGAGTTCCACGAGAGGCATGGGAGACTGCCGCCGGAACTTTTGAACGGGTTTCCTTTGAGGAAAGGTGTACAGAGGAGGCGGTCGCAGAGAAGAGAGAGGTCATAGCAGACGGAGGGAGGGAAGAAATAGTTCCTCACGGTCCAATAATTCTTCCGAAGCATCTCGATGGGCCATCCTTCTTCCCCAACACGGTCACTCTCCAGCGCCAGACCCTGAATCTCAGCCCTTTGTTCACTCGAAGAGAAAGCAGCCGAGTCTTTCCTCCTCGATCCGGCGAATCGGACAAAGAAGAAAGAACGTCAGATACCACCTCCTTTGTGAAGCCATCTTCGAGCTCTTAGGTACCACTTATAATCTCTCCCATTGCCAGCTCTTGACTGCATCTCACAATCAACCCCTAGCAATCCAAAATGTCTCCCAAGGGTGCACCTCTGGTCAACCGCAGCGCTCGCCGCTGCGCATTGCCTACTCGTCCCACCAAGATCCATTCCCCCAAGCTCTCCGCCTACTCCCGCGGAACGGTGCAGCCTTACTATCCCACCCCCCGCCAGAGCATTACGTCGCCACTATTCTACTCCACCTCTCCCGGCACGGGCAAAGCTCCCGATGCAAAGGGTGGGATTGGACCCAAGCGACCATCTCATGACCCGAAATCGCGTACCAGCACAATGAATCGGGAGCTCGAAACGCGATTGAAGTTCGAGCGCAAAAGACTGTTGGCAGAGCGTAATGCGAAGAGAAAGGCTACGATTGCGAAGAGTGAAGAGGCTAAGGAGAAGAAAACGGTCGCTGGCCGGGAGAAGAGAAAGGCAAGAGTTGCTGCTGCCGGGGCTGTTAAGAAGCCCAAGAAGGTCGTGGCACCTGCGCGGAACTTGTTTGCTGTGGATCAGGGGTTGGGAAGGGAGGTTGTGAGGGATGAGGAAGGAAGGGAGGTTAGGAGAAGTACGAGGGTGGGACGGCAAGTTTGAATTGCATCGGCTCAGCTTTTGCTTTACTGTTTGTCTGAGAAGGCTCTCGGCGGTGGGAGTACAGAACGCTCGTTTGGGGTATCATTTGGCATAGCTGTTCTATACCTGGATAATTTCTTTCATCATGACTCGGTCTCGCCTAATGGGTATCGTGGTTTTGCCCGTCACTCTTCTCGTCTCCTTCTGCACCGACATTTAGAGAGGTTAATCTATGGCGACGACGCCAGACGCAGATTGCGATGGCTAAACGTTCATCCGACGCCAAGGTGGCGTAAGACGGTGACACCCACTAGTGTCTTCGTGCTTCCAGACAATCAAAGCGCGTAATCTGCTGATCGAGCATTCCTAATCGTGCATCGCCGCAAGGTTGTGTTTGGTTTTGCATCAAACGGTCGTCCTGGTCTGTTTATGTTCCGCTCGCCTCTCTGTAGAATGCCAGCGTCTTGCCAGCACCAGCAGTAGCGAATATCTCGTTCCTCGCCGTCGCTGCATGGTACAGCCACTTTACAGCCCAAAGACACTTTTCACTCTCTGTCTGCGTGGCCACACATTCTCTCCGCTCGACACTCCAGATCTTCGCCTTGCCGTCGTGACTTCCGCTAAGCAGGTACTCTCCACTCCAATTCCAGTCCAGGCTCATGATCCACGAGGCGTGTCCTGTTAGATTCGCCACTTGCTCTCCACTCTGCGTGTCGTACAAGGCTATTATTCGAGCGTCTCCAGCCGCGGCGAGATATCGATTTGCCGGACTGAACTTGACGCTCCGGACTGGCTTGATGAGCCCAGACAGGGAGTGTGCAAGGCGGCGCGTGCTGTTGTTGAAGATGTATATGCTGCCGTTCTGGTGTCCTGAAGCCGTCATTTCGCCATTGGGCGAGATGTCCACGCACATGCCAAAGGAGCCCTTGGTCTGGAATTCGGTGACCTTTTCCGCTTTCCCATCTGCCAGTGTGCTGAGGTCGTAGACATTGACGCGGCCGTCCGCGGTCGTGCAGGCAAGATATTGTCCATCCTCATTCAAAGCCAGAGCCCAGTGCTCGCCAGGCTTCTTGTCCAACGCTCGTATCTCGCCTTTCTCCTGCCATTGACCTTCCTCGCTGCATTCCCAGATTTTGATCTCGCCACTGAATCCCGCGCTGGCGGCGATCTTTCCATCCAAGCTCGCGCAGAGGTGATGGCACCCTAAGCGGTGCACCTTCTCCAGCGTTTGGGCGAGTGGGTAAGGGTTCTCATCATCGGCGGAGTCGGCGTGGATGGTCTGGCCTTTGGTGCTGTAGATGCGAATTGAGGACGAACCGGAGGCAGTGAGAAGGTGTGAGGGAGTCGTGGCGAGTGCAAAGATGTCGGTTGGATGTGCGTCTGGTATTGTCAACGTCTGAAGGTACTGCTTCGACATGGCGGCGATTTGGTGTGGAGCGGGAGTGATGCCAGGTAGCGGTGGTGGGTGTACAAGAGGATGTGAGGTGGGGCATCCACGCTAACCACGCGCGATCACATGCTGTCCAAACTCTATCTTGGCTCCATCCTTTTCGTCCATCTTCGCCCTCACCTTTCACAAAAAGCTCACGGCCATAACTTGCATCGGAAGCTGTTTCTTGCACTCTTGTACAGTCTACAAAGTCATAGCGCTCATCGAAAGAGGCATCAGATCGGGACGAATGCCGCACGTGTTCTTCCGTGCGTGCGACGCGTGACTACTAACGAGATGTGAATGGAAGACTTGCCAAACAGGCGTACGGGTCAGCAACTTCAAAGACACTGTTCGACTGTTCGAATCATGACTCAGCCACACCTCAGGCCAGCAGCCCAGCGTGAATGTCCGGGAATCCGGCTCTTGATGATTTCCTCATCCCAAATTCGCTTTCTGCCCCTTCACACTCAGCTTGACTCGCGCTTCAAAAACTCCCTGTTGGCCAACAGCTGTTGTCAGGATGGCCTTGCTCTCGATACTCGGAATCATGCAGCAAGCGGCACAAGCGAATGGCGATAACTTTCTCATCTCTACTACCCTTGCGGCCCTCGTCATACTCGCATTCGTCACCATCAGTGCACTATGGAAGCGCTCCATACAACCATATCCTCGAGATCCTGGAGTTCAATCGACGAACGTTGTTCCAACCTTCGAGTTCAATTCCCCTCGCGACTCAGGCTATGCTTCAAGCGACCATGACAGCGAGGAGGAAGGCCAAGATCCAGAGCTCTCAAGTCTGCGTAGGGCAATAAGGATGTGCGCGAGATCGTCCAGAAGCCCGAGGACACCGAGAGAGGAGGTGGAGGAGAGCTTTGAGGTCTTTGCGAGTTTTGCGAGTGCTTCAACAGGAACCAACAAGGACGGCACTTTTGGAGTCGGTCTAGGCCTGGAGCTCGACAAGGAGGAAGATCGTCGGGTGGATGGTTGAGGATGGTGAGAGGGCGAGAAGATTCTTTGTAGGTCTGGGATGTTTCGCATTGTACATCGACTAACTTTGAGTTGAGGTTTTCATCTGAAAGCCCAAACAAATTACAGAGCGATTAGCACTGCAAGCGCGTCCAACCCAATGTCGAGACAGCAGGCGCCTCTGTATCCGGCTAGTATGTTAGGGTGTGTCGAGTTTACATTGCTTACAGTCGTGCCTGCAATTCCGAGTGCTAACGAGACGGAGTAGTTAGCCGCGGTATTCACCAGAGAGGAAGCAATTCCTTGGTCATGCTTTGGGCTGTTGTTGCTGGGAATGGTAGTACCGCTAGGAAAGCTCATGCCCATGGGCCACGGTATAATAATTTTAGACACGAATATTTGTGCCGAGTATGCCCGAGCCACTGGAGTTGTAGCCAGAAGAATTTTCACCAGTGAGAAAGAATAGCGTCGCAATGAGCAAGACGTACGACACCTCGATGTGTGAGAGCAGAAATTCAGTCGCTATAGCTGCCAATGGGCCGCTAATGATAACTGGTGAATTCGAGCGCAGGCGGCCAATCCTCAGTAGCCACGCCAATACTCGATGGGTCTCCAGAGAAAGGACACCCAGATCCCAAAGGATCCCCAGCCAGCTGCGATGACGGCAAGAGCAAGCGCCGCCTCACCCTTAAGCTGCCGAAGGACACCAGAGGTTTCTCGGAGAACTTTACCTGGCCAACGGCGAATAAGGCCAGCAGCAGAGGGTGGATGATGAGAAGGACGTAAGTATTCTTCGGCGATGATGGACCAAATGGAGTACCAGGGGAACCCGATCATGTAAACATCTCTATGGCCGTACATGTCACCCTGTTCATTACTGTCAGACAGCGATCTTCAAAGATGTAATGTTGGAACTTACAAGACGACCAGCAGGCCAAATGAATGTGCCGACAGTCAAACTTAGCGCTGCAAATTACCGGCTCAGCTCGGCCTCGTCCGTCACGCCAAACTGTCTCCAATAATGGGCAAGGCAGCAATTGACTGCGCCAAAACAGCGAGCGAAAGAAGCTGGGCCATGCAAGTGATGAAGAAGAAGGCAGTCTTGTGGATTGGAGAGAATGGTACCGCTTCAGGATCGCCATCTGGCTGAGCTTGTTTCACTGTCCATCAGACGAGTCCTCCTTCTCCGCGACTGAAGACTCCTGTCTGTCTCCAGGAGAAATTTGCTCCTCCTCTTCTCCACTCATCGTCGCAAGACTTTTCGAGATACCTCAAGGGACCGCGAAGAACCGAAGAATCAAATTCGTAAGTATCACTCGAGCTCCTGTTCCCACTTCTTCTTGGGCATGTCGTGCCACGTCCACTGTAATTTCTGCACGCATGTGACAATGGTCTGTGCACAAACAGGTCCGTGCTCACTTCACCTCTTCATGAGAGTTGCCGAGGGCATCTATCACATTGATCGGCACTGCCCTAGCACCCCACGTTTGACCTCAAAGATATCACTTTCGAGCTCATGTGATCGACAATAGGGCTTCGAAGAGACAAATGCAGCCACGCGGCCTGCGACGCCGCCGCAAAGTCGCTCAACTCCGAGTAGCGACCCCGGAGCAAATACCAGTTCCGTTGCGAGCGCCAAGTTCTGGCTACTTGAGGACGTAGACCAAGCATTCTATTTAGTAAGAATCGGAGATCGTGGTGAAACAAATGACCAGCGGCACAAGCTCACCTGGCAACGCCCTATTCGCTTACGCATTTAAGTTTGTCACAGTGTCGCATGAACCGAGGGACAACAAAAGTCCTAGATGCAAACATCCGCTGCAAAGGCACCGCGAAGTCCTATGGGAGAGACTTGTGGCCTGTCTATTACGCCTAGTACGCTGCGCCACCGGGAACTACAATTCTCTGTCCACAGCGCTATGAATCTCGTGGCTGCCGGAGATGGCGAATCGTAGAACATATACATATCACGACCCAGGCGCTAGTAGTCAAAGTAAGCACTCCAAGAGCTTTTAGGCATAAAGCGAGCGATCACGACCAGAGTGGTGGATCCAATCGGAAGTTTGTTTTGTCGGAATCTGTGAAGACTAACTTCCTCAAGTGGCATTTCTTGTTGTCTTGTGAATGCCACTACTGCTACTGCACTCCACATCCCGGATGGCGGGATAGCTCGGAGCAGCGGTGCGAGACTACGCTAGTAGTAGGGCTCCTGCACGAGAACTAAAAAGCACGCCAGATCTGTTGTGTAGATCTGACAGGCGTTCGCGCGGCGGAGCGTGGTCCGGACATGTGCGTGACTGAAGAAGCTACCCACTCGCGAATGAGGAGCGTACGATTTCCTATCATCAGATCAAGATTTCATCGACACTGCAGCCTCCCGTTTGCACTTCCATCTCGTCTCTGGCGCTTTGCATGCCTCTATCCAGCTTCCTATAGCAGTCTGAGCACATTCTTGTTAGCTTGAATTCCATAATGTCACCGGCTCGTTGCAAAGCGAAGCAGGTGGGCGATCGCAGAGCATATCACGAAGGATATATTGCGGTGCATCCATTCCACTTTCCGCGCAGATGTAGTTCGTCGTCAATCGCCACAATCTCCACAGCGAAAGCTTCAACATGCAGTCATTCTTCCTATCCGCCTCCTTGGCACTGTTTAGTACGCGAGTTCTTGCTCAGTACTATCTTGTTGACGATTATGTATCCGACGGACAATTCTTCAATAGATTCAACTTCGATACCAGCGATCCAACACACGGATTTGTGCAATATCAAACCCGGAATGATGCTCAGAGCAGTGGCCTCATCTCTGCTTCCGGCTCCAATGTCTTCATAGGCGTGGATGACTCAAATGTTACTCCGAATGGACGGCCCAGCGTGCGCATAACTAGCAACAAGACGTACGATTCCGGACTTTTCATCCTAGATCTCCAACATATGCCTGGTGGAATTTGTGGAACATGGCCTGCGTATTGGCATGTTATTCGTATCCTCTGGTCCGATACAAAACGGGTACTGACGATCGCACAGGACGGTGGGGCCCAATTGGCCAAGCAATGGCGAGATTGACATAATCGAGGGTGTTCACCAACAGACCGTCAACGACATGAGCTTCCACACCAGTGATAATTGCACACTCGCCAACACAGGTGCTTTCAGCGGAAACGAGGTCTCCTCGAATTGCTACATCAATGCACCTGGTCAATCTTCCAACCAAGGCTGCACCACTCAAGGTCGCAACACCAACACCTACGGTTCCGGGTTTAACAACATCGGAGGTGGAGTCTATGCCACAGAATGGGTCAGCGATGCCATCTCCATTTGGTTCTTCCCTCGTGGCCAGATTCCGCAGGACATCCAGAACGGCCAGCCTAGTCCTGGATCCTGGGGCGCACCATTGACACAGCTTTATGGACCTCAGGGATGCGACATTCCTAGCCATTTCAACGCGCACAGCATCGTCTTCGACACGACCTTCTGCGGTGATTGGGCTGGCGCTGTGTGGGGCAGCACTTCTTGCGCTGCTGCTGCATCTTCTTGCAACGACTTCGTCGCGAACAACCCGCAAGCCTTCGATCAAGCGTACTGGTCCATCAACAGCCTCAAGATCTACCACATCAATGGTCAGGCCAACTTCAAGGCATTCACTGCACCTACGCCGGAGAATGGAACGTCGGCTCAGCCGGATTCTGTGAGCGAGCTTGATTTCGTGCCCGAGAATTCCTTGGTGCCGGTCAGCCCCATGGGCAACTCGTCTGTTCCAGACCAGCAGAGGCTCATGAGAGAGGCGAGGAGGAAGAGGGCGCAGTCGATCAAGCTTTGATGGCTTTGAAGATATCAAGAATGTAGTGTCGTTGTAGCAATAGAAAAGCTCGGGAGGTGGAAGAGAAACGAGCGGAGTCAAGTCAAATGCCAAGAATCCAGTTCCGAAACCGAGCGAGTCACGTGCAAGAATCCCTCTTATCATGTCATCCTTTCATCCCGAAAAGTGTCCTGGAGTCTTTCGCTGCTGTCGCGCGGTCATTGCTGCTGTCACTCCCGCATCACTTCATCAATCATCTTTCGCACCTTTTCTCTGACCATCCGAAAGGCCCCGCTCGTTCTCGTCAGACGGCTCTAGGCCTATCGCACGCCAGCCTTCCAGGTCCTTCCAGCGACAGAATATGCTCTTGGCGAGCCCCGTGATCAGCATGGTCCGCATCATCCTTCCGATATTGTATGGGCAGAGCGGAATGCCTAGCGTTGTAGAGAACGCTTGAGTCTCCGGTGCCGTTGTGCTGGTCTTCGACCTCATGGACGAGATCAAAATGCGCTGGGCGTCTTGTCGGCTATCCTTCCGCAAAGCTATTGCAAGTTTCGACTAACGAAACATGCAATCTCCCGGACGCACGCAAGGAACGCTGATTATGCTCTTTCCTGTCTCGAATGAGGTTGGACCTTCGAATTGGGGAAGTATTGTTCTTTGCCTGGCGTTGCTCATGGGAACGCTGGCTGCGAGATGTCGAGCTTCTCATCTTCGAAGAACGGCCTGAGCATGATATGTGCCATTCTCAGTCTGAGACTAGACAAAACTCGCAGCTTGCCTTCGCCTGGCTCACAGCTACTCATACTCAGCCAGCGTTGCATCGTCCAGAAAGAAGAGCATGACCCTTGTTGCTGGTACAGATCCGTCACAGCATCTGGTCGATTGGCCATAAGCCAAGGATCGGACTCCTCACAATCTCCACTGAAGATTGTCCTATGGTTCGAGCGGTACTTCTCATTTTCCCAACGCTCGATCGCGGATGACTCGAGATGCGCTTTCAGGCTCCATCCCTCGTCACCGGCTCGGCGAATCCGAAAGCGATCGGCGCACGCGACCTGGGATACTATATCGGTAGGCAGACTCACTGTGGACTCGTGTCTGCGATGTGCCAAAGTTTCATTACCGCATGCATAGCCTCTTGAGCCTTTAAGATCTCCGCGTGCGATCTACCTTGTACTTGCGGGCGACTCCAGTACAGAAGCCAAAAGTCTGGATTGCTCAGCGGTCTGCCAACAACAGCTCGATGCCTTCACACATGTAAGCGCAGTCTCTACGAGAAAGCTGATTACCAACGATCGATCACGGACTTGCACTTAAGAGGAATCGTTCCCAAGGATTTTGTAGCTATTAATTCCACCTTTGAGTTCTTGTAACAGGGAGTTAGAAGAAGCCGAACATGGGAGTACTCAGTGAATCGCCTGTCTTGAAGGATCTCACGCCAAGATCGCTACTGGTGTACATGTTCATCGGGGATCGGATCACGCGGATTCGGTAGTTCAACGCTTATGGGGAAATGCATGAGGTTGAAGGACCGGAGCCGGAACTGACGCGAGACCCTGTGGCGGAGAAGAAAGTCAAGATTCATGTGAAAGTGTAACAAAATGGCGAATCTTGAGTGAGGAAGACCATAGTAAAGATTTTCCAGAACATGCTTTCGAGCATGCTTTCAAGCATGTTCTTATCGATGGGGATCTCTTGAATCTCATTTCCGGTAATCCTGTCGCTTAGCCTGAGCGTTGCTGCTTGTGCTTGGAGTAGACAGTCGTTCTTCTCGGATCAATCGACAGGCAGCAAGATTGCGCAAAAGCTTCGAGGAAGTGCCGTCCAATGCATTTCAATTCCAACGTTGGGAGTTGAGAATCGAGCGACCAACCTCACTGACACCGCAAGAGTTCCTAGCGAAACTCCGGCAGCATGGAGCCGGGACTCGAGCATTTGCATGGGCGGGTACCGCGGTTCCTCACCTGCTCTCGTATTGTTCATCATAGAGTGATTGACGGCCGCGGCGCTTCAAATTCAACTCGCGTGCATCTCAATAAGGGATACGCAGAGAGGCGAAAAAAAAGTCAGAGTCTGCCGTATATAGGCTTCTCGCAGAGAGCTGCGTGTGAAGTGGGTGGGTTGTGTAGGACTTGGGTGCCTGCGGTATGCCTGTTCTAAGTAGACTGAAGTGGGTACATGTTCATCGATTGACTCAAACTCTATTAAAACTAAAGGCCTTGGTCCAGCCAGGTCGGACGATTTTGTCAAGGGGAAGACAGGGCCGAAGTGCGTGATGATTTACGAATGCCAGGTAAATGCTGGAAGCTTACAGCGCTGCCGACATGTTGGTATTATACACACGAAAGTAGGCAGTAGAAGGTCGAAGGTGTGTAGTGATGAACGCGATTTGAGTAGTGGGCCGGAAGACAACAAGCGGGCACAATAGCACAGCAGCACGGGTGCGCTGGTGGGAAGCATCTGCCTTTTGGCACGGCATCAAGTTGACACTACTGTGCCACTGACGCAGTGCTCGTCGATTTCGGCGAAGGCAGAAATGGATTTACCTGAACTCTCTCGCAGCAGCTTCTCGCATGATAATTGGAGATTCCACACGAAAGACAGTCCGCAAGACAAAGAGGGATGCTCGTGGCACTGCCTACGGCGATTTGGGACTGTCACGAGTAGACATGTTCCTGAAGTAGCTATAGCTTCTGCAACAACCCTGTCAGCCAAGTAGCCGAATTCTTCCGCTACGAGGATGTCCTACGAGGGTGATGCTAAATGCGGCTACAGCGTTGTGGTAATTCTGATGAGATTCGGAGGGGCGAGAGCCGAGCTATACTATACGCTCGAGCGAGATGCCGCTCTCGATGTGTCTCCGAGCCGACGATGCCGGGAGAGCTGGGCAGTCAGACGTCGCAGACAGGTATCGGCAGAGAGATGCGAGAAGCAGAGTTCCGGGAGGAGCGCGCGCGCGCGAAGAGCTATCATACGTTATAGTAGATGCGCGATACGATGGCCGGCTTTTCAAGTCGTGTGTATAGATACAGAGATATAGACACGGTGTGAGAGCCAAGCTGTTCGGCCCGCGTCGCTCTAACCTAGACGGGGATGGTGATGCACGTGAAAGCAGCGTCCGCTGGCGTCGCTGCAACCAACCAGACGAGAAGGAGCACTCCCGCCACCAACAACACCGCACAGCGCGTACCGCATCCCGTCTGTATACACACCCACCTCGGGTGATCCCACGACCAGCGATTCGTGTCACCATGAAACGACAATGGCCAGCCAGCGCGCTGGCGAACCGATGTCACGCTGCGACGCATCGGCGGCCGGCAGAAAGTGTGAGAGCTGGAGACCAGGAACCCTTATGCACCACAATCGGACACGAAAGGCGCGCACCGCCATGTCATGAGAGCCAGGGCCAGGTCTTAACAGACTGGTCGTAACACGCCTGTGCCTGTCATGACTGTTGTCTTTGCTTCGTGTAATTGGCGTCTACCAAGGTGAAGCTTTGTACACCTCGGGTGCTGAGTGGCGCTCCAGCTTGGTGTTAACAGTACCCAACGGCCCCTACCTTACTACTTCATCTTCTCCATCTCCACCATCTTCACCATCTGCCTCATACTCTTGGCATTGACATGCTCGCCTGCTCTTCTTGAGCGCCCTCGCTCCCATCGTTTGTTGCACTCAACACCCACACTCGCTACTATCATTCATCCCGCCTTCGCTCGCAATCATGAAGCTTCGTGCTCTCGTTTCTCTCCTTACCCTGGCCTCCTACGCCCTTGCACACGCCCTCGACCATGACGCGCCCATTCTGGAGGAGCGCCAGAGCTCAGCAATCATCTTGTCCGGCCCCGGAGACACAGTTGTGAGAACGCGCTTGGAGATTCGACAGATGAAGGACAACGAACCAGACCAATACACTCTCCTCGTCCTGGCATTGGAGCAGTGGATGGCTCAACCGCAGTCAAGCCCGACTTCATATTATGGAATCTCGTCTATACACGGAGTCCCACGACAGGATTGGGATGGAGTTACCCAATGCGCATCTTGCACTGGTGCCGACGGCTACTGCCCACACGACTCAGTTCTCTTCCCGGCCTGGCACCGTTCCTTTGTCGCGCTTTTTGAGCAGGAATTCCTGATGGTAGTCAAGAACATTGCAAACTCCTACCCAGCAGGCGATGAGAGGGATCGTATGGTCAATGCCGCAAATGTAATGCGATGGCCCTACTGGGATTGGGCGGCCCACCCGCCGGCTGGTCGTTCCACTTTGCCAAAGGTGGTCAGCGACTACACTGTCACCGTCAACGCGCCCTCTGGACCCAGGACCTTGGAACCCAACCCGCTCTTTCGTTTCGACTACCAGGATAACAGCGGCATGTACTACAGCCCATTCACCACCTGGACGAGGACCTACCGCTACCCGACTTCCAACGGCCGGGACGCTATCAGCAACACTCAGTCATGCATCAATGCATTCGAGAATGTTCGCCAAAGTCTGCAGGACCAGATTTACCAGCTCTTCACTTCTTGCAACGACTACCTCCAATTCAGCAACGACGACGCCACTCACAGCTCCACCCAATGCAAGAGCAGTCTGGAATCCATCCACGACACCGTGCACGTTACTGCTGGTGGCCCTGGAGGCTCCGTTTCAGGCGGTCACATTGGCTATCTCATGCTCTCGGCTTTTGATCCCCTCTTCTGGCTCCACCACTGCAACGTCGATCGTCTCTTCGCCATGTGGCAAACTATTAACCCCAACTCCTATGGCGCAAGCCAGCAAGCTCCTCACAGCACCTGGACTATCGCTCAAGGCTCTACGCAGGATCAAAATTCTCCCCTTAAGCCTTTCCGCAAGACTAGCAGCACTTTCTGGACGACTAACGATGTCCAAGACTGGACGGTTTTCCAGTACACCTATTCGGAGTTCGCCGACTCGGATGGTTCTGCTGATGCGATCAGTAACTACATCAACCAGTTATATGGACCCAATGCCAATGCCGCCGCTGGCTCTTCCAAGCGCGATCTCGCCGACGATATCACCGCTAATGTCAATGGTATTGCCGCTGATGTCAATGGTATCACCGGTAATGTCGATGGTGTCATCAGTAATGTAGCAAATGGTCTCGACGGTGCTCTTCCCGAAAATCCTCTGAGAGCCTGCAATGGTTCTTCGTACGAGTACTACTGTAACATTGAAACTCCCCGTTACGCTCTCAACGGCTCTTACGGCGTCTTCCTCTTCAGCGGGCAACCCGCCTCCGAAAACCCAGCCGACTGGATCATGGATCAAAACCTCATCGGGCCCCTCTTAGTATTGGCGCAAGACGGAATGACCAACCATAACATCATCACTTCGGGCTCCATCCCTCTCACTCGCACTCTTCAAAGCATTGTGGGAACGAACAGTGGCCTCCTCGCCGGGTTAACAGAAGCCCTCGTCGTTCCCTACCTAAGAGAGAACTTGCAATGGAGAATCGCCGGCCCCGGAGGCGAGTGTGTGGAGCCCTCTTCGCTACCTGGATTTGTGGTTTCGGTGGTGGCTTCCACGGCAGCTCCGAGCGACGACAAGTCGAAATTACCCGTCCTTTCCGAATTCGTTTCGCTTTTGGATGTGACACAGGGACTGGGTGGGGGAATGAATTCTACACAGCAGAGGACTTTGCCGGTCATTATTTGAGAGAATTTGTTCTGTGGAAAGGGCGAGCTTTTGTAGCGCATTCTCCATGACTTGATAAAGTCGCAAAACTTTACGCTCTACTCATGGATGGAGAGGTGGGAAGAAAGAAAAGACTTCGGTGTACATCGAGATGGGTTGGGAAAGCTATGGTAGTAGTTCATTTTATCGGTTGGAAGTGTGTTCGTTACAAATCACGGAATTTGCACGACAGACAGAAGGGAAGATTAAAACAGTCTGTATTTGCCCTTTTAGATACCTCGTTGATGAATTCGACTTGTTACCGGTTCGAACTTCCATAGCAGACATGGTAAAGAGAAAACAGCTTGGTCGAGCAGAGACTTGGAGAAACGTTTGATGTAGGCTACGGTCTACCAAGACTGGTGAAGGGTTCCCAGGTCTCACAGTGGCCGCAGTTCGAAGTAGTTGTTTTGTTAGAAGGAAGTGACTTATCAGCTGCCAGGGTTTCCACGCTAGTCCCATCCAGTAGTAGTGTCTGGCGCGAAATGAGCGCGTCTCTGTCTTCACTCTGTGTACTTTCTCGCATCCCAAATGTCCCAATATCTCTTTCCACCGGCCCCAGTATGACCTAGATGTCTAAGTGTGCAAGCGGCGAAAACAGTCTCCCGCCCGCCGGATGCATTGTCTTCCATGTTGCCGGCGATCCCCGCCTCGTCCTGCCGACGGAGCATCCCGGCATTGGATTACAGGTAGATTGTATTGAGACATGGCTTTCCTTCTATCATTGTCGTACTCGGAGAAATTCCACATCAGCATGGCATCCACTCACGCTCCATCTCCAGCATATGTCCCGCCCAAGGGTTTGCGGCTGCCCTTGGACGACTTCATCGATTACGTCGTGAAGGAGTATGATGTTGGGATAGGTGCTCGAGCCCTCGTATTCGAGCCAAGCAGAGCCGCTACTAATGATCTTCCCAGGCTCCTACTGGGATCTTCACGACTTCTCTGTCAACCGCATGAATGACTTCTGGATGGCCTTCTGGAAATTCGGCAAGATCAAGGCGTCCACGCATCCCACCAAGATATGTGAATACCTCTTTCCTTACCACAACGCCACTAAAAGTTGACCTGACACTTTTCCACGCCGTCGACGAGAGCTTGACCATCGACCAATTCCCAAAGTTCTTTGAAGATGCCAAGCTCAACTTCGCGGAGAACATTCTGTGTGGCAAGGACGAAGATCTCATGATCACCAGCATGGACGAGGCAACGCTTCATCGTCCGGAGAAATACACTTGGGCAGAGATGAAGAGACTGGTCGCGACGTATGCTGACGCTATGAGACGGGTGGGGTTGGGCAAGGGAGATTATATGGTTTGTACGTTGATCATAGCGGAACGATCAATCGATCATCGACTCTGCTAATCCATCAAATCCATCAACAGCTATCGGCAGCAATTGCGCTAGGTCTCTAGCAATTCTGCTGGCTGCCGCATCAATAGGTGCCGTGATTGCGAATTTCGCAACAGATATTGGCGAGTGAGTATCTTTGAATCCTCGGTTTCTCTGCCTTACGATCGGAGCTAACATTTTCTAAAGGAAGGTACTAGCGTGTTGCTCGTGCAGAGAAGGTTGCGCGGTACTGACAATCTCCAACAGGCCCTCCACGACCGTCTAGATCAGCTTCGACCCAAGTTGATCATCGCGCAGACGACATATCTATACAACGGCAAGCGACACGCGATTGGAAGGAAGATTTCAAAGTGCCACGAAGAGAGCAACGCGAAGCAAGCCTGCAGACTTGTCGCGATAGGGCCCGATGACGAGATCTCAAGCACACAGTGAGTGCTCGAAGCGGACGTGGAATTGTCAAAACTGATGAGAGCGACAGCACGACTCTACAGGACTTCCTTGCGAACTCCCAATCCGCATCTCTGACCTTCGAGCAAGTCCCATTCAACACACCGATGCTAGTCATGTTCTCCTCGGGCACAACCGGAGCCCCCAAAGGCATTGTCCACGGGCACGGCGGCCTCGTCGTCAACGGATACAAAGAATTCCTCCTACACAACGGTTTCGGCCCCGACGATGTGCACGTTCACTTCAGCAACATCGGCTGGACGCTCTGGAACATCTCCCTCGGCGCGCTCTTCTGCAAAACACCCATGATCCTGTACGACGGCTCGCCTTTCCATCCCAGCCCAGAAAAATTGCTCAAAGTCATCCTATCCCACGGCGTCACGGGCTTTGGCGGCGGGCCACGATACTACCAAGAACTACAGAAACACCACGTCAAGCCGAAAGATCTGCCGAATCGGATACATTCCATCTACTCGACCGGTGCTGTCCTGACTTCCAGTCTGGCAGCCTGGGTCGCGAAAGCCTTCGGTCCGGTCTGCCAGATCCAATTCTCCGGCGGCACGGAGCTATGCGGCTCCTTTACACATGGGACGAGATCCGTGCCCTCCTATCCCGGCGAATGCGCCGTCAAAGAGCTCGGGCAGGATATTGCTGTCTTCACGGCGGAGGGCCAGCCCGCGCCGGAGGGAGAGCGAGGGGAGTTGGTCTGCAAGAAGCCGTTTCCGAATATGCCCGTCATGTTCCTGAACGATCCCGGCAAGAAGCGATATCACGCTTCGTACTTTGAAGGCTTCCCGAGTATGAAGAGCATCCATTCTTTTCCCTTCTCCATTCAGAAGTTCACTCGCTGACGCCGGTATTCAGAAGTATGGACACACGGCGATTTCATACTCGTGAATCCCGAGACGAAGGGGATCTACGTGCTCGGCCGAAGGTACCTTGATTGAATTTCCCCTCCAACGTATACTTTCCGAAATCTGAAAATGGCTCTCTAACCTTGTCAAACACAGCGACGGCGTCCTCAACCCCTCGGGAATCCGCTTCGGTAGCGCGGAAGTCTACACCGTCCTGGACTCCCCCCATCTGAGACCTTACATCGTCGACGCCCTCGTCGTCGGCCAACAACGCCAGGATGCCAAATACTCCGACGCGACGGAACAAGTCCTGCTCTTCATCAAATGCACCCCTTCTGCATCGTCTGACATACTCCTCCCAGACCCAGAACTCGTGGAACGGATCCAGAAGCAGATCATCCAGGATTTAAGCCGGCGACACCTGCCGCGGTATATTTTCGCCGTCGATGAGATTCCGTATAATGTGAATGGCAAGAAACTCGAGACGTTGGTGAAGAGGGTTGTGAATGGCGGGGCGGGCGTGCGGGGGAAGTTGAAGATGACGGAGGAGGAGGGGAGGATGATGGGGGGGTTTGAGCGGTTTTATGAGGTGGAGGATGTGATGATGAAGGAGACGAAGAAGAGACATGGACGGCTGGCGGCGAGACTCTAGAAGAGATATATGGAAATTTTTGTCATTATTCATGTCATGAATCATCTGCATTGCCTTCGTCAACCAGGTCGTCGTCGTCGTCGTTCAACAACGGGTCTTCGATCAATCAAGCCTTCTCTTCAATCCGCAGGGAGCTTTCATATCCCTTGCGATCGGCCACCACAGCGAGACGTTGCAATTCATCGTCCGGCTTCTGCAAGGAAGCCCTGACAATGGCCGGGATGGATGCATGTTGCCTGAAAAGCTCGTCCTGTGGAAAGAGGGAACGCAATCGATCAGTAAGAGGGCGGGAGAAATTTTTTTGTTTTGGGGAGTGTATAAAAATCGGGCTTACCATCTGCTCCAGCGATCGACCCATCGTTTCCGGGTAGAGGAAGAAGACCAGCAGCGGAATACACGCGCCGAAGACGGCGAAGAGGATGTAGTATTGGTATCCGATGCTATCCATCGCCACGGGCGTGATCATTAGGACGGCGAAATTCCTGGATTCCAATTCGTTAGCACAGAAACGAAAAAAAAGCAGGCGTTCTGGAACTCACCACAACCAATGATTCGCCGTCGAAAAACTCGTCATAGGCATCCTTAACCTCGCGGGCGCAATCTCCGTCACATACAGATAATTACACCCCAGAAAGCCAATGGGCACGAAGAAGTTGAAAAAGAAGACGAAGAAGACACTGGCGATCTGCGCGCTCTGGTTGCCCGTCGGCATGCTGTTGGTGATGGCCAGCGCGGTCATGCACAGACTCATGCCGCAGCCGGAAAACATGAACAGCGTGCGGCGGCCGAAGCGGTCGATGGTGAAGAAGGCGACAAAGGAGGACAGGAATTTCCAGGTGAGGCAGGCGCCGGAGAGGACGCGGGCGAGCTCGCTGGAGAGGCCGAGGCCCTGCTGGAAGATGGTGGTGCTGTAGGAGGAGATGAGGTTGCTGCCGCACCATTGTTGGAAGAATTGGAGGACGAGGCAGAGGGCGAAGCGGTAGAGGGTTTTATGTTCGCCCATGGTGAAGAGATCGCGCTTGCGGGCGGCGCGGGTGGTTTCTTCCAGCGCGAGTTCGATGGCGCCGAGTTCGGTGGAGATCTGGTAGCTGTCGGCTGCTTGGTCGCGGAGGAGGGAGAGGTTGGTGCGTGCTTGGTCCATTCTTCCTTTGCCTGCGAGCCAGCGAGGGGATTCGGGGAAGAGGTAGATGGAGGCCATGAGGACCGCGGAGACGATGACTGGGATTACCAGCGGCATTCGCCAGGCTAGCGAGCTGCCTTTGATTTGGAAGAAGGCGAGATCGATCCAGGCTTGCAATACGTATCCGACGCAAATGAAGAGGCCGTCAATGACGACGTGTCGGCCTCGATTCTTGGCCTGGGAGCATTCCGATTGCCAGACTGGGACTGTCGAGCTAAGAGCACCGACTCCAAGGCCTAGGATGAATCGTCCGATGGTGAATTGAGGCAGGCCAAAGGCAGTGCATTGTAGCACCTCACCGATGAAAGTAAGAGTCGCGGCGAGTAGGACAGTCTTGCGTCGTCCAAGAGGGTCGCCAATCCAAGAACAAGCCAGAGATCCAAAGAGCGCTCCAAGAGTGCAAGTTGCGACGATGACACCCTGCAATCAAAATGCAATCAGCAAATCTCCCACCCCAATGACCGGGCTCGAATCTCACCTGAACAGTGCTATTCTCCGACTTCTGCCTCCCCGTGGTATGCAATGTATCGATCTCCGGAAAAGTCTCAACCCAGCTCTCCACGCTCAACAAACCCCCAAGACCAGACTGATTATACCCAAACAGTATAAAGCTCGGCAAGACGACCAGCAGTGTCTGCGCAAGTTCCAATCTCGACCCTCGCAAACCCATTTTGAAACAACACAAGCAATCGACAAGACCTTGGCTTGCAGGTCCTTGTGGGTGCGGTGCGGTCAGGCTAGTTATGCTCCTTCGCATTCGCTAGCCAAGACGGATCTCCGTTTTCTCTTGTACATCACGAGCGTGCGATGAACCCACTCGGGGTGCTTCGTTACTCCACAGTCTCTCCATACTACGGTGGAGCGTGCCGAGTATGCACGTCCGCTGTGGAGCCGGAGGTCCCGTGGGGCCTTATATGATGCATCCACCTCGTCGGCTCGTCATCTGGGGCGATTGGAAATGCAAAAGCGGCCATAGTGGAAGCAGTAGCCAGTTTTCCAGTCAAGAGTTTTGGTCCCGCATATCCATCCTTAAAGCGGTATGTGCAGCTTGTCTTCCTGAAACAATTATGAATTAGATTTTGAAATGTCTTCGTTCTCGTTCCAGTAACCCCGTCTCGATGATGCTGAATCTACCGCGGGTAGTCACAATCAATTGTGGATACCATTGCGGCGTGCCGGCAGACCACATCGGCACGCGGCAAGAAAGAACAGCAGGGCGGAACGAAGGTGGAAGGATTGGTTGGCCGAATCCCGCCGCCGAGAAAGGCCCGCCCGGCCGAGCTAAGAGGCACAGCAATGATTGAAGAGCGCGAGAGTCCCGAGTGCGTTCTGTTATCTCGCATTTCCTGCAAACGGACAGCAAGTCTGACGCATTCAATTAGTGCGTGAAAATGTTCCAGCAGTAGCTCAGTTGTTAAGAGGTGAAGAAGCGAGTGATCTCTTGGCGCCGAGCGAATGCCGAGCATTGGCAACGAGTGAGGTGAATGTTGCTGTCAGTTGCTCTGACTGTTCGATTTCTTCTTACGATCGGCTTGACCGCTGGATGATCGTCATGTGGGGAGGTATTTACATGACTCCAAAGCGATAACAAAGTACTACAAGCGCCAGACGGACGCTAAGCAAGGTTCCAGGAGAGCATCTTCCGCCAAAGTAGCGGGGTCCATGCCAGACGTGCGGAGTTGTTGGGTTACACCGCACAAATCACACCGGACATGTGTGTTGCCCAATATCATTCTGTCGTCACAAATCTGGATTAGCTATGCATCATTTCGCTGGTTCTAGGAGCAAGTATATCCAAGAGCGCTTGTGGGGACGGAAGATTCTGTTGCTGCTTCTGGAACGTTCAGTACTTGTCGAGCACGTCGCGAGCAGATTGATCAAACGGAGTCGCACGGGGGTAGGCGCTTTGGGCCCTCCGGGACGGTCGATTGTCGTTTTGGGATACGACCACTGGTGTTGCGGTGGCAGGATTTCAGTGCGGTCGGATACTGGGAAGAGTAGGGCGATCATAGAGGGTGGACCTGATACGACTTCATCTCACCAGGCTCGTTGAACAGTTCCTCGACCGGGTTCTTACTCAACGCTTCATACCTGTACAACATTTAGCATCACGAGTAATGCACCTGCGACGTTCACTTACCATTGAAGGAAGCTGGCAATAAGGTATCCAATCGAGCCCCAGACAGTCGCAAGATCACTCTGATACTTGGCCCAATGGTGCTCATGCGCCAGGAATCCAAAGACAGCGATCAGCTCGAAGCCGACCGAGCCAATGGTGGCCCATACACCGATCCACCAACCAAGGACGGCAGGCTCGGGTTTCCACCATCTCTCTTGGGTTTCGAGCATGAACATGAGACTGGAGATCAAGAAGCAGGCGGCCGCTACAGCTTGGGGCACCCAGAAAGCTCCAAGTTCCTGCCACCATTCGAGAGTGGACAGGATTCCAGGGAGGACAACGATGCCCGTGATGCCGTACAGGGTGACACCGAATAGCTGGATGGTGCAAGCCAGGTACCCGATCTCATAGACGTGATGCGTGCGCAAAGCCTCCCAGCTTGGCCGCCATCGCCAGGTGAGGTACCCGCTCCCGTCGTGTTCTTCTCCGCCGAGGTCCATAGCGCCACGACGCGGAGCAGGGGCTTTACCTGTGGGGTAGATGGAGCCGGGACGTAAACGACGAGCTTCCTTGGTATTCCAGCCTGCTTCGGGATCGACAGCGGCAGCTATGGTGTCTTCGCCGTGCCTGTCGTGACGATTCCAGTAATTCGGTCTCGCGTGCGAGAAGAAGTTGTGGATCTTGTCGTCGAGCATCTTCTTCTGCTCGTCTTCATGTCCCTCGAGAAGGCGACGCATAGCTGCACCGTGGAAGGAGCCATCGTTAACAGCTTCCAGATAGGCTGCCACGGCTCCCACCTGATAGAAGAGGGCACCGATGAAGAAGCACAAGGGTCCACCATACGTGTCTGCTTTCTTACTCTCAAAGTCTTCGCCGAATGCAACAGGGCCCCAGGCGAGTACTCCGTCGGCAACGAATAGGGCGGAACCGATAGTGTATGACCAGCCGCTCCAGAATGCCATGTCCCAGTAGGGAAAGGTGGTCAGCATTCGCCAGAAGTTGATGCCGATCTCCTTGAGATTGGTCTTGAGCTTCGGCGTGTACGCAAGCGGGAGGAAAGACGGGCCCTCATCAGGTGGAAGCAAGGGTACAGCGATGGAGTTTCGGCCTTTCCGATTATCTCTCGAGCGCCAGAGCAAGGACATCTGCTTGGCCCTCTTGACGCTGTCGTCATCCTCGGAGTCACTGGCATATCGGACATTCATGCGGATGTTGGTCGGGTTCAAGAGTCTGCTCGGGCCGGTGACCTTGACATGGTTGAGATGTAGTGCACGCTTTGCAGTCCGGACTTTCTCCACGACGCCCGGGGCGACGTCGTCGGCGGTAGACTTGATCTTCTCGAGCATTTTTTCCCGGTGTGGATGACGAGTGCCTGTTGACGACGTTGTCCGTGTGGCCTCGATAGGCGGTTTCAGTGTACTGCTAGTGGCAGTTGCAGCTCGGGCGCGGCCTGTGTCGACTTCCGCAGGAGGTGTACTGTAATGGATCTCGCCTCTGCTGACTGGCGTCGCCGTACCGGAAGGATGTTCATCGCGTGCGCTCCTCTGATGCTCCGTGCTAGGCGGAGCGGCTGGCGTGGTCTCTGTAGGAGCAGCGTCTGCGGTATGCGGCGCCGTATTGGTTGTAGGACTCAGCTGGTCGGCGTCGGATCCATGCGGCCCATCACTCTCGCTCTGCCCAGCAAATGGATTGGTGAAGTCTGGCTTGGAATCCATGATTCATATCATCATCGGAAAAGTATCTCTTCTTGTTGATAAGATGTTGATCAAAGATGTGAAACATGAAGTGAAGAAGGGTTCTATCGAGCACGTCAAAGTGGGGCGAGAGGTGTGTGGTGGTGAGTAGTGATCTTAAGCCAGATCAAGGTTCGAGGCTGTGCTGTCCCACCGTTTCGCGCTTAAAAACAAACTCCAGCGTCCGTCTTCGATGACATCGGCTATATCATTCGACAACAGCAACTGTCCACGTGAGACGGCTCGGTCGCTTCCATCTGCACATCTGCATCCTTCATCCTGACGCATCTCCCTCCCGCGACAACGATCGATGGATGAGATCACACGGCGGTCAGTCCGCAGAGCATCCGCACAGCATTCGCATACCGTCCTGGGCCATCTTCATGCATTCTCCTCCACGTACTGACACTGCAGAATCGCATTCGGTGGGATGCCGTCAGCGGCTCAAGCGGCCTCCAGGAAGGAAGAAAGACGCCGCATCCTCGCATCACACCTGCTCCATCCTTCTCGCCGCCCGACCGAATCAATCGCAGCAGAGTGGCCGATCGGTGGCGCGGCTTGGACGGGAGATCCGGTTTCATTCCGCTACACCGCAGCTCGGCGTTCATGGAAGAGTGGTGATAGCACAGATAGGGAGATGAGTGCGAGGTGCGACATGTCGTTGCCTGCAGGGATCGCTGGGCGGATACTACTTTGTGCAGGCATGTCACCGCGATCCGATGCCGAGCGCCGCCCTCACGCAATCACACTCGCACTGCGTACACATTTCACGACGCAGTAGATTCTCAAAGCGCCGACGAAACTTCGTACTATCGCCCTCGACCTCACGAAACACACTGATCGATCATTACCAATTGCCGCTCTGCAAGACAGCAGTCAGGCCAGCCTCCGACCGCACCCAACTCGTCCTTCCGCATCCAAGGCTCGCTCAGGTCCTCCGTCCAGCTGCTCGATTCAGCGGCCTGCAAGAGATGACAACAGTCAATTGTGGTGTCAGTTGGTCGGAGAAGATGATAACTGCCTGAGGGAAGCCATGTGTGATCGGAGTGCAATCGAGTCTCAGCATATGCTGGCTGGTGTACAGCGCCTACGCACATTTCTCTCCACGATCAAGATGAGACAAAAGGCCGAGCAGCAGGTGAAACCAAACTCATCGGCGTCACCCGCCGTGCTGCAGAAGTAGTCCCGTCTGCGGCCTCATGGAATTGCTGGACGTTTCATCCGCCGTTTCGTGCAATCAGACTACACATCCCACGTGGCAGTGCCACGGATGAAGCACATGTCCCGAGAGTTGTAATGCTCTGGAAGACCTCGGCTGGTAGAATCGATTCAAGCTTTCTTGATGATCGGACAAAGGCGCTGACCGTATGACCATGGGTGAGTAGTGCTGAAAAGATGCGAGATCCAAGGTTGCCAGTTGCTCCGAGTAGGATGACCTTTATGATGGCGGATCAATGTTCTACATAGGTGTCTGGGGTGCGACGCTCTGCGGTCAAGTCAGTGATCTTAAAGCAATGGGATCTCCAATAGCCAGAAGCTGCAGGTTCGGGTTACGATGATGCTCAAGTGTCGCTGATCGGGAGAAAGTAAGAAGGCTCTAATACCATGCCTGGAGTTTCCGCTTCCAACGTCACGATTCGCCGCTGTTTCCAGTACATCTTCGGCGCCAATATCTTGTCCAGCTGCCGACAAATTCCTCGTGCGAACGGTTGCCGGACCTCAGGATAGCAAAAGACTCAATGGAGGAAGAGTGAAGTTGATCGCCTAAAGTGACGACGTTTGTGGCGACCAAGAGCGGCTTCGAAGTCCCTCCGCGTTGGTGGAGATGACAAAGCTACTACAACCAGCCACGACCTTTTTTTCAGCCTTGCAGTCGCCATGGTACCAAGAGCCGGCACTCCTTACTCAGGCCACTCCATATCGCTCTATAAGTAAAGTTGAAGACTGGTTGGACTGGATGCAGGACGCCAACAATGGTCGAGATCGACCTCTCCAAGCCATCATACAGCGGAGGGAGACTTGGCCGTCAACAACACCGCAGATACTTGCAAGAAAGCAAACACGATGTCAGCGGAGATTCGGGTTGGTAAAGAGTCATCTGGTCCATGATTGGGGAAAGTACCACCTCTTCTCGAAATCGTTCGCTCTTTCCAGGCTCAGTCACATGAAGGCGCAAGCACGAGCCACCTACACGAGTCATTAGCGTGATTTCTGTCGGCTTCATGCATTTGCCTGTCCAGCGCACAAAGAAAAGCTTGGTGCTCGAAGAGCATCAGTGTTTGCTGCTATAGCATCGTTCTGTGCTCTTAAAGTTCCAGTATTCACGTTTCCCATCAGGATCGACAATCATGGCACTGAATCCTTCGCCTCAAGAGGCTCAAGAAGAGTATGAAATCTATAGGAGCACTTATTCAGTGATATGAGCAGTCACTGATGATGTTCAGAAATCTACTCAACGCGAATGTCGTCGCAGCCGAGACCAAAGGACTTTGGTGCGGCTCACCTGGATAGAAAGCCTATCCCTCGTAGGGAGGACTAGCAACGTACCTGCTGACAAATTGTAGCAGTGGATCCGACGAAGAAGAAGAATCAGCAGCGCGCCGTGTACTGTTCACTACCGAGCTACTCGAGAAGATACTCTTGCAGCTCCCGGTAAAGAGTATGTTCGGCGTCCAACGAACCTGCGGAAAGTTCAGAGATACGACACGGGGATCAAAGCACCTCCAATACGCCATGTTTCTCGTTCCCGACACGGAGTACGATCCGGAACAAGTCAATCCGATAATGCGCCAGCTGGCTTACCGAGGGCAGCGTGGCAAGAAGACAGTGTACATCTGCTTCACCGGAGAGTCCTCCGCATCTCGCATCCCCACTTTCGAGTTCTCCCTTGTCTCCGAAGCAGACTACGAGCAATATCACAGCGAGAAGTCGGTCGTCTCGCACGGAGTAGGAGAAGTCACCGAGTCTTGGAGGAGGATGTACGTTGTCCACAGTACGAATTGCTTCTTCGTGAAGCTCAGGTATCCTCCTATGCCTATAGCTGTACAAGGCCGCCCGGCATGCACGCAACTCGGAGAGCTATTCGATACTATGTCTAGTCGTGTCCTTCACTCTTGAGGCGCTGCACAATCGGAAGTGTGGAGATCTTGCGAAAGAGCGGGGATGGGAATCCGGGCGGCACGATATTCTGTTCCATTCGAAAAGTCGGAATGCAGTAGGGCTGTGTCGAGAGCATTGTATTAGTACTTGCAGTAAGAGTGAGCAATGTAAACGATTGAAGCTGAGCTTGAGTTTTCTGCGACCCCTTTTGCGTTCGCTCCTTCCTGCCACACGCAGCACATGAAAGCGTTGCCAGGGGTAACAAAGCTGAGTCATCACCTCTTCTTTCCCTCTTTGCAACTCGAAACCCTTCAACCACAGACCGACTTCCACCAACGTAGTCAGATGCGCTACAAGCCTGTACCCTCCCACAGACTGTAGCAGAACAGCAAATATGGCACAACCAGCCGACTCGACTGGAGGCGACCAAGCCAGGTACGTGTTCATTCCCATCACTGCTTCAGTCACAACGACTATTGAAGCACAGCACCGCCGAGAAGGTCACAGCGGCAGAGCGCGTCCTCAACACCACTGAGCTCCTCGAGATGGTGTTGATGCACCTGCCTATCAAGAACATGTTTGGCGTGCTCCGAGTCAACAAGAAATTCAAGGCTACTGTCGACGGCTCGAAGGGGCTCCAGGTGGCCATGTTCCTCCGGCGAGACGACTCTATCGGAGAAGAGCGCGTTAATCCTCTTCTTGACGACATTGCATATCGCTCGTCTGACGAATTCGGACACTGCGTCCTCTACACGGGAATGACGCCCAAATGTCGCCCCTTCTATGATAAGGAACCACGTTGTAGAGAGCTCCAATTCAAAGGCTTCGACAAGCAGCGTCCAATGAGCACCCTCGGCAAGGGGATCATGCTCTGCAAGGGAGAAGACGGCATAGTCGAGTCCTGGGAAAAGATGTATGTGATACAAGGTGTGGAGAGATTCTGGCCATTTTACCAATGTCCCGGTATTCGGTACCCTGACTTTGTCCAATCGGACGAAATGAAGCTTGGGTCGCTGTTCAAGAGGATGGACATGCAGTACAGGTCGATCCAAGCAGACGAGGGGGGTGACGAAGCCTTGTCTCGCGAGCTGCTCACAAAGCTACTGAATTATGATTGGGTTTTGTAATGAGGTATTGAGCGCCGCTCTGGATGAGTTGCAATGCCCTCGTGCAACAGGGGCTTACGCTCTGCACTTTGCTGATCGACACCGAGTGTGCCATATGTACGCAGAGACATCGACTCGAGGAAGAAAAGAGCGTAATGCACATCCCACGAGACACTAGGTAGTGGCTTTCACGTTACGATGCGTAGCAGATCGTAATCCGCCCAGTCTCAATGCCGACTCCTTTTACCATAGTAAACGTCCTCTAAATCGGCCTGATCGAGACTTTTGTGGGCCCTGAGTGCCAAGTTCAATCAGCCACTTGCTTCTGCAGCTCCACAAGCTTGTCCCACTCGACGGCTCCCGCGTGTCTGCATTGTCACATGAAAGCGCGTGCACGGGCGCCCACGAACTCCAAATGACGGAATTCGCCCTACTTCATTCTTCCGCAACACCACAACCCAACACAGACTTAAAACGCGGAAACAACACCAGCCTCCATCCACAACATCTCCCCGGATATGATCCACAGCCATGGCTTCCAACACCGCCGCCGCAGTCCCGCACAGCGCTAGGTAAGTCCATCGTGTCGCGCGCGTCGATGGACACAGCTCACAGACACCAGCTCCACCGCAACCCCCGACGAGAGCGCCGTGGACCAGGTCATCCAGAAAACCGAACTACTCGAGATGGTGCTCCTCAAATTACCATTCAAGAACATCTTCGGCGTTCAGCGCACCTGCAAGGCTTTCAAGACCACCATCGAAGGCTCCAAGAAGCTTCAAATCGCCATGTTCCTCGATCCCGGCGAAGAAGTTGCCGAGCTGCGGATCAATCCACTCCTCACGAATGTGCGCTTTAAGCCAAGCTACGAGAGTTCCTGGTACTCGCGCCGCGATATTGTCCTCGAGAAGAAGAGCTCGGAAAACCCCCTCAAATTCAACTTCGGCTTAGCTATCAATCATGAGACCTTTCGGACCGACTTGATCGTCCTTCCAAAGCACCGCGGCCAGGAATCCTGGCAGCGCATGTATATCATCCAACCGCAAGAGGCTCCGTCCAAGTGCAGCACTTCCGCCGCCACGGAGACCACCCCACGCCAGACGCCGGATCCCTTCCTTTCTCTCACTTTCAGAAATCCTTTAACTCCCACGCAGCACGAGACATGCTTTCCGCGTGATGTCAAGGCTGAGGAAGTCTTCGATGCTCTCGACGGCCTGTACAAGGAGCATCAACAAGAGGGGGAATCCGGCATGGCGGAGCAGGATTTGCTTCGTGCTCCTGAAGATGACGAAGATCGGTGGTATCGTGGAGCGTGGCGCCACGAAGAACCGTGGTATCGTGGAGCGCGCCGCTACGTAGAGGAGATGGATCACGGAGGGGGCCTGAGCGTGGACGTGGACGAGGACGAGGACGAGGACGAGGACGAGGACGAGGACGAGGACGAGGAAGAAGATGACGAGATCGATGGGAACGAGGACGAAGAGGATGAGGCTTGACTCCAGAGAAAGTGAGATGGATGCCACGGGCTCTTCCCAGTAAATCCAGACATATCGGCCTCCTCTTCCAGACTCTTCCGGAGTCCAGAATCCAGCGTCCAGCATCCAGCGTCCAGCATCCAGCGTCCAGCGCAGGGCAAGATATACTTGCGTAGCAGCGTAGCAGCGGGAGCCCCTGGAGAGGAAAGCAATCAAGCCAGGTAGCGACCCTAAAACCAAAAATAAAAAAATTCAGATCGGTTTCCAATGTGCCTGAAGACTGACTTCTCTCTATCGTAACACAAGCTCAGCATTCTGCCTTCAACCCAAACCTCCGGGCCTCCTATTCCGACCTCTTAAAAACAATCCTCTCCCCCTCCCCACTAGCAAACGGCACTCCCAACTCAAACAGCCTGACGACAACATCCGAGAAATCCCCAAAAAACTTATCGACATCCTTGGCGTACAATTCCACATACGGACGGAAGTGTTTGTCCTTGATGAGGGCTAGGTCCGTCGGCAGCATCATCAGACTCTTGGTGCTCTTGTCTTCGTACTGCTGGGGGCCGCCCCATTTGCGCCATTGCCATTTCTCGTCGAGCAGGAGTTTGAAGTAGTCGTTGGTGAGGGTGGTCGGGGAGAAGGTCCAGGGGCCGTCGAAGCCGGAGCGGTCCGTGTGGCAGCGGCCGAGGGCGTGGGCGCCTGTTGGGGAGCACACGCGGGAAGAGTCAGCGGTGGAATCTACACAGCTAGCTTCTCTCATGAAAGAAGGAACATTGCTTACCAGAAAGCGCCACAATCTCCTGATCATTAAACCCCATGCGACCGAAAATCGCCCTCAGATGATTCTGCTCCTTGCTCGCATCCGGCAGACGTCCATCAGGCGTACAATATGCCACATCGCGATCAGCCCGTCCCGGTCGCCAGGGGATATTCGGCCCGCCCATCTCTTGAATCGCACAAGCAGCAGCTAGAGTCCAGAGATCCGAATATGTAATCCAGGGGAACTGCTCTTTGATCGACTCCAAGAAGCGCTGCGCGACCACCAGCCCAGCATTGGCACCGTGGTCCCGCTCCGGGGCAAAGCGCATCGTGGCACCGTTCGACCCGCCCGTGCCGGTCTCCGCGTCGTATGTCCCCGAGGCATGCCAGCCCAGACGCAGCAGGACGGGGCCGTACGAGCCGTCGTCGTATTCGTCTTCATCGACGAGCTTCTTGGCGATGGCGTTGTAGACGTTCTGGTAGTCTTCGGGCGTGGGTGTGAAGACGGTGTTGGCTTTGGTGTCGGATGATGTCTTGCTGTTGAGGGCGAAGTAGCCTCCTGCTCCGAGCAGACCCGCGGCTGCCAGACCTCCCCAGATGTATGTACTGCTGCTGCTGCTGCCTGAGGAGCTTCCGGACTCGCTCGAGTAGCTCCGACGAGCTTGTTGTTGGAAGCTTCGAGATACTATGCGCCGAGTAGAGGTCGTCTTAAATGCCTGCGTAGCTGGCGTAGCCCGCAGCGAGCGGACGAAGGTGCGACTTGCGGAAGCCATACCCGCCGACGAAGGATCGCTTCGGTAACCTCACTGTTGAATTCGAGCTTTCGTCAAATCAAACAACAAATTCCTTCCTTCCTGATGATATCCCTTTCCCCAAAAACCTCAAAAAGCACCAAAAAACCGTCCAAGAGGGCACCACAAGGCAAGAGAGAGAAAGAAGGAAGAGGGGAGATAGATAGGTATATCTTTTGAGAACGACCAACGCCGAACAACAACGTAAGCAAGAAGAAACCAGCACCTAACTCGCCAACCACATCCCCGTGCAGCTCGGCCCTGCGCAGACCATTCCCTGCAACATTGCCTTTCTCAGACAAAAGCCCGAAGAATCGCCATGCCATGATCGGCCGGCGAACGAGGTTGGCCCTATCGAACGCGTCGCTTTTGTCATCCAACCCCGAACCAGGGTGCATATAGCGAGATATGGTGAGCATCTCTCCTTGTTCCGACGAGTGCTCGCATACAGATTCTGTGAAAAGGCGCAATGATGATACGGAATATGTATTGAAGAGAGAGAGCGAAGGAAACTTGAAACTTTTTTCACGTGAAGTCAGCACAAAATGTAACTTTGGCGGCTCGGAAGGCAGCGGTACGATCCCGCAATGCAGCCCTACCTTACCTAAGGAAGGCAGGAGGTGATCAGTGACCCCTTCGGAGAGCTCGGTGACCCTTTGCAACCTATCGCTAGGTAAGTTATAGCCTTACGTAAGAGTTATTACCTCTTTTCCTTACTATCGATTACCTATCAGTATACTACCGACTATAATACCTCTAATAATAATATATCTACTACTAATCTACTACTAATACTTCTTCTATTAATACTAATAATAATTCTAATAATTTATTAAATTCTCTAAGATAAAGAGTATTTCTACTAATAGAGAGAGAGAGAGAGAGAGAGAGAGAGAGAGAGAGAGAGAGAGAGAGAGAGAGAGAGAGAGAGAGAGAGAGAGAGAGAGAGAGAGAGAGAGAGAGAGAGAGAGAGAGAGAGAGAGAGAGAGAGAGAGAGAGAGAGAGAGAGAGAGAAATATATATATATATATATATATATATAGATAGAGAGATATAGAGTAATAGACTATTATATAGATTTATCTTATTCCTCTCTCTTTCTCTCTCTCTCTTATTAAGTCTATAACTTAATAATCTCACAATGTATAAGGATTACTTATATAAGGCTTAATCGGTATTAGGCTCGTTAGTAGAGAGGTCTAGTAGAGGAAGAGTAAAGCGATAGAGTAATATAGTAACTTAAGGGATTGTATTCTAAGTAGTAAGATACTATAGTAAGTTAAACATATTAAAAGCTAGAGGCATTCTTAGTGTTCCTATATAGATTTCTAGTTCGACTAACCTGTCCTACCTACTAGCTAGAAACTAGCTATCTAACTAGAGCTATAGTCGAACGGTCGAACTTATTACGTAGTCCTCCTCGTAGAGTTCGACTACCGGCTCCTTCCGTTAGTCGAACACGTAATACGTAACGTACCTCGCTACACGCGTAAGGTCTCTCTTCTATTTCACTAGCTAGGAATTCTCGAAGTAGCCTCGCTCCTACTTCGATCCGTAATAAATATAAGTAACTTATTATAAAAGATCTTCGTAGTAAGAGAGAGAGAGAGAGAGAGAGAGAGAGAGAGAGAGAGAGAGAGAAATATATATATATATATAGATAGAGAGATATAGAGTAATAGACTATTATATAGATTTATCTAATTCCTCTCTCTCTCTCTCTCTCTCTCTCTCTCTAAGTCTCTCTCTCTCTCTCTCTCTCTTACTAATTTTACTCCTCTCTATAGATCTCTATACTAGTAAGTACTCTAGAAATACCTAACAAAAATACTAGTTATTTATTATATTTAGTAAGTAATTAGTATTTAATAGTATATACTAACGACGATAACCTTAATAACTACTTCTTATAATACTTTAAACGATATATATTTTTATTTAGCTTTTTTTTTATTAGGGCCTACCTTATCTCTGGAAAATGGAAAAAAAAAGGGTTACCGAAGCTCTCTCGTACGGGTTACCGAGCTGTAGGTACGTACCTTACGGTGTACCACGCCCTAAGGTAAGGTAACGGAAGGGGAAGACTTTTTGCCCGATACCTCTCGCGCCAATAATACCCCTTTAGGAAACAAGGTAGCGAGAAAGTTCTCCCGAATTGTCGGAAAGAGAAAAAGAGAGAGAGAGAGAGAGAGAGAGAGAGAGAGAGAGAGAGAGAGAGAGAGAGAGAGAGAGAGAGAGAGAGAGAGAGAGAGAGACAACCTCCTCTCCGAAGCGAGCTAAAAGCGAGCTCGTCGCCATAGATGGCTAAAATGAGTAGGAACAGGATCACTTCCAAAACGCCATGTACCAGACAGACAGAATGATAGACACTGATAAGGTACTCGCTGATGAGACCAAAGCAGAGAGCAATCAATCAATAAACAAGTCAAGTGAGAAGAACCCTCATCATCCATCACAAAAACTCCACGGCGTCCATCGCTAAGCTAACCAGTCATCAGAGATAGTAATTTCCATCCTTATAGCCATCCAACTCCATCCCCCATAATAAAGTGGCAACCATCATCATATACAATCCGCAAGATCGCGCGCGCCCATCAACGAGACCGAAGCCCATCATCCCTCGCCGTACTAACACCGATTCCTTCTTCCTCCTCGTCCGTAATTCCCAAAGCCCCCGTCCTTCTCTCCCTTCCACCCCCACTGCCGCCTCCGGAGCCAGAACTCCTCACGCTCGCCTCCCTGCCCATACTGCCCGTGCGACTCACAGCTGAGTCGCTCGCAGACCGCATACTCGCCCTCTCGACGTCCGCATTCACAACCCGCAGCCTCGCCTTGGGAACCGTAAACATAATCTGCACATCCCTCTGTCCCGCAGCGCCTTCGACATCCCATTCATTCTCCGCATCCGAAGGCCTCCTCTCCAGTTCCGGCGCTCCCCAATCCCCAGGATCGGGGTCATCGCGGTAGGGAGAGAATTCTTTGTCTTTTTCCCAATCTTGCTGGCCGCGTTTCTGGCGGAGGAGGGTTCCGCCTTCGGAGACGGCGCGGCGGGGTCCGTCGGGGTTGCGTTTCCGGATGGGGGAGGAGGAGCAGGTGCGTGGTTCTTTGTCTGCTGCGTCGGCGGGTCGGTCGAGTTGTTCGACGGCGCTGGCCGTGAAACTGAAACTGCGGTCATTGGACATGGCGGTCAGGGCGCGTTTGAGCGAGCCCATCCAGCCTTGGCGTCTTCGAGGGGATATCACGATGGGTGGAAGTTCGTCTCGCATGGATTGTCGTCGACCGACTTGCGGGCTTGCTGCCGCCATTGCTCTCTGGTATGGATCGTCTCTGTCTGCCATCGGGGGGCCTCCCAGTAACGCGGCACCTTCGTCTTGGAGCTGAGCGAAGGTGGATCTAGCAGTCGTGAATGAGTCTGCTGATTTCTGCGCAGCATAATACGATTCGCGTTGCTTCTGCTTGCCCTCGTTCGCAGGCCGGGTGGAAGTGTAAAAGTAGTATGGCGATTGTCTTCCGCCAAGACTCGACAGGGTGCCCATTGTACTGGTACGCTCTTCAATTTCATGGTCGTCCGCGTCTCCTTGGAGTGCCGCGGCGGCTGAAAGCAAGGCTCCAGTCCGCGTCGACATGGTACGCGTCATCGAGTTGCTGGAAATCTGCGATGGCTGCGACTGCTCACTGAGGGAGGAAGAAGTGCGATCATCCGTCTTGGTAGGCGATGTACGCCCGGTGGAAGAACCGGAAGGATCTGAAGGTTCTATTGCCTGCTCGACGATCATCCAGTTCATCGATCCATCCATCTCTGCAGACAGCGGCCTCCTGGTGGGAGAGTCGCCGCGGCCGCGCCCTGGAGGCACTGGTCGCATGGTCTCTGGAATCTGCGGCGACACTGGATGGCTCCCCAACGGATTGGGCTCTGGATCGATAAATGGATCTCTGGCCGGACGACTCGCAGTATCGGACGCCTTCAGAATGCGCTGCAGCTCCCGCAGATTTCGCTCGGGATCTTGCTCTTGCGGCGTGCGATCGAGGACCTGTTCCATCTGGCGCACCTTTTGCACTGCATCCGACTCGTCGACTCGATCATCATCTCCACGGATGGAATCTTCGTCGGCACTTTCGAAGATTGGATGAATGCTTCCACTGCCGCGATTCGCGCGGCTCTCGTCGCCCCTCGGAGCCTGATGGTATGCGTACCCTCTGTTCGGCAAAGCCTTGCGCAGGCCTCTGGTAGGGCTTGGGATGTCGACAAAGAGACCTGTTGCTCCGGCCTCGCTCATCGATGGACATGGCCGGTTGGCATCAATGTAGCTTCCGCGGCCGTCGATCCCGCCCGTGTATGAAGATGGCCGATCGATTCGTACGACTGATACATGTGATGTCTTACCCTCGCCTAGCAGCTCTCGAGCTCGCTCTTCGCGTTGCTTCCTCAGGCGCTTGCTGTACCAGAAGTAAAACCATATCAGACCAGCCAAGGCAGCCGCTCCTACAGCAAGCCCTATGCCCAACCCCGCCTGTTGTGACGTCTTACTCAAAGGGCCCGTAGAGGATTGATCGGCTTCCGCAGGTTTCGAAGGAGGGGTGTATGAGTCGATCCAAGTATTCGAGGTCGTGTTGAACAGATAGACGCTGTCGCTCGTCGTCTGAGATGCACGCTTCGATGAAGAGCCAGAGATGGCGTACCCGCCCACTACCATCATGATTCCACCTGGCAGCATTGTCGCGCCGTGGCCATATAGTCCATCGCCCGGTGGGGTGAAGTTTCCATTTGCGGTCGGAACCGACCACGTCCACTCCAGAGAAGCGGATCCACCGTACTCGGAACCCAGGTGCAGCACCGCTAGCTGAGGAACCGCCGCATTTGTGATGTCGCCAACCCAGCCTCCACAAACAATCACCTTTGACCCATCCTCGGACAGGACAGCAGTGTGACCCGATCGGGGTTCGACATCGGTATTGGATTGTCGCGCAGCGAGATCGGTCTTCACACTCGACGGCTGCCTGACGGGTAGGTATGCCCAGCTCTCCTGTGGCAATGAGAACAGGGCAATGTTGGACATGTTGATGAAGGCTTGTTGCGTATGGCCTCCGATCAGCACGAAGTCCTGTTGCTGGGTATTCGGCTGGCCGGTTGCATTGACAGAGAAGGTCGGGGTGAGACCGGTCATGGTGTAGCCGGCCTCTGCGATGGCGGATCCTCTGTTTGCAATGGAGGTGATGCTGTACGATCCGGAAGCGGCATTTGCAGGATCGGGGGAAAGCTGCAGCATCATGTTCGAATATGCCGCATCTCTGGCCCAGCTGTGTGCGTCGCCGGTGGTGAAAGGGCACATGCCACCAAACATGTAGAAGGCGAGATCGGTAGGATCACCGTCGACCTTGGGCGAGAAGGCAACAGCGCTCGCAAGGTAGTTGGAGCCTGTCAGATTTGACCCTGGCGACAGGCTCTGATCGGATGTCTGGTGTTGACTCCATGTCCCCAGCGCTGGTGTGTTGGCCGACGCCGGGCAGTACGTCCATACCTCCGTCTTGTTCGCACCCGCAGTACAGCTTCCAGCAATGACTGTGATGTTCCCCCAAGAATCGATCGTCGGGGTGTATGGTACGAGGCGATCGTCTCGAAGAAATGGCAAGCCATTTGTTATCGTCGAGATGGCCAGCTGATCTGTCGCGAATGATTTGGTGATGTCTATGGCTCGCAGAAGACCCTGGTAGGTGGATTGCGAGGAGGTCTGAAAGAGATATCGGTATGACGAGTTGGTGGTGGTGAGGATCCTCGTGGGATTGTAGGGTAATGAATCGGCGGTCGCGATGGAAGCGTAGACGAGAGCCTGCAGGCTCCATGGCAGCGATGCGAATCTCATGGGGAGAATGATGAAGGGTGACCGAGGCCGTGGTGGCTATGTCTGCACGCGGATGGTTTCTGTCATCGGTCGTGATTCGGGTGGTAGGTCCTACAATCGCGTGGGCTCGCAGGTTCTCCGGGACGCGTGAAGGCGCATTAGTATTCGGGCGGTCGACGCCGTGCGTGGGAGGACGAGGGTATCGGGGTGGGAGTGGTGGCACGGGGCGAGGAGGAGCGGTCTTTCATGGGCGTGCGGGTGGAAGTTGGATAATGATAATGCAGAGGCAGGCAGCAAGATGTCAGAGAGTTGAAGGGAGGTGAGGTGAGGTGAGGTGAGTTGAGTCGAGTCGGGAGGGCCATGCAGCTGCGGCCCAGAGGTGTGTGCAGTGTGCAGTGTGCAGTGCTGCTTCGGTCGCGGGTCCGGGGTCGCGTCACGCCGTCAACAGAGCAGACTCAGTGATGTGTTCATCAGGTTCCAGCCTCTCTGCGATCCACAAGCGAATGGAAGCGACCACTGGTTCCGACGAGACGGTCTGTGGCTGGCGTGATGCAGTGATGGATGGATGATGATGATGAGGCCTCCGCACCCGCCATCTCACTTCTCATCTTCCAGATTCTTCGCGGGAGGCTGGCGCGCATCGGTCGGTCGGTGCATCGCTGCATCGGTGGGTGCAGTGTTTCGGCGGGGTGCGCCAGTGTTGGCCCGGCAACGAACGAAGAGATACGACACAGACATGGATGAACCCTGCACACGTGATGAAAGTTGCCAAGATGGCAGGTCTGGAAACGCTCGCTCGTAACGCCAACAAACGAAAGCAGCCATTTTCATTTTCATCTCTCAGGGCATCGTAGACCATAACACTAACCGCGTCCAGTCGCCATCCCATCACTGCTGGGATATCATACATGTACATCGCCTCTGGCGCACGCGCGCACTTGCAGATTATTACCGGGGGGGATACACGCACTCCCTCCGATCCCTTCCGTACCAGGCGACGAAACGGCGATAGCGCCACAGCAGAACTTGAAGCTTGCAAGATACTAACTAGTATCTCGCTACCTTATCCCCTCCCCTGTGTAGCGGTATACCCCCACCAGAGCCCCCTGGCCCAAACTCCCCCCCACTGGACCATTCCAACCCAAGTTGTTGTTCGTACGCGTAGGTGTTGATTGTTCTTCCCCACGATCCGCCAAGCCCGCCGTAATCGTAGAAATCATTGCATTCGTCGTGGCCTTCATCTACATCCTCCTTCCCTTCTCGCCATTCCGACACTCTCTCCAAACGAGGTCCATGGTGCTGTGAGGTACAGAACTCTGTTCACGCTGTACAATATGATACATCAGCAGAGACAATCTCTCCAAACCCACTCGAGAACTCAGTAATGTGTGCGCTGGATGATACTCATTCAATGCCCTTGGTGATGCTTATTCAATGCGCGTGGTGAAGCTCATTCAATGCCCTCCCATACGGGGGAATCTGTCGGTCTGTCGACTCAATGCCGCTGCTATTCACCCGTCTCGCTGAAAGCCGTGTTCCCATCCCGTCCTACTCATGGTTCGTATGCAAAGGAGAAGATCAACCCCCGAGAGAACGCCGTCATAGCCAGGAGCATGTCCCATCCTGCTCAACCAGCCCCAATTCCCCGAAAACGCCAAATGCTCTTGCGAAAACGCCATGTGTGTCGTGTGGTAATCCGGCCTTTCCCCCATTTGTTCACACCTCCAATGCATTGACTCGCTTCTTGACGAATTCAAAGTTGCTGAAGAAGATCATGTTGATGATGCACGACCGCACGACCGAAACTAGGAGACCTGCGACGACATCGGTCAGTCGCTGTGGGCATGTCCTCTCGGATGATGCCCTTCTTACCTCGATATGCTTGTCTGTCCAAAACCTTGATCACTGGTCTCTGCACCTTCTCTGCTCCAGACGAAACGGCGGCTTTCTGGTAGACAGTCTTTGCAACGTCAATGGGATAGATCTGAGCGTCCACTCGTCAGTTCCAGCCCGTCAAGACACGATCTCGCAACAACTCACAATCATCCAACTGACGATTCCACACAGCCCTCCAGCGATCGCAACAGCGTATGGACTGGTCGCGCTCTTACCACGAGCATTCCCCATCAGTTGCTTCGCGCTTTCGTACGTCATGAAGTAGATGGATGTGCCGATGGTATCCCTCAACATGTGCAGCCCAAAGCCCGTGTACAGCCCTCGTATGCCCTTCTCCTTCACCAGTCTGTATGCAAATCGACTAGACGGGAACCGCTTCGTGGCATTGGTAGCAGCGGCCGAAGAAGTACTGCCAGATTGTCCGCCAGGAGCATCTCCCTTCTTCATCGCCTCAGCAGCATCCCTCGCCATCTTGCCCGCGAGTTGTTCGTTCAGCTTGGTGAGTTCGAACGGACAGGAAATGCTGGTGATAACAGCACCTGCCGTCGCGCCCGCCGCACCAAAGCACAGCAGGGTGCTCCATGTAGGATAGCTTCCCGGTGCGTTTGCGATCATGAGCGGGCTCTCGCCCGTCATTTGGTGGATGGTGTGGTCCAACGCATACTTCGACTTCTGATAGAGAGAGAAGGAGATCGTCCGCACCAGCGTAATACTAATAAGCGGCGGGAAGACGCCCCTCCAGAATGCACGAAGTCCCTCGGCCTTGTACGCATCTTTGACGGTCGCCACGAAGCTGGTTCGGTAGGATTGCATGCGCGATTTGACGAAGTCGAGCGGGAAGGTCGCGGTCGTCGAGAGGATCGAGGAGGTGGATGCGGCGATCTCGGTGCGGTATTTCTTCGCGAGTGCATTCACCTCGTTGCTCGTCTGAAAGGAGAGAATACTCTTCTTGGGGGGATCGTTTGCTGAGACATTTTGCGAATGCGAAGGGGATTGCTGGTTCGTGATGCTGGAGTTGCTCTGGGAGTCGCCATCTGACGAGCTCATGGTCGGTGAAGACGGGCGTCTTCAAGGCGTTCGATGGAAGTGCTGCGGGAGCACTCCATGAAGCCCGCTGGGTGGGATTGAGTGAGGGTTCGTCAACGTGTCGGCGCCTGGAGTGTGTGTTTATATTGGTGATTTGGTCCCAGTGGCACACAATCTCCAGTCCAGCAGCGGCGGCAGTGGCAGTACGGCAGATCCAGTGGGTCGGCGGCGGTGTTGTTGGCGGAGATGTTTTGTCGAAGAGTGAAGTTGTAGCTGTCTGGAGATGAGCTCAACGCGCCAATGATTAAGTTAACTTTCACTGCCCCACTTCCGCCGCTAACCGCGGGTAGCCCTGCTTGTCGTACAGCTCCTCCGCAACCTGACATGTGAAGATGGCTCTCCTCTTCATCATCACCCCGCTATGTAATACACTGTCTATTCCAAGAGGAATCGGCGTCATAGATGTGGTACATGTCTCATAATGTGCGGTAAATACTATAATGCTGTCGGATTAATTACAAAAGCATTGACCTTCACCTCAGTGTTGCCGGTCAAGTGAAAATATCCCACGGACTCAGCTCCGAGCATTAAAGCCACCGGGGCTAATCTCTTCGCCCCTGTAAGGGACCGCATTGAATGGCTTTTCCCCGTTGCTCAAAAGCATTGTGGAAGCTGGGATTGTATGTCTCCTCACCAACAGACCGCAGAGCCCATCAGAGCAAAAATTAGCAGAGTCCAGCTCCACGCAAAGCCCTTCATGGCCGCACTGCCCTGTGTCTGCTTTGCTTGGTTACCTCCGCCAGCAGTATTGGTGCAGCTCGTACCACAGACATAGCCAGAAGGACAACATCCACCTCCATTGCTGGCAGCGCAAGTCTGCCATCCTTGAGCGCAAGCGGCAGTCGCGCCTCCCACTGCAATCGTCAATCCAGATGTGATCACGCTCGTTGTTGCAGTCGGCGGGCAAGACGTGGTATGGCAGTCTCGGTCGACCTGGCAGCAGCCCCCCAAGTAAACAGCAGAGCACATGTAGAAGCCAGTAGGGCAGCCAGTCGCGACGCTGGTCGTTGCTTGTGTACCGGCCGGAGATATTGGCGTATCTGAAGTCGGTGCTTCACTTGTAGGTCGTACTGGTGGTGCTGCGGTAGCTGTCGTAGTTGTCGTAGTTGTCGTAGTTGTCGTGACGTCCGCGCATTGGGTCTTTGTGACGCAGTCCTGACCATTTCGACAGCAGCCTCCTCCCAACGAAGCTGGGCAGCTGAAGAAATCGGCACTGCACGACGCGCCTCCAGTTCCCGCGATGATGATGGTCGTGGGCGAGATTACCGTGGTGGTCACCGTAGATCCTTGAGGAGTCAGAGTTACAGTGGTTGTGTATCCGCTGGTAACAACGACCGTCGTTCCCCCTGCGCCGGCAGCCCCTCCAGTCGCAGTCGTGCGCGGAGAAGTAGTCGTAGTAGGGTTAATCGTCCCAGTGGTGACCGTCTGGGCGGGCAACGTCGTAGTCACAGTCCGTGTCCCGTACAGCACACATCCAGTATCCAAGCACTGCGCTCCTGGTATACAGCATCCCCCATTATTGCTATTCGGACAACTCGTATATCCCGCGTTCGTATCGCAAGCAGAGACCGAAGTCCCGCAACTTGCTCCATCTGGACAGCACCCGACTCCGCTTCCAGTACTTACGCAGGTCTCACCACTTCCACAACAGAGATTGGACCCGATGTTGCGGCAAGAGTTGGTGTCCGAAGGGCACTTGAAGTCCCTTCCAAATAGGCTCCTTGCGAGAATCGATCGATCGTGATTCGTGTGCGGTCTCATCGCTGCTCTCATCACTTCCGTTCCATTCCCACCCGTCCTCTCCCCGAAGTCCCAATATTCCATCCAAAACTTCTGCCCGGGATCGAACCCCTCCATCTTCTTCACTCCAGCCGGAGCCTGCCATGCCAGCTTCTCTTGCGCCGCCGTATTCCTCTCCACGTGGGACTCATCTTCCGGGAAATACCTCGCTGTTCGTGGAAGGTTGTGAGGCCATTGCAGCTCCTCCGCGAAGACCAAGAGACTCGCGGGGAGCAAGAGTAGACGCGTGAGATTCCACATATTTGATTGAATGACGTCGGGAAACAACGAGTGTTTGCTGGACTGGAGAAGGTAGGGAGGCTGGATCGCGATCCTGCGGGAGGCCGAATATGGGGATGATGAGGCTGGAGCATGTGAGAAGAAGACAGAAAGACCTACCTGCTCAGTGAGTGAAAGGCTACATGGTGTTCCGGAGTGGCTGGTTCCTGCCGAAGCAAAGCTGATGTGCGATGAGCTGTTCCTGCGACGCTACGAGAAGTGAGAGAGGCTGGCTTTCGGGTTTCGGATAAGAGCTCCGACCGCCCAGCCGGCAAGGACAACCTCGCCTTGCACTGACTTCATCACACTTTCACATGGCCAACCACATCTCCGTTCGACACAAAACATTGACGAAATGTAGTTTCCGGCATACACACATGCAGGAGAAGCGGAGCAGTCCGGCGGTGGTCGTTCGCTTGCACTGACTTTCGCCAAGTAAAAGTCGCGTACGCTGTCTACGACCTATGAGGATTCTTTGGCAACAAGCCTGCGATGCGTTCACTTCGATGAGAAGTATGCGCCATCGTGGCCCTTTACTCCAATGAACGCTACACTTCTTAAGAAATTCTGTTGATGCCAAAACATCGACTGATTCCTTCGGCATCCACTATTATGAACGAATTGTTAAGCCTCCGGAAAGGGTATACAAAACCAGGGTCGGGACTTGCACACTCTCCAGTCGGCGAAGTACCACCTCATTATCACCACATATGTGATAACATCAAGTACCATGGCCATGTTGGATCGCAATACCATCCAGGACAGCAAAATCTTTTCCATGTCCTACGACTAACCATCTCACCAGCGACGACCGCCGACTCGCCCAAGACAGTACACTTCAGCATCGTTGTGATGCTCCTTGCCCTTGCCCTCGCCACAGTGATCATTGCGATTTCGCAACTACTGCGTACCTACCAAGAACAGACACCGTGGCGATCTAGAAGCATGATCAACGAAGAGGGAAATTCAAACCAATACGAGACCACCCGAATCCCCAAAAGGCGAACTCTCCACCAAGAGACGCTTGGTTTGTTTGCTCAGCAACAGGCCGACACTCTCTACAACCATGCGATCGAATGAGAGAAGAAGACCAATCGGCACGAGAATCACAAGTCGAGAAAGAACCTGTCGATACCTTTCACAGAATATCGCAATAAAAAATCTCTATACAATACATATCTTTTACGCCGCGCTCGGCCAAGATCGAACTGTAACCTCACATCACACCTTTTCCTTTTTCAGGTCTGGTTCATCATCATCATGAACTCTGTATGGTCACTCTATGCATTCGCCGGCGACTCCTTCTCAATGGTGGGGTTCGGTCCCACCGCTGCGGAAGGACCGGGAGTCTGCAGTCCCATGGACTTCAAGTAGTCCACCGCCTCGTCGTATTCCAAGTCTTTCCGATGCTTGTTCCAGTTGAGTTCACGGCCCATGATATCGATGATCTTAGGGAGGGACTCCAGGGCGGCCTGAGCGTTCAGGAAAGCCAATCGCGTTCGTCGTCCGAGCACATCCGCGGCGGTCTGGGCGTATTCATGGCGGACGGCGTAGCGGACCTCGCCATCGACATACGGATATAATGCAGAGATGCGGTTTCCGCGCTCGGGGAAACGCTCGTTCGTGGGATCGCAGAGCGCGGCGACAGTCCAAGCGCGGTCACCGTAGGACTCGGTCAAGTGCTTGGCGACATCTGTTTCGAGGCCATAGTTCTGGATGACATTGATGAAGAGGGTCTTGGAGAATCCGTGAGCGCCAAGCAAGCGGACTTGGTGTGTTTGGCAAGAGCCATCGAGATTGATCTTTTCGTGGAAGCCCTGGACTCCGCTGACGAGAGGTGGGTTCGCCACGCCCCCAGTTTGGAGCTTGAATTCCTTGATCGCTTCGTCGACCGCCTCCTCCGCCATCTGACGGTATGTTGTCCACTTGCCACCAGCCATGGTGAGGAGTCCAGAGTCAGAGGTAGTGAGAAGATGGTTGCGAACAAGACCTTCCGATTTCGCCTTCTTCGGATCGCGGACAAGAGGACGAATACCAGACCAGGCGGCGAGAACGTCACTTCGGCGGACCTGAAGCTCGGGTTGCAGGTAGTTCTGAACTTCCTTGAGGATCCATTCGATCTCCTTCTCCTGGGCGACTGGATTGGGCTCAACGTCACATGGTGCGTCAGTGGTACCGGCGATAGTATTGCCTTGCCATGGCAAGAAGAAGATGACACGTCCGTCAGAAGTGCGAGGATCAATCAGACCCATGTTAGAAGGCGAGTAGTAACCGGGCAGAATGACGTGGACTCCAGAGCTGGGTGCAACGATCTCAGGTACCTGTTGGTCGTCCATCTTGCGAATCGAGTCGGTGAATGGTCCAGTAGCGTTGATGATACCCTTAGCTTTGATGCTGAATTCTTCGCCCTTGTTGCCGTCTTTTTCTGCGACAAGATCCTTGACCTTGGCACCGCATAGTCTGCCGTTGGCGTCCTTTTCAAGGCCAGTGACTTCCATGTGGTTGACGAGAGTGGCACCGTAGAGAGCGGCAGTCATCGCTAGAGATACGTTCATCCGAGAGTCGTTGTGAGCACCATCGTAATAGACCAAAGCGCCCCAGAGGTTGTCTTTCTTGAGCATAGGGAAAGCGTCCAATGCCTTGCTCCTTGTCAAGAAATACGAGGTCTCGATGTTCTCGGAGCCAGCCAGAAAATCGTAAAACTTGGTCCCGGCCCAGAAGTAGGGCGCTTGCCACCACTTGTTGACGGGGATCATGATCGGGAGCCATGACGAGAGATGCGGTGCAGTGTCGAGGAAGTATCTCCGCTCGCGCAGAGCTTCCTTGACGAGCTTGTATTGGTTGTAATCCAATTCGAAAACAGCCTTTTCCAGATATCGCACACCACCGTGCACGAGCTTGGTGCTCTTGCTACTTGTCCCCGATGCAAAGTCATCTCTCTCGACCAAAGCGACCTTCAGACCTCGGGATGCGGCATCGAGAGCGATACCAGAACCGGTCGCACCGCCTCCAATGACCAGCAGATCGTAAGAGTTGTCGCCCTCTGCAGTTGCATTGTCCTGTTCGACGCCCAGAGTGCTCTTGACCTTCTCTTTCGCCGTCTGAAACGCTGCGCCAGCGCTCGCTTTGAGGTCGTCGATCTGCTCCGCTCGTGTCTTCACCCGTGGGAAGTTCGGAGGTCGGAAGACACCGCCTTCGCCGTACGCGGAGGGCGGTACAGAGGCCGCCTCAAGTCCCGGAACATCGCGAGGGCGGTAGACGAAGTAGAGAGTCCCGGCGCCGACACCTCCAGCGAGGGAGGCGTATCCCAAGCCGCGGAGGAGACGTCCCGAGCGGCTGGCGGCCATGAGCTGTGAGGAGAGGGAGGAGGAGTGAAGGCAGCAGCTGGACCGGCCAGGAGATGTCAGGTAGCAGAAGCAGAAGGGCGGAATACGGATACAGATGCTAGATTAAAAGTTGGTCGGGAAGTGGTTCACGAGGCGCACAGAGTGGACCGGATGCTCCACCGTTCTCAGCGCGCGTTGTGATGAATGAAGTCACACGCTCTTCTCGATCCCCGGGATCGTCTCGGTGCTTCTATGGCAATACCATGGTGTCCTCTCATATGTCGACTGCGTGATGCAATGGCAACGGAATCTGAATTGTCGTTGCATACCTTACGACTTCACATGCGCGGAGTGAGATGCGGCTCCGTCCTCCCGCATGTCTCCCGGGTGAGTGACGGCATCTTCTCCATGTCACGCGGAACCACGACGAATATCCGGAGAGAAGGCTAGCGTATCTTCACACGTTGCCAACTACAATAACGAATACACTCAAGAACAAGATCCCACACTTTCATCTCGTTCGTCTTCGTCAGGAGTAGACCACTTCTTGCAAAACAGCAGCGTTGCACACGGTTCGGAGGTTTCATCAAAGCTCACGCTACGGCCCCGGCTTGCCAGATTGAGCCTCCCGGAACCCTGATCCGCGAATCAAACGCGTTGCATCCAACCCACTTCTCGGACTTCACTTCCATTTCCCTTCCACCAACCACATACGACCTATCGTCCACACACTGCTGTCTTGCCCTCCAGCCGTTTGTCGGGAGCACCGTTGACATCTTATACGTTGCTATCGACCACTTCGCATTGGAGATCTGGCTTAGTCCCGATACATTCAAGCGCTATGTAGAGATCAAGTCGAATGGGAAATTTCCGAAAGAGAAGTCGATTTCCAGGACATTATTCTGATTACTGAGATGCCTCAGAAATGCATCATGCCTCGTGCATCACACCGAGATTATGTGTGTATATACAACTTCCCCCTCGCCATCTCATTTCATCGCTTATGCAGAACATGACTGCCCACGAACAGCTCCCGGAACAGCTACAGTATTGTGCTGTTATTGATGGCAGACGTCAATGCGATCATGTGGACTTACAGCCTGGCCACCAGTCGGGGTAGTACCGTTGACGATTGGTTCTGGGGTAGCCTTCACGTAGAAGGTGGACGTGAAAGAAATTGGGCCCTTGGAATAGTCGTGCACTACGTGTGAGTTATGGCTTGAAAATGAAGAGACATGTGGTTGATGTTATACCCTGTAGCCTCCACCGACATTGTCGTGCTCGCCGTAGCTGCCGTTTTTCCCAAGTTCTCACCAGCGCCCTGGTATTTACCGTAGCTGGCCTAGCCGTCAGGCAGCGTGGTGGCAATGGAGGAGAGGAGGGAGACGGCGACGACGGTGGCCTTCACCACGAGTTGATATCACCGTTGTTTGGTCGGTCGGTTGTTGGTATTGATATTCAACGAAAGCGCTGGTTGTTGCTGTAGGATACGGAATCGATCGGATGCTGTTGTGGTGGATGATTCTGTTTCCTTGGAGCAGAGTACATCGTACGTATGTCTTCTTCTCGATGCCTGTTCGCACGTAAGTACCCCATTACATCATGCATATCAGAGGCACATGGCTTCAGCTCTTCTTGGCCCTACCAAGACATAGTTCGACAATCTCCAGGTCGCTAGACAAATTTCAAAAGGAACACTATGCACGCAGCAGAACAGCCAGCAATCAGTGTTGCAGGAGCTGAGATGAGCTTTCTTTCTGGAGGCATATCAGTCGGCATGACGGAGCACATCTGTCAAGATCTACGCACGTGTCCGGCCGCTTGAGCATGCGCTGCCTGATGCGCCCATAAAGGCAAGTGGAGCAGCACCAAGCGCACATCTCGCAGCCATTAGCTCAGAGACGAGAATCTTCATCAGAATTGACTGACGCATGTAGCGCATTCGCCAGAATAGCCACTATTGCAGAGACCGAGCTCCCATTCTCCAGTCTCTTGAGTCATATCTCACTGATAACTCGCAGAACGAACACGGCAGAGAGCAGAAAGCGCTGGTAAACAGTATACCAAAGATGAAGGAGAAGGATACCTAAAGTCTCTGGGGGGCAATGAGGCCGCCTCTGACCACTGGAGGCGAGCATCTTCTCATGCACCCTGTGCCTTGTGTACAGCATGAGACACATACTGAGTGTGGGAGAGAATGCGAATTGCTGGTCAGCACAGGTCTGATCATTCAAGGCCACAGCTGGGACTTCGTGCACCAGAATTCGCGGATTGTTGAGAGAACATGTCCAGACATCTATCACCGGTTCAGTCTGTGATCCACCTTGCGTGGCATACCAGCCTTCCTGCTCTTATGTAGCGGCAACCCTGCGGTGCATGCTCGCTTCGCTCTGCGTGGTGTGGGTCGTCGGTCCAGGTACCGCCTCGAAGATGGTGATAGCAATACGGTGGTCTCGTATGGTTTGGAAGCCTGTAGGGCAACAGCTGGCGCAGGTATCGCTGGCACCGCTGGCACTGCCTTTGACGTCGTGGTCGACGAAGTGTTTGCTTGAAACTCCTCAAAGAAGACACCTCGCCGCGCTCGCCCAGACCGGGAAGCCAAGACGATTCTGAGGCCGAGTGCAGGATGATGCGGGAGTAGTCTGGTCTGCTGCCGTGACATATGCGAAGCTGGGCGGCGGCGATAAGCACAGCATTACTCATCAATTAGATGATGAGAATGACGGAGGAGGAAAGATGGAGCCTCCTGGGGGACAGAAAAAACGAGACACTGAAAGTTGGTCTTGGCGGGCCGAAGCTCTCAAATTTTGCCGATCTGTCCCGTTTTTTCTGTCCCCCAGGAGGGAGCCGAAGACTGTGAGCCTGAGGCATATATAGATAAGCTCACGCTAGCGCCCGCTTCGGCCAGGGCCGTCGCGCGGCATCTCAAGATTGGATCCACTCTCCAACAGTACACCAATAGCTCCCTCTTCTTACGACAATACACGGCTTCCGAGCCAACCAAAAGGATACCCGGCTGGCACAATCAGCATCAGCCTGAGGCAGTGCATGAGACCGCATCAGGCGCTCCAGAGCGTGCTCTTTCATGCCTCAAACAACGACGCTACCGCCATGTCGACATAACTGCCCATGCTGGAAACGTTGCGGGAACCGCTGAGGTAGCGTTCTGAAGACATCTGACATCCACAAACTGCCTGATATTACACTCGTCATGCCTTATCTGGACGACAGTCCGCCGCGAGGCGACACCGCGAAGATATGGCAAAAATTCATCAAGCACTCCATTCTGCGACGACTACGACCTGCCCAGTTGACATCGGCAATCAAAGAACTGCAGTCGAAACACCGCGCAAAACCGAAGGAGATCGCAGAGCTGCTGATGAGATTTCGAGCTCGACCCGGTGGCCTCGACGAGCCTCTTCTGTTCAGGTACGCCGAGCTACTGGTCAGGGAAAAATATATCACTTCAAGCGACCTTCTCCTGGCTTTGCTTCAGAACTCCGGCTACGGAGAGCGCAAAGCCTATAACAACGTCACCCGACGCACTGGCATGCCTTCGTGTGAGGAGCAAATCTTCACCCTCCTCATGCAGCACCATGCTCATACTGGAATACCGACCGCCGCCCTAGAGCTTCAAAACATCATTTTCGCTATCTGGCGCTGGATGAAGGCCGTTTGCGGGTACGAGATGGGCAAGCAGCTCGAGACTGGCGGCATGCACACGCTCGATGCCTACTACATGGGCATGTACGAAGCACTTGGAAATCTGGCCGTCATCGTGCTTGGCAACCAGAGTATTCGTGTACTTGCGAAGCAGAAGTGGTGGAAGGAGAAACGAGCGCTAGTCGTTACGGAGATGCGCAACTACGACACCCACGTTCTGCAGTGGATGAACTCTCAGCGTGGCGGTCAGTTGAATACACTAACAAGCATGCTGCCTTTCATTGAACTCGACGAGAAAGGACGCCCAAAGTTCACGAACGACCAGATCCTGGCGTCTGTATCAGAAGTTGCCAGTGTCAACTCGCGGGCGGGCTTGTTCATCTGGCTCGACGCCGCACTGGTCGCACTTCCATCAACCCAGGACCCGATACTTTTGAGCCATCTGCAGGCGCGCTATCCTGGCGATCCACAGTCAATGATGGTCGATCTCATGGCTGCCGCCTTCGATGTCTTGACCAATGCAATACTCAGAAAGGAGTCCCGACAGGATGTCAAGGTCGCGCGCTCCTTTCTCTGTAATAAGGTGCCGGTTGTCATGGCTATGCTTTCGGGCAACATGCCACCTGGAACAGCGGACACCTGCATTCAAATGGCTTTGGTTCCGGGAGGCATGATCTCTATGGACCCATTACCGCCGATTACAGCAGGGGCGAACGAGGTCAGGGAGAACCTCAAGCAGACGAGGCTTGATTTTCTCCAGGCATGCGCTCTTCATGGCTTGACTTCGGAAAATACAATCTCTGGAATCATCCAAGGCAGCGTGACCCTTCCTCGCGTCATCAAGCAAAACAAAGATACCCTTGTCGCTCAGTGCACCAACAACATCAGCCGCTTTGAGGCTATTCTCGAGGATGTGGAGGCCATGCAAGGAAATGCCGCTGCCATCTCTGGCTGTGTGTTTGAAACTGTCAACAATCTGTGTATGAGCAAGGACACCATGTCTTTGAAGTCCGCCTGCAACGCGTTACTAAAGAAGATTCCTCGCATGGACATTATCTTGCAATACGGAGAACCGCGAATGCTGTTGTCGCCGCTGTGCACACTGCTTAGTGACTGGATGCACGACCAGGACCAGAGCGAATTCACGCCGCAGTACGAAGAGTTTGCGTCTATCCTACTGCTCACGTTGGCCCTTATTCACAGGTACGATCTAGAGCTTTCAGAACTCGGCTTGATGGGCAATTTTTTCCTCGGCGGCATTTTGGATGACTTTTCAAAACCGAACGCCCCCAATGAGCTATCACCTGAACAATCGGCTCAGCTTGGGAAATGGGTCGAAGGTTTGTTCACTGTTGACGACAACGGCGAGACCAGTGGTATAAGTGACGAGGTGATGCGACACTGTGCTCCTCAGGCATTTTACCGGCTCGTACCTACACTGTTCCAACACAGTGTGCTTGCTTGCAAATCGAACGCAATGAAAATGAAGGCCTTCAAGGGTGGTCTGGAGCTGCTCTTGGAACCATTCCTGATCCCTTCATTGGTGCTGGGTCTGAAATGGCTTGCACAGCATTCCTGGGAAGATCATGGAGATGCTGATGTTCTGCTCCAAGCCTTGGATAAGCTGCTCAAGCCATCGAGCAGTTCGGAAGAAACGAAAGCCATGCACCGTGCGGTTCTCTCCATTGTCGCCACGCCTCTATTTGCCTCACTGCAAGAACTACATCGGAAGCGACCAGACAAGAAGCAGGCTACTGCACTGAGCGACTTACTCAAGCCGTATGTTGGCCAACAACGATCTCTAAGCTGCTCTAAGAGTGAAATGGACGACTGGTTACAACAGGACAGCGATATTTCATCGCACATTCAACGCAGTGCACGAGACCTTACAGTGTGGGGTGCACATACGTCAAATCCTCCCAATCCACCACCGAAATTCACATACAAAGAATTTGCCTCTGCGCAACAAATCCTGGAGCATGGAAAGCTTCTTGACGCAGTCTTGGATGATCTCAAACGCAGCGCAAATTTACCTGTAGCACTTGACGTCTGGATATCCATGATCTGTGCTCCGACTGTACAGCGAGCCAATTCGCCCGCTAGCAATTTCCAAAACAGTGTACGACTCACTGGCTCGAACATCTCCGGTCTTCTGGAAAAGCCCAGAGCCGAAGCTGAAGCGTTGGTCCGACTAGGTCGGCGTGTCGAAGCTCAGATCACCGTGGCTCAGATGCCACCGATCTCGATGCCACTTCAGATGGAAGACCAGGCAACTGCCGACCAACTCATACAAGATATGGGCCTCGATCTTACTGGCAACGAAGCCGCTACTAATGGAGATGGCGGCCTGAACCAGCACAGCGATCTTGCAGGTCTGGACCAAGCACTGGACCTCACAAATCCTTCAGACCAGGAGATTGCAGACATGGCCGCAAACGCTGGCACTATGAACTTCGATGAGATCGCCATGAATATGGGCCAAGTATCACAAAGCAGCCAGCAGATGAGCGGACAGGATGATGATGACATTTTTGCGGATCTGAACGATATGGAAGGCATGGGAGACATGGGCATGGATGACCTGGAAGACTTCAACTTTGGCTAGCTGCAGATCCCTTGCAAGACTGCGAGCATATATGTATTGTTGAGAACGGTTTCACAGCGGAGATTTTCGGAAGGGTGTGAAAAGACGATGTCCACCACACTGGTGGGATTAACCTAGATATACACAGAGCCACAGGTATGTTCCCTCGGCCTGCTCTGCAGCTCGTAGCTACAGCCGATCTACCGCAAGCTGATAGGCGGGGTACCCCGAACGCTTACTGCCAGTTTCGACCTCACCTCCTTTGTTCCTGCACTACATTCCCTTCTACAACTGGTTGCAAATTCTCTCATAGCTTTTGCTCAGTCAAGATGCCTTACTCATTGAGAGGAAGAAACGTTCTCATCACTGGAGGCTCTCGGTACGTATCTTCTCACCCACTTCACGTCATCTCTTTCCCCACAGCCGATATCGCACATAGTCTTAAGGTCTCCAGTTCAATCAACTAACTCGTACTGCAGAGGTCTCGGCGCCGAAGTGGCCCGTAAATTCGCCGCAGAAGGCTGCAACATAGCCATCAATTACGTCTCCAGCGAAGCACCAGCTCAAGCCCTCGCCCAAGAACTCCAATCCACCCACAACGTCAAGACAATCACCATCCAAGGCGACGGAGGCAAAATTTCAGATATCCAAAACTGCATCCAACAAACCGTCAAATCTCTTGGTGGTCTAGATATCATCATCGGCAACGCAGGCTATACGAAGTTCTCCAACTTTGCTGATCTCGATGCACTTTCCTATGAAGATTGGGATAAATGTTGGCATACGAATGTTCTCGGGAATCATGTGTTGTTGAAAGAAGCTATGCCCATTTTTAAAGAGAATGCGGAGGGAGGCGTTTTTATCATGACGGGATCTGTGGCGGGGAAGAGTCTGAGCGGGAGTTCGATGGCTTATAGCGTGACGAAGGCGGCGCAGGTGCATTTGATGAAGTGCCTGGCGCAGACGCAGGGGCCGAAGGTGAGGGTTAATTGTGTGCTGCCCGGGCTGCTGTTGACGGATTGGGGAAGTCTCTATGGGGAGGAAAGGATTGAAAAGTTGAAGGAGCAGGCTGTTTTGAAGAAGGAGGTAAGTTATTGGTTCGGGCGAGAAGCGGGGGATGGCGAACTGACATTTTGGTAGACTGAATTGGGAGATTGCGCACAGGCGTATGTGGATCTGTCGAAGAACACGAGTATCACGGGACAGGCGTGGCATGTTGGTGAGTGAGACTTAGTCATGAGGAGCGAGACACGGCTGACACATATACACTAGACTCTGGTCTCCTTGTTGGGCATATGTGAGCACCGTTGCGTTGATGACTCAGTACTCTTTGATGGTTCGGAAAGCGCCATCTTCGAGGTAGAGCCATCTACTTCAAGAACACATCTGAAAGTACGGCTGTTTTGCAAGCTACTGTCTTAGACAGGTCTAAGTCTCGACCATTCCTTCCAGCCGCATCGAACATAGGCGCAGGTATAAGTTTGAAGAGTCTCGTCGCTTCGATGAATTGATTCTCTTCCCTCTCCAGGCAGGCCTCACAGTTCTTTCCAGCATCTCAATTCTTCGCCACAGCAGGATACTTCCATCACAATTCATCAAAGTTTTCTTTTCTGCTTCCAAGAGTACCTTCAGAAACGCGATCAACATGACCACTTACGCCCCATACGGCTTCTCTACCGACAATTTCCCCCCCACATTCAAAGGTCTTCGATACAGTCCGGCTTCTTCCTCTCCTGGCACTCCTCCGACGCCCAAAGAGCAGCAAGAAGCACTGACGTTCTACGAGCGATATGAGCACCCCAAAGAAGACAAAAGGAGAGACCGTACTCCTAGGAAGAGTCCCGCTGCTAAAGAGAAAGCTTTCAGGAACAAGAAGCGCGCTCTGGAAAAGAAGCAGCGCAAGGTGGAGTCTTATCATGGGGTCAGTATACTTGCCCTCCAGAGCGCCAAGGACTTGATCAAACGTCGTTAAATATGCTGTGTTTGCCGCCAGGGGAGATTGCAAGGACATTGTGGAACGGAGACCGGCGGTTGATCAAGCGGTTTGTTGCGAGTTCAGGGTGGAGATTGATGGTCAGCTGGTTCTGAGCAGGTCTCTGATACGAACAGGCTGTACGAGAGGTGTTGTGATGGAGTGTGTACTGTACGATTGAACATTCCGTTAAGACGACTTTCGTTTGAATCATTAAATCGTAATCAAAGGCATGGCATTGTGGCTTTCGAGTTCATTCCTGCTTTTCTATCTTATCTATTCGTCTGGATCGGGTATACTCTCTCGTAATTGTCTCCCTTCTTTTAGACCTCGCCATCTGAAACAAGAACATTGAGCCATGAATATCAATTGAACCCACGGAGAGCGTATACAACAAGTTACATTGCTAGTTGATCTCGTTGAAAGCCGCGCCACAATTTCGTACGCGTAAAACAGACGCAGTGTTGAAGCCCTTTTGGAGAGTCCTGTCTGTAAAGATCTATGAATTGATTTGAACAGAGATCCAGCACATACGGCCACAGGCGAATGAGAATTCGGAACCCCGTCCGCTCTTCCAAAGACAAACATTCGACCGCGAGATTAGTATTGACGTGGGTGACCAGTCGAGAATCCCTCGTGCTGTATGTTTTTGCCGCTAGTGAAAATTTTTTGTCGCGCGAAGGGCGCCGTTCTCGGCGATATATAGACGGGCCTTGGCTAGCGCCCCAGACTTCGCCCCAAAAGAGTTTGGCATGTCCACTTCTTGGTTTGAAGTGCGAAACTGAGATGTACTTTATAGTCATCTGTTTTTGAGATGGGCAGAAAATCGAATTGAAGTGAAGTAAAAGGCTTGGCATCACATGCTTAGCCGCCATCAAGCCTCGTGACCCTTGGCTTTGTGTCACCTATAGACCTGAATTGTCAATATGTACATCGAACTCATTCTATAGTCCGAGCAACACTATGTGACTTGTATCAGGCCCAGACGATGCTCCAACATCTGAGACAACGATGCGCTCGGCATACACGGGCATCATAACTTATGGAAGCCTCCATACTCCGGTTTCTTAAATGTAAGTAGGCTTCCAGGTATCCTCACAGATACCACAGAGCGGATTTATATGAATACCTGCTAGTCGACAAACCCATTAGGACGAGACACCTTCGCAAGAGGATTGATACCTGCACGTTGAAGGTACTCCTGCAGCTCCTTATCAACCTTGGTTGGAGATGAGAACAGTCGCGCAACAACGCCATCTGGCCGTACCAAGACGACACTTGGATTTGTCTGATCGGCTCTCATTCCGTGTCTCTCGTGTTCTAGACCGTTGCGGTCCTCGAAGAACTTGTACATCCACTCTTCATATCTCGGCCTTAATTCTACCAGGAAGTGATCGCTAGTGTGCACAACAAACACATTTACGATCTTGTTGCTCGGTACGGCGTGACCATAGTTAGTGTGGATGTCCTCCCACGGCCAGGTCTTCGATTCCGGGCCTCTGGGATCCGCGCGGGCTTCGGTTCGAGAGGACTCATGAGGAAGGCCGTTGTACGTTGTCAAAGCCGAATCGGGAGCCGTGAGCTTGTCGTATAAGGCATCAAATGCTATTTTACCCGAGTCCGTGGCGACATCACCAGCAAAGATTACCAGGTGAAATTCGCCGTTGCATGGCATGACATCAAGCGATGTCACCTCCCAGCCATCGATGTGCCTAATAAGCCGCATAGGCAAGAAACGTTTCCCTGGACTGAGAGGCTCACTGACATTGCTTCGTTGCTCGAATGAGGAAGATTCAAGAGGTTCGACAATCGAGCTTGGAGGATATTGGTGAGAAAGACCGCTAGCAAAACCTCTGTGCTCAGCCCATGTTTCCCTGAATTCCGGTAGAGCGATTTGACTCTGATCGGCGAACAAGGTTGCAAATTGTTTGTCAAAGTCGATCAGTTGGAGTGCAATGTGTCTTCTTTCGAAGTTGTATGTCTCTAATAAACTGGAATGTGCTCGATCACGGAGGACTAAGGCCAACTTCCACCCGAGATTGTAAGCGTCGTGAACACCGGTGTTCATGCCTTGGCCTGCCTTCGGAGAGTTTGTGTGGCAGGCATCGCCGACTAGTACAAGGTTTTTGCCGTCGAAGAAACGATTTGTAACTCGTTGCGCGACGGTGTATCTGCTGATCCACAGGACCTGCTTGATGTTCAACTTGTAAGGGAAGAGGATGCTCGGGAGATTGCGCTCGAAGAGATCCAGAAGGGTCGTCCGATTCAGTGTCTCATGATGGTCATTGCTTGTATGTGTTGGCTTGTCGAAGCGGCTATCATCGAGTTCGAGTTGGTCGTGCTTAGAAAGCAGCATGTAGATCCGCAAGGTCTTATTTGGTGACGGTATAAGCATCAAATTGCCATGAGGAGTCCGGATTGGACATCGTCGTCGAAGATCCGGAAAATCAGTCTCGCAGTCGACGTCTGCCACTGCCCACGTAGCCTCCGTCTCATTGACGGTGTTGCCAATGCCTGCAAGCTGTCGTACATCGCTCTTCGCCCCGTCAGCGCCGACAAGGTACTTGCAATGCCACTTTTTCACTTGTCCACTCGTATGGTCTTTCACAAACGCACATATCTGATAACCTGCGGGCCCCTCGTTGATGTATTCATATTCCAGAAGCTCATTTGGACGATGGACTTTGATTCCGCGCTTCGCTAGCTCCTCGTTCAAGATGCTTTCCGTTCTACCTTGGTGTTGAATGATGGTACGACGATAGAAAGTCTGGGTAGTAACCTCTGGAGCGACACTCGATCGTTTGAGATCCTGCTCGCGCTGTGTTCTTGTCCAGAAAGCCGTCTCAGCGACCCCTCCACTACCACTTATAAGCTCGTTATGTAGATTGAGGGTATGCAAGATCTCTAGAGTTCTTGGATGTATGCCAGACGCGTGGCCTATCTGGGTAGCAAGAGCATGTCGATCCAGCACTGTAACGTCGTGAATACCGGCTCGAGCCAAGAAGAGTGCCGTGAAGAGTCCTGCTGGTCCAGCTCCGACTACCAAGACATCGGTTTTGTTCACATTCATGATATCTCGAAATCGGAGCTGATGTTGATGGCAGATTTCCGGCACAGATTGTGTTTGTACGATCAGATACTCATTTAGAAAACACTTGGCATTTGGGTTTCAGAGGCTCTTCTTGAGACGAAGCACAGAAGTGTGCAGTGGTCTATGATGTAACGAAGCCACATTGATACATGTGTTGATGATCCTGACATCACCGTAGACGCCCGTGCACAGTGCTCCCCAATAGCCACTTGAACGATCTGCTTGCTCGACGTGGACGCCAAAGCTAAGATTGATCTCGTAGTCGACAAAGGTGTACACCAGACTTACAGCGTCCGCTCAATGGAATTGCTGAGGTACATAGTTGCCACTGGAAAGCTTATCTTCATGCGTAACGTTGCAACCAAAGTGCAAACGAAACCATAAGCGCATCAGACTTGATACGGTGGCAGTGTTCCCGTCAACGGCGCAGCGGTCAAGTAAGCCGAGTGTGAGAGCATTGTGAGCCAAGCTGGTCTCACGACGCCCAGAAGGAAGCCAGTAATTCGATTGCAGAAATCGTAATTGGTGTCATTTACACTGCTTCGAGTATAGGAGAGATGTGACGAGACACGGGGATGATCTGTCATAAATAGTAGACCTAAACCATGCGTCGGAAACGTACTCAATATCACTCCGCGGCCCAGAAGGGAACCAGTCATATGCCGAACGTGGCCCAGCCCGATGCAATGCAAGCCAGTCGAAATTCGTTGTCCCGGTTGAAACCACTCCATGTTATCAAAGGATATTTGGATACTCGCAGCTCAATATACACAAAAAGGGGGAGACAGTAGTACTGCAAGAACGAGACAGGCCAACACACTGCGCGATATTAGCCAGCTATAGGTGCCTGAATCCAGGTAGAGTTGAATAGGATCGTGGATTCCATGCCCTTTGTCGCCACGTTCAGATCGAACAGAGCGGAAACTGCTGCTCATGCAGACAGAGCGATAGCAGATGATCAGAATGTCCATGCGGATTGCACCCGAGAACAGCCGCTGGAGCTTGATGTCTGAGGCATCCAATATCTCTCTGTTCTCAGCTCTCACATCAGATCCTTCCCCAACACAATCTGCCTTAATCCACCCCTCAAAACCTCTTTCCCTCCTTCCGGGTACATGAAATCCCTCCATTTCCCCGTCTCCTGGTAGCCTTGTCTCTCATACCATGCCTTGAGCTGCGTTCTGGTATGCACGAAGTCGAATTCCAACCTCTCTGCACCCCATTGCTCCTTGACAAATCTCCCTGCTTCGGCAAGAATGTCTTTTCCCAAGCCTTGGCCGTGCAGGCTGGGAAGAATAGCGAGCAGACCTAGCCAGGCTGTCCCAGGACTCACATGCGAATTCTTCTGTTGCTGTTCTGGAGTAACTGCCGGGCGGCGGAGAAAGCATGTTGCTACTCTGGCATCATTCAATCCTTGCGTCGATGCGAATCCTGGTGATAGATGACCGACAAGCATTACGGTATCATCGCCACTTATGAAGTGTTGGGTCACTTCGAGCGGCAGAATATCGACTCGCTTATCTTGTTCATCGTAGATCCAGGTGTCGCCCGTCTTCTCGCTCCGGAAGGCGATGTTGACCAGTCGGGTCAAGGCATCCGCATCCTCGACTGTGGCAAGACGGAAGGCGAGAAGCGGAGACCTATTCGAGGTGGTGGATGCCATCGCCGAGACTCTAGCGGGAGGATGTGTACTCAGGGATTGAAGCATGGGTGTGTGCCAAGTTTTTGAACCCGATTGTCACCTCAGTAGAGCTTGTCAAAACTTCAATAGCATGTTATTGTGGCATGTGAGCCGGTGAAGTCAGTCGTAATGCCCTGTGATGACAAGTGTAAGGTTGCATTGCTGGTGGAGCAGTCGGTGCTTCAAGCGAATCCTTCCGATTTAGCACCGAAAATGATGTGGATAAGATCTAGAGAGCGTGCAAGAGAGGTTGCTTCTTGAATAAATACTACACGCAAGATAAGCTCAGAGGAAAAAAGAATGCTAGAATTTTAACATAAACAAAAAATCATCGTGCAGTTTGGTACGCGGAAACATGCAAACATCTTCTCTTCTGAGCGTCCTTCTATGATCATGCTCCGAATCCAGGGGAAAAGAAACATGCCTTTCCACGCCTGTCTCTCTCAAGCCAAGACGAGGTTGACATTCGAAAGAAGCGAATCTAGCAGTTCACATAGGTGGCAGGAAACCGGTCCGGCGCGTTGGTTAAACGAAGATGTCCAGTCCAGGTGCCCCCATGACTAAATTGACAACAACCTGTGATGACTCCAGCACTATGAAGCTTATTGGCGCATTCGTAAACTGCGTTTTGGACGGTCTTTTCGATGGCAGTGGTGTCACAGTTGGTTCCGGTCGTCGTAGCTCTATAGGCATAGCCAACATAATAGCCGTCGTCTGCATCGGTCCCGTAGGTAAGAGTGCAAGCGTTGTTGTCTGACTTCTTCGATATCTTCGCCGCAATGCTATTGTACAAGTCGAAACCTGAGTTTGCAGAAATTATGGCATTGAAGCCGGCAGTGGCTACGACCGCGACAGCAACCACGACCTCGATCTTCTTGCGACGCACGAGCTTGGTGGGTTGGAGGAGTGGAGAGCTCTCGTGAAGGACTCCAGGAACAACGGCCAGTGTGAATCCAGTATCGTCGATTGGCTGGTACGAGGTATCGAAAGAGATGGTCCTGTTCAGCTGCGCCTCCACCATAGCAGCAGCAAGCCCCAAAGCCCACAGAGGGCGGACCATTTTGCAGATGGCGGCCAATATCCAAGACGAATTCTGATGATCACCTGGCAAACGAAGATGCCCCAGGCGCACAGTTCTAGAATGTCGTCGCTTCGCAGATAACCGAGGATAGCAGCAAGCATAGAGCGAGGAATTAAATTGTCTTCAAATAGTAGTAGGTCGTTGGGGTGCTCAGAATGCATGTCCGGGAGTTGGGATCCTTTTAATACCGTGCTGTGTCCTATTGTGCCTCAGATTCTTAGCTGTGCCGGAAGTGTGCTGATTGCAAAGAGTGCTGTCGACCTTGAATTGGAGCGGATCGCTGAAGCTGCAAGTGGGCGGCTGTGTTGGTTTACTGTGCCATACCCGTCGACAGGAAAATATTCCACTGATCAGTATCCTTGTCTTCACGGCTCCACAGACACTTCTTGTCATGGAAAGACGTCCCACCACAATAAGACAATCGAGATGCCGCCGATGTTCCAAGTTGCGTGGTGAGATTCTGCCAGTCGTCCAGCCCATTTGCAATTCTTGTCCGAGCAGAACATCGTTACTGTGAAATGCAGACCCGACGGTACTTCAATGCTCGTTGTTGGTTCTCCAGAGGTGTGCAAATAGTCTCTATTTGCGTACCGCCTTCTTCCCTCTTGCCCAAAGGCCTCAAATGAATGGCCATAGTTTGGCGCCACTGTGAAGTGTCATTAGCGCCGTGTTTCATGTCACAATGTTGTACTGTACCTCCCGAAGCATACGCAAATCGTCACGTACACTTGTCCGAATTAATTGGCCCTTGGGCAACGTAAAACCGAGGTCACGTGCCGGGCAAAGAGCTGGCGCTTATTTCCAACTTTCCCGCCGCGAAGCTCCACATACGCCACATATGTCGCAGTTGCGAACTAGTTCGATGTTTGAAGAAGTGAGTAAAGCTGATGAATGATCAAGATTCTTCTGCAGCAAACATGCTATCCGAGTCGCGAGCGGCAAATCGCGTTGTGCGTGCTTAGGGGAGAAGCGCACGATATATCACATGTGCGCTGTTTGGACAAGCAGACTGCGGCCCCTGAAAGATTGATAGAGCTATGGAATCTAAACTCTGGTCAGCAGTAGCTTCCATGTCCTTCCGCACAACTTGTTCACACTCACGGAGCCCGACCACAGGTCTTGCCTGTATATTTCCAATTGATCGTTCGACGGACACATTGACGGCGCCTGTTTCCATTTTCCTTCCACCTCGCAAATGCTCTCTGATCGACCAAAGGATTTGCTTGCGTTCTCGAAGAACCGTAGAAAGGACAAAGCTTCCTGCTGTCCCTCCAACTCCAATGAATAGAGCCCTGAGGAAGAGTGTCTTATTTGCTTCTCAAAGCGTCTTTCCAAGAAATGCAACCGCTTTGACACACTCTCAAAGCACTCGTAGCAGGTATAAACCGAAGCATCCGTGGAGTTGTGGATTACCCACCACCCATGACATCGTGTCCGAGAGCAAAAAATGTCCGAACCAGAGCAGAACGGTAATCCCATTGCAAGGCCAGTGTCCACTCAAATCACCACCGACGCGACAACAACCCAAGCTCCAAAAGATCAATCAAACCAGACCGTACTGGTCCACAAGACACCAATGACAGTCACAGAAATCCTATCCACAGCAAGCCACATTTTCTCTCCCCAAGAAGCCCAAGCCCTGCGAGAAAACCCTTCCGGTTTCCAGATCACCGAGCACGGAAGTAATCTCCTAACAGCCGCCTGCATTCATAACCAGAACCTGCAAGGCACAAAGCAAAATGCCGGCCAGGCACAAGTCCCGTATTTGCCTGGGGAGGTTCAAGCCATTAACCGACAGTACGAGGCAGACCTTGCAGACGCTCTCGGTGACCGGGAGGAAGACAGTAACCACGGCAGTGCAGAAGACATTATTCATCAAGAAGCCTCCTCAAGTGCTTTCAATATCCCAGTCGACGAGCCCATCCCAAGCCGAGAAACGTACCCCATGCCGGAGGAAACTAATTTCATCCCAAAGGCCTATTCCATCCCAGAGACCCGCGCCGGAAAACCAGACTACAAAAAGATGAAAAACATCTGCGATTCCGAAGGCTGGTATGGTGATCTCCATTACCTAGAAGATTCTGACAAACCTCTCGGAAGTATGGACACTGCGTGTCCAAATTGTAGGCAAGTGCAAAAAAAATACACCGATTTCTGGCCTGGGTGTGAGCTGGTGAAGCATTTTCAAGGGTGGTCGGATGATATGTACCGTCGTTGAAGCGGCGACATCACGGGGAACAGACTAAAGGTACGAAGATAACCAGGAATGGAGGAAGAGGGCCTGGTCCGCAGATGCTGTCCATAAGTTGTACCCATTGTGCTCACGCCTTTCCATCCCATTCGTTGTCATTGAAAGCAAAAACGCCATTCGCCGCCAGCGCCTACGCTCGGGTATCATCGGTACAAGCAGTGTGTCGTCTCATCGTTCTGTACAAAGTCCTTGGCCGATCAGAGGCCGAAGAATCCGAAGAATCCTCCCTTGGTGGGGGATTGCCCATTTGGAGCCGCGTCGTCCAACTTGAAAGTGTCCTTGAATCTCTCCTCCAATCCGATCTCTTGTGAGTCTGATGGCAAAGTCCAACTGCTCTGCTTGATTTCAAAGTTGCTTCCCTTCTCTGGGAACTGCACGGGCTTGATACCTGCACGCATCTGTTGCATGAAGTTCGGTCGCTGGCTCAGTGGCACCTGCTCGGCTTCGACTGGGCGAGTGATTGGGTTGCGGAGGCGACGCTCCATGCTCATTGGCGCTGGTGGAAGGTTGCCGTAAAATGGACTTTTTTGCCGTAGTGGTGGGTTATAGCTAAGCTGCTGTTGCTGCTCCCACTGTCTGCGCTCATTTTCTTGGCGCATCTGAGTTTGCAATCCAAATATCTCATCTGTCATACCGCCGTTGAATGCGAACGAAGATTGGTAGTCGTTCTCATACGGCCGAAGAGGCTGTAAGGCTGGACCTGCGCCGAAGCTCGACTGCGCGGAGCGCATGACTGGGCGGTAGTCGGTCTCCATGGCGTCAAGGTCGTTTTCATCGTCGGAGTATTCCGGAGAGGGTTGCTGGTGGTAGGATCTCGTTGATGAGTTTGTCTTCTTCTTGGCGTATTCCGGGGCAAGTCGATTGATGTCAAATGGGCCGCGAGCTTGCTTGCGCAGATACCTCAATGGGTCTTTCTCCGAAGCCTTGGGTGTATGATGTTCTGCTGCTGGCCCGGCGTATTGTCCAAGGACATCTTGCTCTTCTGGTCTGGGCATGATTTTGCCCTTGATGGTCCAAACGATTGGCTCAATACTGCGGTTGGCCAGAGCTTGTGCGATCAGAGTGAACAAGATAACAAATCCGTGCATCGCCATGAGCTGCTCTTTGTTGAGCTTCGCGGTGAAAGACGGGTTGGAAAGAGTAAACCAAGCCCAAGAACGCAATCCGAGGCCAATCAGCTGCATGAAGAAATAGTTCTTCTGACCCTTCACAGCCTCATAGCGATGGGTATGGTGGTACTTGGCTTTGAGTCCAGGGTTATACCAGAGTCCAGCGATGGCGATAGCAAGGGTGTACGTTATCAGGTTGCTGAACAGTTGGTAGCATGAGGTGTTGAAGCGCAAGCGAAGTGACTGCTGTGCGCACTCGTGAATCGAGGGTGGAAAAGTAGAGGCGACGTCAACGCCATTGTAAAGGCCTTGGGAATCAAGGGACTCAGTGGTAATCGGAGCGGCAGCGAGGAGAAGGGTGAGAATGGCGTAGACGTGATAGATCATCTGAGCAGAGAGACCCAGAAAGAGAGCAAGGCTGACGAGATTCAAAGAGAAACGCATAAGCATTTTGCCTCCGTCGTCGCGCGTACGGTGGGCTGGTTGTCCGCCTCTCTTCTTGGTGGCAGCGCAAAGCTTGGCGGCATTCTGGGTCATGCCGTAGTAGTCGGCGCGGTTGATCTTGGCCTGGGCAGCTGGTGCGCAGTTCTTGCAAATGAGCGGGTATCTCTTCTCCAGATCCGTCCTAAACTTTGGAAGCGCCTTCTCATACTGCTTGTATTGTGGATGCGACTCGTCTGGGAGGTAGTTGGAGAGGGTCTCGCTATAGAGCAGCTGGTTTTGGGTGCACGTGCGGCAGAAGGCCTGCTTCTGTTGGTGCTCGAGTGTCTCGGACAGTGGGCGAGTGAATGTCTTTGGGCGCGCTTGCGGTGGGCTCTCGTGGGAGGTGCGGGTGCTCGGCGGGTCGGTGACGTTTCCATTGCCGTCGAAGTAGTTCACGGCCTCGCAGAAGCTGCACTGGAACTCGAGGACCGACCTGCTGTGCTGTGACTTGGTGCCACAGAAGTGGCAGCGCACACGTGAGACGAACATCTGTTCTCACGGCGGAGGACAGAGGCCGTGAGAGAAGTTGCGGATGTGTTCGTAGGATGTCGTTATGACAAGATGGGATTGTGTTGTTGAAAGGTGAGGGCGAGTGGGGAAAGTGAAGATGCGGTTGTGAATGGGAGACAATTCACAGGCGTTGCTCCGGATTTAAGCAACGCGGGCCGCTGAATGATCCCTGTCGGCGGGAGTAAGCGAGACTCGGTGTCTCGGTCCCTGGCAGTTGAACGACCTCACGTCTTCCCCCCGACATCTAACACATCTCATCCGTACCGTCTCAGTGAATGTTACTAGACGCTGTCTTATTAGCATGTCGTCGCCGCGTTTCACCAAAATGACTCACGAGATGCTGTCAGACCCTGTAGAGCTCGAAGGTACTAGCCTTTACGTACCGAAATGTTTACCTTACCTCTATAGATCTCTACGGAGCGTAACGTTATAGCTTACAGAAGGACTCGCTAAACTTACTAAGTAGCTTCTGTCGATTATTTAATATTAAGATAGCTTACTCTAGAGCTACTATAATAGTTACTAGTATACTCTTAGACTTATAAGTAAGTAGAAGTAAGTATATAACTAGACCTAGGCTAATATTAATATTATCTTATTAGTATACTACTAATAGTAATATAGAATATCTATAGAGCCGTATATTAATGTAGTAGTAGTAGAGTGGGTTACAGTTTCTACGAACTTGTAAACTTAAGCCTACGCTATTTAGTAATCGGTAAACCTTCCTAATCTGCTGCTTCGAATCGCAACTACGAGATAGATTCCTCGGCTTGCGCAAGACAATTTCTGCGCTACATTATACGCCCGACTAAGCACTTGTACTCTTACTCCTAGAATGCTGTTTAAGCAATCCTGAAGGCCCGAGATTCTCGGCCACACCTGAAAGTCTTCTAATTTCCAAGTCCCTGTAGGCATTTTACGCAGGTCCAGATTGTCCTCGCCGCACATATTCCTTTCAAGTCCTACGACGGGCTGCTGAAGGAGCACTATGAAGCAACACAAAATGAACATAACAATGCTAGACAGAGTGAGAGCGATTCTCAGGTATGTGGAACTTTCAAGCATCTGCAGAACTGAGAAAACATTGCTCGCTCGCAAACAGCCCATCACACCGGTCACCAGTAACGTTCCGCGACGTGCCTGGACCCGCCCATGTATGAGGTTCAGTTACGGCTCGCCCAAGTGAAGGTCCATTGCCACGCCAGCTCCGAGCACCTGGCTCAGAATCACGCTGTACATCGCAGTTTCTTCCTCGCTTGCTCCGTCTCCGAAGGTGCCACTCAGCTCCTCAATGGTCTTGCCTTTGGTCTCAGGCACAAACAGGAACACCCAGATCGTGGCACAGAAAGCTGTGCAGGCGAACAGCGCAAACGAGGCATACGGGGCCTGTTGAACGATTGCAGGGACAATCAGTCCAACCACGAAGTTGTTGAGCCAATTTGACGCTGTGCTGAGAGCAGCACCCTCGGCTCTCACTGCCGATGGTAGTATCTCAGCGGGCAAACCCCAGGCAATTGGCCCCCAAGAGATCTCGAAGAAGAACATGAAGACGAACATAAACGCCGTGCCCGCCTTGGCACTTAGTCGTCAGAGCTTACGCCCACCACGGTTGCGTTGATGACATGGCAGGATATGAGGAAGAAGGTGCCAACCAGCAGGAGCGGACGTCTGCCCACACGATCAATGATGAATATCGGTACCGTCGAGCCGACCAGTTGGCATACGCAAAGGAGTCCGGAAAGCGTCAGACGTTGTTCGTATCCGTATCCGAGCTGCGCAAAGAGAGTAGTGGAGTAGTAAGTGAAGCCGTTGACGCCGACCCACTGCTGGAAGAGGTTGATGACTACGCCCAGCCATATACGTTTGATGTAGCGCTTCTCCGCACATCGAGCCCACCTCCGGTATTCGCATATAACATGCTGCCTGAAGCTTTTGCTGCCCCCTCGACTACTGACCCCGCTGAGGCGCGCTTGCAGAATCGCTTCCGCGCGAATGATGATCCATTCAGCTTGCACTCTTGTATCCTCCGTGGGCAATTTGCGAAGCTTCGCAAGTGTAGCCAGACATTCGGTGTCACGGCCAACCAAGCCCAACCATCTCGGCGAGAAAGGCAGAACGTACACGACGGAGAGAAGCACGAAGGCCGGCAAGATCTGGGCAACGAACGCTGTTCGCCAGGACCAGTCTCCGGCAATGTAGCGAGCACCGTATGTCGTGTAGAAGGCGGCAACAATGCCAAGAATGAGCATCCATTGCTGAAGGGTGTATAGCGCTCCTCGAATGTGTGGAGGTGCAATCTCATTGATGTAAAGAGGTGCGATCATCGAAGCGGCACCGACACCAATACCGCCGACAAGGCAGCCGAATACAAGCATGGTATAGTCTCGTGCAACAGCCTGGAGAACACTGCCAACAAGGTACCAAGCAACGGCTATGATGATGGTATAGCGTCGGGAGATCTTGTCGGAGAAAATCGCCGCCTGCAATGCGCCAATGACTGCACCAAGCTCAAATATGGCCGTGACCAGGCCCTTGTAGAAACCTGCGTGAGAGTCTGCGGTGGTGTCAACCATGGGGAATGCCTCCAGGAAACGCGGGATGCTGAGCGTAACGTTGATCAGGCCTTGGTCGTATCCGTACAGAAACCCACACATAGCTGCTGCCCAGGAGCACAAGAGTACTGTAGTGGACTTGAGGAAAGCATGGATGCCGGGCTCACCATAGCTTTTTGCGAGGAGGCCTGAATCATTGACCAAGATCTCGACCTGGGCGTACGAGTCCGAGCCTTGAGTATGGGAGTATATCGTTTGTGGCTCGTATTGTTTATCATTCTTCTGCTTCTCGTCCGAGATTTGTTCCATTACGGGTATTCGAAAAGAGAGTAGGGCGGCGAGGTATGGAGAAGGAGGCAGATCAGAGCGCTCAAGAGTACGCACCCCGTCATCTTGGTCTACTTATCTGTGTTGTCCAATTCTCATCTTCTTACATTGCATGAGGCCTCCGCCCCCGCAAGAACAGACGTACAGGTGCGCTACGTACGACATCTAACTCGGGTATTGAGCCGAGTCATATCTGTTACCGCGACATAATACGTGCCAAGTGATAGGCGGCGAAGGCCCTAATCTTGGTTCTGTCGGTGGCGGAAGGGCCCTGTCGACTTGAGATGAGCAGCGTGGGTTGATCTAGGATCCAGGATCAAGATACTGCCCGGCCTATCAATGATGTCCATGATCATTGCTGAATTACACGGCGATGCCAAAGGAGAGCCGAGTCTCAGAAGAGCCAATGGCCGATTCGCGGAGGTATCCGAGTGCATATAAACCGCCAGCTGTCCTTGCCTTCTTGGACACGACGGCAAATAATTCGAACCGTCCAGCCTTTGTCGCAGTCAATATGTCTGCACACCAACCCACGAGCGCATCTTCCATCAGAGAGATCCGAACAGTGGTGTCGCTTGACCCACACGGTGCGCCCCTGTCGCAGAAAGGGGTACATACGAGATGGCATCCGGAGATCCCAGCCGTTGCGTGTGTGAAGCCGGGTGAGCCGTTCAAGGTGGAATGTATGGACTTCACGGGCAATTCTGTCAGCAGGAGCGATTCGGCCGACGATATCCTAGAGATCTGCTGGGAGAGAGACCACCACCTATCTGGTCCAATCAGAGTCGAAGAGGCGAAGCCAGGAGACGTACTATGTGTGGACATTCTGGAAGTCCAGCCCTTTCCTGATCGGCTTTGGGGCTTCTCGCTCATCGACCCTGGTTTAGGTCCGCTTGACCGCCCTCACACCAGAGTGGCGAAGACTATCTGGGACTTCGAGGGTGTCTTGGCCTCGTCCAGGCATATCAAGGATGTTGCATTTTGCGGACGCCCGCATAGTGGTGTCATTGGGACTGCTCCTTCCGCAGAGCTGTTGCAACGCTGGGCGGAGAGGGAGGGCGATCTAAACCAGAGATACAGCTGCCATGGGGTGACATGCGCGCAAATGCCTACCGAAGAAGGCGCCTACGTCGGTCAGGACTTGCCAGCTGATGTTTTGCAGAAAATCAAGTCAGAGGGAGCAAGAACTAAGCCTGCGCGTGAGCACGGCGGGAACATAGACTCAGCGAGCCTGACTCGAGGCTCGCGGATCTTTTTGCCCGTCTACGTTGACGGAGCAAACCTGTCCACGGGCGATCTCCACTTCTTCCAGGGAGACGGCGAGCCGACCTGCGCGATCGAGATGGCTGGTATCGTCACCATGAAGTGCTCGATATTGCCCAGAGGCATGGAGGAGCTAGGGTTTAAATGTCCGGTAGTCATTCCCAGCCCAGCCGAACCGCTTTACCGTCAGCAAGTGGAATTTCATGGCCTTTCGATTGATGCTGCCGGCAACCAGCACAGGAGCGGCCTCACCACGGCGTACGTCCAGGCAGCGTCTAATGCGATGGAGTACCTCGAGAAATTTGGGTACTCACATGAGCAGGCCTACACGCTCCTCGCCACAGCCCCGATCGAGAGCCGCATCTTAGCCGTTCCGAACATCCCGACAGCGAACGTCTCTGTCGGCGTGCCATTGCACATCTTTGATTTCGATATCCAGCCCACCGCCAGTGAGCCTAGCGCAAGAGACCGAGGCTCGGTGGCGTACCTGGGAAAAGAAAGGGAACGGCGGTTCCTCGCCGAGCGCAAACCGAAGCGCTCGCCGTTCGAAAGACCGCAATAGGTTCCTCGGCGGACATTGTTGGCTTGACGTACTGAAAGGACGATAGCCAAGACCTCGAGACGAAGAAAGGGGGGGCTCTGGCTGCAGAGCGCACGATAGTGGTATCCGATAGGAGGCATCTTGTAGTGGAACTGGAGGTGACGCGTGCTTGGCCGCAGATAGAGGAGGTAGTTTACGTGAACGCTTGGTACGATCAAGAACGCTGCTCAACCGTGAGGCACGATATGCTCTCTGCTCGGTGCAATATCTCACACAACACTCCAATCTAATGTCATGTGCCGCAAAGTAGCTTTCTCTCAGGGTTCGACGGAAACAGCACTCAATAGACAGCACTGTGATGAGCGGATTGATCGAATTGGCTGCAGACGACATGAGTATATTTGTTGAGACACTCTCCTAACGAAACGCCCAAGAAGCCATAGGCTTAATCCTTATGATCTTCGTTTCGTCCGTCCTCAGCACGTAATCCTCCACAGCCAGGTCAAAGAACGGCCAAAGGCACTTGCCACCGTCCCTCTCGTATGCGCAACATGTATTCACGGCCGGCTACGGACGCAGGTCTTGGTGGAAAATTTGGGCCACGCCGCTTCAGTCTATATGTTCTGTTCTTATTTCTCCGCTGTCAAAGGTTATAGCTACTTGCGTCCTACATCTTTGCCGTACGCTATTACCGCGTCTCCGGGTTTGCAGAGACTTGACATAAGTATTCTCAATGAGCTCGAGTCGCTGCTTGTAAGTCACGACAGACGTTGGGGCTTATGCACGCCGTGCTGACGCTATTGTAGAGATTGAGGGGGAAAACTACCTTATTCGCCGGGCGCACTCTTGCTATTTACCGGGCGCCAACGTAATATACCGTAATTTCTAGTTAGCGCCCCTCTCTATTCGTACTGCTCGGTTTTTAGAGTAATCGCGGGATGTCGTACCTACGACTTTACTACTACTACTACTACTACTACTACTACTACTACTACTACTACTACTACTACTACTACTACTACTACTACTACTACTACTACTACTACTACTACTACTACTACTACTACTACTACTACTACTACTACTACTACTACTACTACTACCTCCTATAGTACCTTCGCCCTACTCTTACTATCGTAATACCTCTAATAGTAGTCGGCGCCGTAGCGTACCCGCTAGTATATAGGTACTAGCGTACCTTCCTATAGTATCTAGTAGGTACTACCGGGTACTAACGTAAGCCGAATTCGACGCTTTACTAATACGCGATTAAGCTAGGTACTTATATATTAGCTATATTAAAGAAATACCTAGTATTTTAGAGATTCCTACTCGTTCTTATTATACGTACCGTAGTCCTAGCTAGTATATATACTAGTAATATACGATATAGGCCGCGTAGTTATATAATAGGCCTAATAGTAATAGGAAGTATAGCTATTACCGCTAGCGTAAGTAGCTATATATTTAGAATTAAAAGTAGATAGCCGTATAAATTAGGAGTTAATAGGTATTTAGTATCCTATCGTAAAGAGCTAATAATCTCGTTAAAGGATCTTACTAGAAGTTCTTATACGTAATTATCGTAGGTAATTCTAATTCCGGTACGTAATTATTACTAGCTACTAAGACTTACGTAGCGTAGTCGGCCTTCTTTACTAGTAACTACTTAGCTATCGCTTTTACTTTCGGTTTCTTAGGAGTACCTAGCGGCTTCTTTACTATCTTCTTAACCTTACCGATAGGCTTAGTGTTACGGATCGAAGTAGGAGCAAGGCTACTTCGAGAATTCCTAGCTAGTAAAATAGAAGAGAGACCCTACGCGTATAGTAAGGCACGTTACATGTTACGTGTTCGACTAACGGGAGGAGCCGGTAGTCGAACTCTACGAGGAGGACTACGTAATAAGTTCGACCGTTCGACTATAGCTCTAGTCGGATAGCTAGTTTCTAGCTAGTAGGTAGGATAGGTTAGTCGAACTAGAAATCTATATAGGAACACTAAGAATGCCTCTAGCTTTCGATGTGTTTAACTTACTATAGTATCTTACTACTTAGAATACAATCCCTTAAGTTACTATACTACTCTATCGCTTTACTCTTCCTCTACTAGACCTCTCTACTAACGAGCCTAATACCGATTAAGCCTTATATAAGTAATCCTTATATATTGTAAGATTATTAAGTTATAGACTTAATAGCTTTAAACACTCTCGAGGATATCTAATTAACGAAGTTCTAGGGGAACTCCCGCCTCTAGTAAAGTAGGACGACTAAGGACTAACGAAGCCGTTTAGGCTTTAGCTACGTACGAAGGAGACAAGAACCTTAAGGTCGGTAAGCCGGACTTCTACTATAGTAACCGCGAGAAGTATAATACCTAGGTTAACTAGATAGACCTCTACTTTCTCTTTAACCCTATAGAAGAACGTCTTAAGCCTATCTTTACTACTACCTTTTTAAGAGGACGTACATAGTATTAGGTTAAACCTTTTCTCTACGAATACCTCGACTCCGGCGATACGAAATTAGGAAACGGAATCTTTAAGTTATACTAACACCTTAAGACCTCTATAAAGACCGTGTTTAGTATATCTAACGAACAATCGACCGCCGTACGAGTTATTTAGTACCTTATATAACGTACCTCTACTACCGAATATGCCGCTAAGTTCTAGGAACACGCTTAACTTACCGACTAGGACGACGAAGCACTCTAAACGATATACCGACAAGGACTAAAGGATAATATTAAGGACGAATTAATACGCGACAGGCGATTAATCGAAGACCTAGGAGAACTAGTTTAGGTTATAATCGATCTTAACGACAAGCTCTACGAACGAGTAATAGAAAGGCGTTACGATTCGAAAATATTAGGACGCGCTAGGTACGTTTCCGAAAGGCGACACTAGGGCAGTTACAATCTACGGTTTAATAAGACAAATCAATTATATTAACCCTACTATAGACCGTAGCCTATAGAACTCGACGCTACCTAGAAAGGTCGTAAGATACGAGGCAAAAGTTCACCTCGAAGGAAAAATATAGGAAAACTAACTTACTATACCTATAGAAAAGAAGGACACATAGTACGGGATTGCCGCGGTAAGAATATAGTACGCTACGAACAGTTTAATATAATATAACTAAGATCGGGACGAGAAGTATATAATATACCTACTCTCGACGAGAAAAAGGAACCCCGACTCTTTAGAGTAATAGTACGTCGTAAGGAAAAGTACGGTACCCTTTATTAGAGATACTATTACGACAACTTATACTAAGAATATTATTCCTCGAAGATAGGAGTAGGATACTAGCTATAACGACTACTATTACCTATATAGGATCCGCGGCCCGATAACGAAGAAGAAAGGACCGATAGATACCGACTTCTACCTATACCGGAGGAGCTACGTAGACTCGAGCTACCTATACCGGTTAGCGAGGAAGAGTTAGACAAGGAAAATCTAACGCCCGAGGAAGAACAAGACAGCGAGGAAGAAGGTAACGAACGGCTACCTTAGCTTCCGGAAGAACTAGAGATACCGGAATCCTCGGAAGAAAGCGATATTATAGAGGAGGACGACGACGGAGAAATTACAACCTTTACGGTAGACGCCCTAAGACAAGTACGGGAACTCGTAATCGCGATCGCGCGAAGTAACGAGGAAGTGTTTCTAAAGATTAAAGGAAAACGATACCTTAACCCTATCTAGTTCGATAATATACTTTCTAGGATACGTTTTCTCGCCTAGAAGTACCTACAAATAGAGGTAGAGGAAGACTTTAGACGAATTATCTAGGAGAAACCCCTAATTAGAAGCATTATAACACCCTACGGGTATCTTATACTAAATAACGAAGTCGTTACCTAAGAAACGCGGGCCTAGATACGACGCTACGTAGAAGCATTCGCCTAGGCACAATACGTACAAAATCGCTAGGTATATAACGAATTACTAGCCGAGTAACAGATAGCCGAGGACCTCTATAAAACAAGAAGAAAGATCCGACAGTAGCTCGAATAACGCCGCTCGGGAAAAGGATTAACTCTCTAGGAATAAGCGACCGAAGAGAGTTTAATATCGCAACGAATACTCGAGTATTAATAGTAGTCTTCCGTACGGAAATAATCGTTAATAGCTACAAGACATATACGCTAGTTAATTTAGGCGCTAGCGGGACATTTACCTCTAAATTATTTATAAAAGAATCTAGGATCGCAACCCGAAGGAAGAAAGACAGAGGGTATAAACTCGTCGTAGTAGACGGGTTACCCCTACCGAGTATAGAACGAGAGACAATACCGTTACTACTAGTAATCTAATAGTACTACGAGGAACTAACGTTCGACGTTACTAAGATAGCTACTTATAATATCGTACTCGGAATACCTTAGTTAAGAAAGTATAACCTATCGATCGACTAGAAAGGAGGAGTACTTAGATTTAAGCGATACGATTGTACGATCGACATCCACCCTACGTAGCGGTAGCGTTCGCTAGTAGATAAGTTAAGACAACTTAGTACGACGTAGTTTGCGACGACCGGAATCTAGAGACTGGAACTAACTCGGATAGGCACTAACTAGGGTTAGAAGGGCTAAGAAGTCACGAGTAATAGTAGAATTCGTATACTACCTAATATCCCTAAAGAGTATAGCGGGTATAAGAGACTCTTTTAGGAAGAGGAAGGGAAAGACGCCCTACCTAAGTATAGACTATAGGATTATAAGATTAATATTTAGCTAGGGAAGCAGCCTCTATAGGGACCTATCTATCCGCTATTAGAAAAAGAGCTAAAATCCCTCGATTAATAGCTAAAGGAGAAACTAGCGAAGGGATAGATCCGGAAATCCACTTTAAGCGTAGGATCTCTAATTCTCTTCGTACTAAAAGTAGGAACCGACAAACTACGACTAGTTATCGATTATCGGAGACTAAATAAAGTTATAATTAAGAATAGGTATCTATTACCTAGTATCGAAGAAGTATAAGACCGCCTTACTAGAGTAGA